GTTGCTTCGATATCAGAAGCGGGATCAGTGTTGGTTGAATTGCAAAAAGAACTATCTCTGAGTGAACAATGACGTGCTATGTTTGAACAACAAAATGTCATTATGTGATCTCTTATCGAGGCCATGCAAATGCCTCGGATGAAGAAGAACATCAAGTTACGCGAGTTTGACCCTGACAATATGGATACGGACGCAAGATCTTGATTTGCGACTGTAGATTTGTGTTTTGCCGAATACCTCCATACGGCGGCTAACTTATTTTAACAGTCAGTAAGGAATTAAAAGGATAAGGGTCGACGTGGCTATCACAATTTGTATACCAGAGAATAACATAGGAAGAGTTCAAAGTGATTTTCAAGGCGAGATTTATTTCCACCGAGACATTGGCTGGTACGCTAATTAATTTTAACAGTGACAAACCAAATGAAAAAACTCGTTACGTACGCAAATCGCCTGATGACGTCACTGACTAATCGTTGGAAAGACGCTAACAAGAATCAGATAGCAATTGCGACTGTCCTTGCTCACTTATGTCAGTTTAATTCGAAATTACAACGGTTGGCCTTTACTACGAAAATTGCTTCGCGAGATCGACTGTAGCAGGGATTGCACGCATTCTCACATTTGAAACGCAAAGCTAGTTTATCTGATGATTTTTCAAAAGTTCCTGATGCTAAACGAGCCAAGCTAATGTTAAAATGTTATAAGTGCAGAAAAGTGAGTCATAAGCGGTCAGAGTGTAGAAGCAAGGTAAATGACAGTGTGGAACGACCTTCGATGACAGCAACAGCATTGCAGCCTGCAGTGAAGTCTCTGGTGTGTTTAAATGTGGCAAGCTTGGTCACATCACGCTCCGGTGCATAAGTAGTGCCAGTCAAGTGGACGGCAGCAATATGGGTGCAACACGAACGGAACGACGCGTGGATGTATGTGTTGTACAACCATCTTCGAATGCTCAATGGCATAGAGGTAATCTGTATTGCTTTTGTTATAATCATGGTGCTGAATATTCGTTAGTAAGATAACATTTAGCAGTCAAATTGTGTGGTTAACGATTTTGTCCTTGCAATTTCTAGTATTGATCAAAACGGAATATTCCGCACAGAGTAAAATTTGTTTTGTAACGATTAACGGTCATTCTCTTGAAATCTTTTGAAATATTATGTTTTGCCTAATTATTAGTTACAAAATGGTATCTTGATAGAACATGAGATATTGAAAGGTTTTCTATAAACATGACTGCTATAAATTCTTTACACAAAAATTCTAGTAGGTCATGTACCAATAGAGGTTGATGTAAATAATGATCATCATGCCAAGCAAATGTTTTAATGAAGTCGATGGAAACCGATGTAAGCATTCTGACGGCCGTAGTAGTGTCGACCGTACTAGTAACTATTACGTAGTCATAGCCTGGTAAAAGTCGGTCTTTTGAGGAAGCTCAAACTAAATAGACCGTGGGTGTGTGATGTGCGTTTAGTTCTGGCGGAGGTCGGGGTCTGTCATGACCATAGTGTGTAGTCATCGAGAGGATGATATACACGGTGATCCCGTAGTGGATGCACCTGGATTGTGGAGCAATTGTGATTGCTGGTTGGCTTGTAAAGCCGTGGCCTAAGAGTGGTTTACAGAGGTGCTAGTAAATTTGAAAATTAGTTTTGATTGCTAAAGTGTTGAATGATGTTGGTACATGGCTCTGGATGACTAATGATTTTAGTTAGATTGGAGATAGTTACAGTGACTTGGAGTTAAAAAACAAAGGTGTTAGCGTTAAAGCTTTTCGTTAGAATAAAGATGATTCAGATTCAAAGTTAAGTTTTATCTGGTCAGGATTGACCGAGTCGAGCAAGTATTTTCGTTGATTATTTGGTTGCAGGCTAACACACGGCTAACACACGAGGGCGTGTGCACGCAGGATGGCCGTGTCGGAGACGGTCATCAATACGGTCGCTAAACGAAGCGCGGCACGACGCCTGAGTGATGGCAGCACCTTCGGTATTATCGCCAACACTCAGCGAGCTTCGTGCTACGACGGAGCCTAGCTAAGGGAGGGGTGCTAAGAGGGCTGGACACTTGCCTTCGAGCCGAGCCAAGCTTAGGACCGCTCCACTAGGAACTGTCTTGCGTTCCGTATTGTCTATACGTGGTAATAGTGAAGTGGTATATGGTTGTGTAGTGAAGTGCTGTTTAACTATGTACAAAGTGATTATTGTTAATTTGAAATACAACTGTGATTGCATCGACTTTCATTTGAACCAACACTTCCCATATAACGCCCACTGTATAAGTCATGATAAAATAATGGAAAATAATAGAGAAAATTAATGTTGCTTCGATATATAGATGTTATATTATTGTATTAATAAAAACTAAATGCTACTAAAATTTATGAGGCAAAGAATTCAACTACAATTTTAATTGCTAAATTTTAATGGAGGCATGATTATGGTCTTATGAATTCCTTCTATATTATTATAGTTATCAAGTACACAGTGAATACTGCAAAATCTAATTTACTAACACACAATCTCGACTTAAATCCCTGTCAACCAAAAACGAACCCACTCTAGTATTGCTGGGCTCTGATGATTGACAGTGGTAGGATTTAGCTGAAATGTTCGTTTTTAGGGGGTCGTGTTCACATTTAAATTGTTAACGTTTTGCGCATTAGAGACCGCTCTTAGGACCCATTTCATCTCGTGGGATTTACATGTCTCTCTCTTATATCGTATAATTTTTTCGAAACATATTTATTTAATACATTTAAAATGTTGTCGTTAACATTTATTTTTAAAATAACACCAGTTTGAAAGTAAACTTCTGTCCTTCAGACTGTTTCATTTGATTTCATCACGTGAGTGTGTAGTTATTTCTGTCCACTAACAAAGCAATCCCTGTATGGTTCTGTTTGAGAGACACTATAACAAAGGCTATTGAAGTTATTTATGCTGTTATTATTTTAATAATTGTTGATAAGAAAGAAAGTATCAAAAAAATATACAGTTTTATTTAAGAGAACATTGCTCAATCTCTACAAAAGTGTACTAAATCATTGTTATTAATTAACCACCTTAAAAGCTAAGTATTAATTGTGAACTTAGCATTGAAATATCAACATATTTAGAATAAATCGTGAATTTCATTTTAAACTAGCGACTAAACCTCGCTTCGCTCGGGTTCGTCCTTGTTTCGCCGTACAAATTTTCATCCCCATTCTCACCCCCTTAAGGGATGATTTCCGGGATAAAACCTATTTCATCCACTCACTTTTCATATCATGAAGTTTAAAAAAAACTTATTTTAGTAAAAACAAATTCTTTTAATTTTCTTCTATACAAAACTTGTCCTGACAATAACAAATACAAAAAATATTTATATAGATATACTTAATATAAAAAATCAAGTGAATTATTGCTGGATGATATTTCAATTTCCCCTAAAAATATATGAGGTTGTATGAAATGACGAACTACGTGTTATAGTGTATATTTATCTGTAAGTAGTTTTAATTATCCCTGAAATTAATTAAAATTTATTAGAAATTTTATATAAAAAACTTAAACCTACTTGATTTTTTTTATTCTGCGTAAGATAAAGTAAAATATATATTTAAGGCGAATAACGTTAGATGTAAAAAATATGGTATGAATTTACGTAATAAAATAAAATATACATATTGAATTTTATTACAAAAGGCTTGCAAAAATCTAATTGAATTAATCTACTATGACATATATATATATATATATATATATATATATATATATATATTAATCACGTTACTTCCTAATATATTTCAAATATTTCTGAGTGGCTAAATGCCCAAGTGATATATTCATTTCGAAAGATGTTTGCTGCACTAACAATGCAGAAAGCCAACCGACAATGTGGCGCCCGCCCAGCTGTAAATGAGGTGCGCATTAATGTATCACTATTAAATACATAACTGTTATTGTTCGTCATTAACTAAGCTTCATGCTGGTTTATTACTTTAACCTCTCAACATTATAATACTATTATATCTTTAACATTATTATAGTAAAGCATAAGCCTTTTTCTTTATTCCTGCGAAATAGGTATAACGTAGACAATTGACAATACGTGCCGGATACTACCTAGCTACATTTTTTACGGGATAGACATTACTAATAACACACAGTTCTTAAATAATGCCTAATCCCTGCTACGTTGCGATTTATAGTATACTAGCGGCTCACCCTCGTTTCGCTTATGTTCACCTCTAGGAAAACAAAAACAAACCTATCCCACGGGAACCGTACATTTTTCTGGGATAATAAGTACCCTATGTGTTATTCCAGACTATGATCTACCTCTGTGCCAAATTTCATTAAGATCCGTTGAGACTTCTGGCGTGAAAGAGTAACAAACATCCATACTCACACTTTCACATTTATAATATTAATACGGATAATAATAATAATACGGTATTTATGTATGTTCCGCTAGTATAAGGATCGACATAAATGAGTAATTATAATAGTAAGTCAAGTTAGATTATCATTTCATAAAATATTGTTTATTTAAATAACATATTTGTCACTTAACCGTTAAAATATACTCGGGCAAAATAAATCTTATTTGTATATTTTAAGAGGGTTTAGCTAACGTAAGACGTCGATGTAAAATTGCTGAATTAAGGCAAAAGTTTTGCTGTAATATTTTCCTCAGCGACCTATGCTTTCGAAGACTTTTTCATATTTCACAAAACGAAAAACTACATATATAGATAAACCTTTCTTTTTTCTATCTAAAGATTTTAAAAGATTGAAAACTGAGTTGTTAATAAAATTTAACTTTGAGAGGAAATACATTTACTAAATGACCTACGAGTATATATTTCGGACTAACTAAATATTGCTATGCTTTTATATTTTAACTTATTTTTACCTTATTTTTCTTTAAATTCAACACCACAACATTTGTCTGCATTAATACTTTTTTCACATCAATAATTTGGAAAATGCGCTTAACAGAATCTATACGAGTCTTGAATCTATGATGGCGTTAGTCGGCGTTACTCGAGCAGCCTGCTGGCTTATTTGTATGTAGCTCAGTCTCGCGCCGATGCGGAGGGCGTATCCAAGACGCTCAGCGCAATTTTTCAACGCTTCGATTTCGTGTTTGGGAAGCCGATATGGCAACCGCAGTGCAGCCGGTACTCCCCGCCGCACCTGCTCCCGCGCCGCGCTACCTACTGCAACTTTAATCCCCGATTCCACATCGCACGAACGCGCATCGACGCGACTCTATATTTCAATTAATTCGGCCATCCATTCCCAACGTGAAACTTCACATCGCTTAGCTTGCCCCGCCGCTCGCTGTCAAACGAGCACTTGACGTGACGTCGCCATAACATAGATCGCATCGTTTGACATTATTCGCATTTCGATCATATTCTACGGCAATTTAATTCAATTTTTACCACTTCAATGTTGGCTGAAATCTCATATTATTCGGGTATTTAATATTTATTTTATATAGACTTAGGGAATATAGAGTTAATGAATAAGCTAATTTAAGTATATGATGTAATATTATGTCATTACAAATTATAACTGCACGTTTATTTTTAAATTTATAGTTTCATATTGTCCAATATTTATAAATATACTATAGATTGTTCAATTGAGTCTGAAACCGTCCACCGTAACAGTTATAAATTCTTTCGCCTTATAAGACAGCTCTGTATAGAATTTATCGGTTCATTTCTTATTCTTATTGCGAACGAGCGCTAGGGCGGCGCACGTGTCCGCTCCATTGCTGAATCAACTTAACCCGCCTGCCGCTGCCTGTGCCGCAACTGAATGAACTTAATTTGATTCCGATTGTATTTAGTTCCTCCAACGTTCTCACTTAATGACCGAAAAGAACGAAGTAATCCTTTTTCTTTTAAAGTACCACAGATTCGAATTATTTAATCATTTTTTCGGTACCTACTATTTATTACATGTACTTTAGGATTGTTTTATAATTCGAAGAAATGTTCATGCTTATTCAATTAATTTTCTTAAATTATGTTCATTAATAATTTAATGAATTTCAAAGACGTATATCATACATTGAAATGTAATAAACAATCATCTTTATTTAAATGTCGAATGTAGCATCTTCATATTACGACTCCTATATCTACAATATAATTAATATTTCATATTTCCTTAATCAATTAAACTTCTTCATTGCATAAGGAAATATAGAATAGTATTATTCATGCAATTGTTGTGTTTAATGTTGAATCTGAATATCATTATCGTCATTGTTTCTACATATTGAGTGTATTGAAAATAATAATGTGACCAAATTACAGAAACAACGAATCCCTAAAATTGGATTGTATGAACTGAACAGAAAGTGGTGGTGTTTGCTAAAACCACAAGCAACTTTATACAGTGATGTTACATTGTAGAGATAACTGGCACCGCGGAGGCACAAAGTAATTAGATAGCTGTTGTACTGTTCACTTGTTCAGCGCTTTTCCAATGAACGGTCTCCCGTTCTCGTGTTTAATTGCAGCCCAAACCGTAACGGACAGCGGGCCGTTTTTGTCTAACCCCAATGAGACGAACCGCGTATCCTTTAATGATCCACCACCCTCCCGCCGCCCCAAATAAACCTTCATTGTTTACCCTTATACTTTTATTAGATGTGTGCGAACTGTCACTGAGACTTTCTCAGTGATTTTGGCAGACTAATATTTTGCAGGACATTATTAATAGGTTCTAATGTTTCAGATAATTTGTTAGAAATACACTCGAACAAAATATTCCCATACGTTGTAAGTTCAATGGTATTGTTTCTCTTGTTCCGTAGAATCTCAATACAAATTTGGACGTCCCTATTAATGTTGTATATTGTTTAATTGTATCATAATTCATATCGAAGTTCCATTGTGTGCGCTAATTCAACACTCATGGTACGTAAACAAAACTTCGCTCCTCCAATCTATCTCGGTTACGCCCGCATTCGGCACCGCGTGAATAATCCACGCTCCCGGAACGAGTTGCCCGGATCGGATGCCGCTTGTAATTCCACATTTTCGCACCGACAGCCTTCCGAGTACGCATTTAAGTTTTTGCTCGCGACCCAGACCTATTCACACTCACAGTTAATTTTCCGAATTCAATTTTACAACCCATTCACTTAGAGAAGGCAAATACTTATATAATTGGACTTTGTAAGTACTGGCTTTAACATTAGGGAAACAATGCCACATTATTACTTTATTGATTTTTTCAAGATAAATCGTGCGGTCTAGATTTAATACGACATCTTATAAAAAATATTAAAACAGTTAGCAAAAGTTATTTGCTAAAGTTTAAGTTAACTCCCCTAATTTTAATTAAAAAATATAAAGTGTTAAAAGTTGATGTAAATCAGCGTTTACTTTCTTAGTGCTAGATAATACGTTTGTAATAATAATTCAGCGCTGTGGAAGTAATTAATTAGATGGTGTAGTATATTTACTGAGTTGGCCAATAAGCTAACTTGTAGCGTGGGAGGTAAGAGCTCAACTTTAGTACGCCCGTAACGTCATGCTATAACCATTTGTCATCATCTCCATATTTGCCATTACTCTTAAGAATTAGGATGATAAACTATAATTATTAATAGCAACGTTACCAAAATGCAAAATCACTATTATGTTGATACATAACATAAATAATTCTATATCTCAATTTTGTTAACTATACGTATCTATATTGTAATAAATTTCGTAGATTAGATATAAAATTAGCTCATTCGTTATATAAAAACTTTCTAAGGTTTGTTACACTTAGAAGCTTTCAGTTGCGGTGTCTAACTTACCTCAGTATTTCCTTGCTTGTCACAGCCGACGCTCGTTCTTATAGCATTTGTATTTTCTATTAAAAAAACGCATCGGATTTCCTGTAAAAGAGACCGTGAAGGGTTTTAGAGGTGTCAATAAAATATTTTTTCAAGGTAACTCGTTCGGAGTCTCGAAACAAAGAGGTGCAGTTTCGAAACAATCAAATTAATTTTCCTCGTTGTTGTTTAATTAGCGCCGACTCTTGGATGGCTGGGTGGGTGCCGGGCGGCCGGGCGGCCGGTGTTTATCATCGGAAACAATCGCAACCATCCGAGCCCCACACCCCGCACCTCACACCGCTTCCGCGAAACCTATTATTGTAGGAGTCAAGATTTTACCCCACAATGACTTTAATTCGTCACTCCGTGTGACTTCATTATATTTTAAAGATAGCTATTGTTCAATCTTATAAAGTTAAAGTATCAATAAATTCAAATAATTAATAAGTTTTTTTTTGTTACAGGTAATATCGGCTATATGCCAACGGTAATAAGTGTCCAAAAAATAATATATACTAGAAAGTAAGTATAAATTAAAATGGAGAATCTAAAGCGAATTAGTGTACTAAAAAATATGAAACAGTACACTTGGTGTGAAGCCTTATGTAGTTAGTTAATCTGAAGCCGTACCTAATTAAATTGTAGCTGTAGGTGCCCCGGTATCGGCCATTCCCTGTCCAGCGGCTTACCTGTTCGGACTTTTACTATTGTGCACTCTTCCATACTATATACTTTTTTTTTAAATGTGTTAACTGTATATCTTCCTTTTTGGATATATTCAGGTGAGAAAATAAAATATTTCTATATTTCTTTTAAAGTAAAACATCATTATTATGTTTATTACAAACCATATCGCGTCCTAGTAAATGCAATTAGACTAATTAAATTTCTAACAGGTAACATAAAAAACAAAAGTGTTTGTTTATTTAAATTTATAAGGATTATCAATAAGATTTCTAACTTATTCGGTTTTAACTTTTTGTCCTAGTTCATAGTCTCTTGCCTTGTGGCAACATTTAATTTAATTACTCACAGCGCTATTGAAAACGTCTATTATCTAGTTGTGTAAGATCCGAAGTAAAGCACCAACCATATGGTTGCCGGATGAAAAGTAATTGCATTAAACTTAATATATTTAACCAAATATATGGTTGCTTAATGAAAATGTCTATGGTTCCATATACCTACTCAGCGTAATGTATTAATTAAATTTTGTTTTATGCTTCATTTATTTGCTTACATAAGCTTTTAAACTGAGTCTTCTATACACAATTGTACGTGCAATACTTGTTCGTTGCTTATCTTCTTTACTCAAATTTTAAATGTCCACTTAAACAATACTATTGTTAAAATAATATTAAATATATCTATATCTATAATAAAACTGTAGAGGTCGAATGTCTGTACATAGAAAATAAATGCTAAAAACCGAGTCAGAGGGATGTAAGAAGACAAATAGAACGAATCCAGATTTTTTTCAATTTTTTTGTTTCTCTGTCTGTTTGTACGGGCTAATCTCCGAATCTATTGGACCGATTTAGATGAAAATTTGCATGGTGGTATCCTATATCCCCGGGCAACATCTTAGATACTTTTCACTCCGGAAAATTTAAAGAGTTCCCGTGGGTAAAAATCTATAATAACTTATACCGCTTAGTACACAAAAACTACTGATTGGATTTTGATGAAACTTTACAATAATATCCATACTAACATTATAAACGTGAAAGTGTGTTTGTTTGTTTGTCTTTCTTTCACGTTTAATAAAATTAAATAAATACGTGTTTTAGCATTTTTCGAAATTCATCCTATAAGGAGGTAAAATAGGGGATGAAAGTTTGTATGAAACTATCTTTTTAGAGATTTTTTGTAGTTTTTTGCGCGAACGAAGCCGCGGGTTCTGCTAGTTAATGTATTGAGTTTAATACAAAAAAAATATTATCTGGTAAGCAAAGAGGTACCTATTAATTATTAACAACATATCTAAAATCATTCTATACGAGTAGTTTCTTATAAGCAGAGATTTTTTACTGGTGTAAATTTTGACTTTTATATTGCCGCAAAGGTGTGAACTTATATATGACCGCATTCTATCGCTATCTAGAAGCTTTGTTCGTCCGATACTAATTTACTACGACGCTTGTAAGTGCTCACCCTTATAATAAGGGGAAATAACATTTCTCCCCAGACGATAATTGCGTTTCTTCATTTTCATTACTTATATCATATCGTATATGACGAGTTATAGACGTGGTTATTACCTATTCTTAAGGCGCCCTAAACGAAGGGATTACTGCTAGTTTCCAACTACGCTCGACACGACCTGGAACTTTGACCTCGAGGTGCTCTAGCCCCTTTCGTTTTATGGACTTGTTTGACTACAATACTGTATGCTTACTATATAATTTAGGGTGTATTTTACCCATAAATTAAAACAGTAAAAGAAATGTCAAGTTCTATTTTTTTACAAATCTTAAAATGTTGGAAAACCGAAAAGAAAATTAAATTGAAAACCTAACTGCTTCTAGATACTCGTAAACTTGTATGTTGTACTGTAGAAAAAAAAGTCTTAATGAGGTATTAAATAAGTGTTTGTTGTTGAAAACAATATTGAAAATTATGATACACCTTAATGGTAAAATAATTTGACTTAAATTACTATCAATATGTATTAAACCTATACATAGGTACCTATAATATAATTGTAATGAAGCCGAAACTGTACATTAAATATTTTTTGGAAAATCTTATTGAAATAAACATTATTATCGATACAGAGGCCGAATCTATAGTTTTTAGAATTTTTGTCTATCTGTCTGTCTGTTACCGCATCACAGAATAACCACTGGAGGGATTTTGAAGAAATTTGGTATGGTGATAGCTGGTTATCCGGGTCAACATATAGGATACTTTTTCGGGAAAAAATGTCCCATTTTTGAGAAAAAATACAAAAACTGTAATGTAAGAGTATACTAATATGTATAACCTAATAATTTGGTTTTTGGTCATCTGAACGCGGGCGGAGCCGCGGGCAATGCTAGTCGTAAATATAAACAAATTAAAATACCTACCATAGCCCATTATGCTAGCTTCGTGTATTGTTACTTAGCTTATATTGTTTCTGTGTAATAATATTAGTTCGTCAGACTGTGTCATTAAATTCGCGTGATATTTACCATAACTTCAATCGAGCCATAGAGAAAAATAAAGCCATATATAAAATAGTTTTATAATTAGGTATATAAAATAACTAGCGGCTCACTCTTAATAATCCGGGATAAAAAGTAGCCTATTTGTTATTCTGATGTATGAACTATATTATTGTAAAGTTTCATTAAAATCCAATCAATAGTTTTAGTGTAGATACTTTAATTTTCCGGGATGTAAAAGTATCTTAAATGTTGACCGGGGATATAAGTTACCACCATGCAAAATTTCATTTAAATCGGTCCAACATTTTCGGAGATTCGCCCGTACAACAGACAAACAGAGAAACAAAAAAATTGAAAAAATCTGGACTTCTTCTATTTCTTTTCTTACAGCTTTTCTATGTACAGACATTCGATCTCTACAGTTTTATTATATGTATAGATAATAAATAATAATTATTAGTCATATAAAATAACAATTTAACTGATTAACCCAAATTATTAGAAAGAATAAATATGAGCATCATTTTTGTAATATATTTTTGTAAATCAAATTCTCGCACTATCAAACAGGTACTTATAATTTCAATAATTAAAACGTATTGAAAAGAATACAAGGGTTGCAAGCAGAATATTTTGATAAAATCAAAATTGCTTTTCAGCGATAAATCTGTATTTATTGATGTTACACGTTCACTCTGGCGTTCAGCAAAATATTCAGTTTGCGATTTGATATGCCGCTTTATCACGTCAATTTTGTATAATGTATAAAATATATCTTTCTGTAGCGCGGCATATAAAGTAACTTAACATATTGCTAGTTTATTTCGTCCACGGCTAAACGGTTCAGCTCGGAGATTCGTATTTGTAATATGGCTGGTTATTAATAGCCGCGATAGCAGGTAGCCCGCGGCATAACACGATATTTGGGAAATCCGGATTTGCATAGGATAATGGAAGCGTTGCGATGCAATTCACAGTTCGCTTGCGGTGACTGCCCCATGCTATTGACCCTCTTAGACTCTTAGTGAAATATCGCCAGAAACTTAATTTGTATTTATATTTATTGATCTGTTATATATAAATATAAATTTTATAATTAAATGAGTTATATCTTTAAAATAGATTCATTTTATAATTGACAACTCGTCACGAGTATTTTCGATGCGCATTGAATTCTGTGACACGTTTACGCTGATTGTATTAAATCTGCATTTTCATGGAAAATTAACGTTGGTATACAAATAAATAAATTTAAATAATATTCACTTTATTATTTATTAACTAGCACTTCACAGTTTCACGTAGAAACAATTGTTTGTAGGCTTTCCGTATTTATAAAAGTATATAATATGTATCTCTGCGATATTTTCATCTTAACCCATTATGAAGTGTCATTTGCATAGTATGCTTTTATAAACATTTTTAATTTTAATACACTCTATTGTATTTTCATTATTGTTTGAAAACATTTTAGAATTGATAATTAAAATTAGGTAAATATTGTAAACTGTATAGCGTTGGTACTAATTTAAATTTTGTTTTCGTTTCTTTTATAACTTATTTAAGTGAATTAGATAACTCTTTCGCAATGTAATTGAAAGGTAAATGTATATTTACCTCATAATATAATCAAAAAACAAAACAAAAATGATAATAATTGGTAGCAGGTGGGTGTAAGCGGGGTAGGAGAGGTATGGGGGCGCGGGGGCGTCGCGTGCCTGATGTATGCGCCGCCGCCGCGTCGCCAGACCCGCCGGCGCCGCGACGCCGTCCCACAATGCAGATATCGTGCAATGCTACCGCAACCTTAGCGCTTTCGCCGTTTACGTCCACGCGAATCTAGATTCCTATCGAGTTGCTGCCAAAAACACAATTTTATAGCACCAGGAAATCGTTACTCAGGACGCGTAGGTATGCGTCAAATAAACCTTTAAGCAAAAACAACAACTTTAAAGATCAATGCTCTTGCGTGTTCTTATTTGTGCTATGTTTATCACTATTATTTATCGTACAATATAGTTGCTTATTTCTTCACATTCGCACTATTTTTTGTTCTATCTTTAAAGACAAAATATCGGTAAATTATATGTTCTTTTTTAAAGATAATTATAACGTAGAACAGGAAATCGTACGTTTAATATTGAAGAGTTTACTCATCATCAAATCTATACACTCATGGGTTGAGCTTTGATTGATGCGTGGCGTAATGACGCGGGAAACTATTTCCTTCACATTTCCCTTACTCAATAAAATATCAAATATGCTTATTTATATGTTCGCGTTACTTTATTTGAGGCTTTGTCAATACGGCCCGTAGTATCGACTAAACTTGAAAGACCGTCATTTGTCAAGATTATGGATGTTTGGGGATTGAGATACGAAGAGCTGTTATTGTTTAGAATATATTTCTTTTTGGGATATCGCGTCTTAAGTATATTTTTAGGTTATTTACATCCCTAAAGCTACTGGACAGATAGACTAGTTTAACTATATAATATGCTAGTATTACTTGTCTATAAAATAAAATTGTTTATAGACCTCAATGTTTTTATTCAGAATTAATTTCGAGTTATTAAATATAGATTGATAAAAGCACTCCATGGAAATAGATAATTAAAAACTTATTACATTATGATATTAAAATATATTGTTACTTAAACAGAGAAGTTAATCTTCTTTCCTAAACATTATTTACATATAAGCACGTTATTTACATACGTCTAGATAAAAATAGACTTATTATTCCAAATATTATCAAGCTGTTTTTATTTTCTATACAAATTTTCTAATAAAGTTAACCTAAAAATATCGAGTCTATTGTTTGTGAGTATCCAATCAATAAGTCTAAATTGCGAATAATGGCAGTAATATAGTATGAGAGCAAACATTTTGGCGCTATTAATCTGGCAGCCTCGTGCTATATCGAGACGCTGGAGGCGGCACATTTATTTTATGTGCCGGCAATGTTACATACGCCATAAAAGTCGTTAGGACGGCGTAACGTCTCGCCAACGTCTTGGCCGCTGTAATTACGGGTGCCTATATGATCTCTATGCTTATAGCACCCGGCACCGCGTGCGCTCTGCCTAGCGCCCCTTACTTTACATTGAACCCCCACATTAACCCAACATGAAGCAATAACACTCTCGCACCTTCTAATGTACTGACTCGTACATAACGCCCTTTATTGGGTACTATAAATTCAGAATGAGCTTCGACTTTGCAAACAAAATTACAAATATTTTAATGTACCGATAAATTACTTCAAAATCTCATATAAAACTCCAGTGAACTTGTATCTTATCGCAACAGCGGAGTTTCCGAAACCTTAGTTATTTTCTTGTCTTGCACTACTTTGACTTCAGTAAAATAGGAAGTTAGAGCACATAAACTTACCATTTGTTGTTGTCTAGTCTGCTACTGTTACTATATTCTTTGTTATACATTACAATCCAAAAGCATTCATCGCTTGGAAGAACACAAACGAAAGTAGAATATAAAGAAGCTGCTGCCTACCATCGTAAATCAGAACGTTAATAACTTGACTGTGTAAAGAAAATTGATTTATGGGAACATGTTTACTAAGTTCTCGGGTTTTAGTGAGTGGAAAACGATGTGGCATGGGAAAACGCCGGGTGCAATATAGACATTAAGACTATTCAAACAGAATTCATTTTTCTGCGGTGACCTAAAGTTATAACCATAAAATTCCTTATTTAATATACTACGTATTTATAGTATCCTATTATAGGTACTAGCAGAACCCGCGGCTTCGCTCGCGCTAAAACTACAAAAAAAACTTTCATCCCCTCTTAGAGGTTGAATTTTAGAAAACGCTGAAATATGTAAGACATAATTTTTGACGTACTCATACGAAATTTCATGCAAATACGTCCAAGAAATAAAAAGTTTTATACAAACTTTTATCCCCTATTTCACCCCCTTGGGGGTTGAATTTTGAAAAATCCTATCTTAGTTTTTTTACTTACTAAAATCCTTTCTTACTTTTCTTAGGAAATTTAAAAAAAATTGGCCTGTGCGTTGATACATCAGTCAATCACTTTTGCCTTTTATATATATCTATACAGATAAATAAAATTGAAGTGTCTGTTTGTAATGTCAAAACAACAGCTTTTTACTAAATGTATATGGAATTATATACGGTATTTATAAGTAAAGCACAATTTTTAAAATTGTTGTCTGTCTGTTGTGTGTTTGTTCCGGCTAATCTCCGAAACCGATTTTGACGGGACTTTCACTGGCAGGTAATTAATGTTATAAGGTTAAAATATACCTAGGGACGAACCCGAGCGAAACGAGGTAGATAATATAATAGGTTTGGCTACTATAAATGTTTGTTAAAAAAGTAATAGTTTAAATCTTTTAATAATCACTTCGATTTAATTGATTGCATGAAACATATTCTATGTTATAAAAATAGTGTGCCTTTACTAAGTTTTACTTACGTATGTTGATCAGTTGAACCCTACGTGAGTAAAGGTGTACAAATTAGATATCGTACGTCTGGAACAGCGCGGAACTGATGTTACCTTTGGGGTCAGACACGGGGCGCAGATGGAAATTTATCACGTCCGCCGGAGCTGAGACTACAAGTTCGCGCATTAAACGACTCCGGGACATTAGCTGCTTGCAAGATGCCGCCCGAGATCATAATTAAGTGCCGCCCAATTTATCGGTCCGACCCGCACCCGAAAACTCCCCTTAAACTTCCCTTATCGTACCTACTAAAAGCTCTTTATTTTGTAGTTAGTCCGCCTCGCAATTATCGCCTTTTATCTTCGACTCTACGATACAATAGATCGCAAGCCGACCTAGCACGGCATCCGCGACATGAATAACAATTTGCATGATATTCAACTTTGTTAAAATTTCTAGCTATTTCTGTAAATAATCGAAAATGCTACTTTGCATTTGAGGCTAAGACTCGTTTTTAGGATATTTGTAATGTGACTCTTTAGAATCCGTTTCAGAATACCATCGCAAAGTGAAATCTTTAGTGAGATAGATGGAGCCATTGTTGTTGGTTACTATAATAGATAACCAGTACGAGACTAAAAAAATATTATTTAATGGGTCACAGTTGAATAATGGAATGAGTGTGTCACTCGAGTGAATGACTGAAGTAAGCTAGTGAATCGAAGTGTGTCAAGCGAGCCATGCCGTAACAGTGCTTGTCTGCTTAGACTAATTACTGCAGCAATTTCCAGCGGTTACACTATTTACGTTGTGCTGTGTACCCGCTCTCACCTACCTGGCTACATTTGCTCCAAACTACGCTTCAATAGATTGCGTCTTTTTAGGATTATTTAAAGTGTGCTCTTAGTCACCTTAACATATTTTTTTTTAATTTGGCAAAAATAGATAATAATGATGACAATGATTATACAATGCAACGTTCAAAAAGGGCCTTAGCACCTCTAGGTAAATTTCTAAGAATTTAATTAAAATTCTAAGAAATCTATTGTTAACTGACACGCCGGCGTGTCCGCGGTCGTGGAGGGACTAATATTTTTAATTGTTTAAACTTTTAGTACACTGTCACAATGAACTATTTCTGAGATAATACGTAATGTAATCCCCATATAAATAAATGCGCCGCCCAATGCTTTTTCCTGTTCGGGGATACGTAAAACAGGCAATTTACGCGAGCCTATAAGTAACAAGATTCATTAAGGCAGTTACAAAGTAGCACGGTCGTTCTTAAAGCGAATGGCCCTCAAGCTTACAGCGTTCATAATGGCCGTACGAGCCGGTCGAGGCGCCGCGCGCAATTTAATGAAACACCTGGAGAGGTCGTGCCTGCTTCCGTTGCATTAATCTCGCTGCTCGTACCCCGCGGCAGCCGTCTGCCGCTACTTTTTACCATTCAGACAGACCTTACGTCCGTAATCGTCATAAATGTAATTATAAAATATTATTCTGCAAATGTATGTGAATTTGTGTTATAATTGCAATAACCAACATATTTAAAAATAGTATGTGGCAGCGAACATCAAACTAATATCTAATTTAAGATGAGACTTATTTACGTAATACTATTACATCTTTAGTATAAATATAAAATGTACCTAGCTAATATTAATGCCAGCATAAACAACGGCTGACCAACGGCCCGCAGGCGGCAACGGCAAAAGTGGCCAAGATAACTCCGCGCACGAATGCATATTTTAACGTTAAGCTACGGCACCACGATGCAAACTTGTTTGGAACTTCACCAATGTGAATAATTCTTTATTTAAGATTTCTTAACAAGAAGTTTCTCTTTTTTGTCTTTGTTAGTTCTGTAAAAGTTTGCAAATATTTAAATATTATAATTAGAACGTTTTACCTACTTCGTTGAGTTAGTAACTACTAACTAGCAAGTTAGTACGTAAGTTATATATGAAAAACGTTACGTGACTTGAGAGCAATTCGAATGTAGTTCTAGACGCCGCCCAAAGCTGAAAATAAAAAAGTAGCACGAACGTGAGGCGTAAATACGCGCCCCTCTCGCGTGACGGCTCATTAGCCACTCCCTTGCGCCTCTATAAATCATTTTAAATTCAAATTCTACTTACTTTCAGAATTGACTTTGTTTACCTAATTCCATTTTAGCCGCAAAATTTTGCAAATTAGAATTTACCTTCTATCTATTATGGTATAGAAATTATTTTTTGCAATCTGTACTTTAATTAACCGAGCTTTGACTTGATATCAAGTACGAATAAAATGCACAATATTTAACTTTAAAGAATGTAATTGTAAAACGATTTCATTCTAACATTGTAAAAATACCAGCAGAATAACATAGTGAAAAGTTTGAAATTGTTGTTCTGAATTCTTTTTTTCTAGTAAGTACTGCAACACATTTTAAATACTATTGCAATTATTTACATTTTATTTGCCTCTCTCTAAATGAATTTCACAGCTATGTTAGCGCCTTAAATATATGTGCTCACAAATATCAAAGAGTTATCAAGTAGACAAAATGTTGTAGTGAACTGGGCACGTGGCCACGTGCCTAGGATACCGACATACTACATACACAGGTACACAAGTTGGCACGTCTCACCGAACGCTTCTATTCCCGTCCCTGTTCGACATCATGAACCATTTTGGCACCTACTTTTCGTGCGTACAAGTGGGCTTTAGGATTTAGCCGTAAGCGTGTCATTCATCTAATCGCCAACTCATTGTTTTCCTCGTGTGCCGATTTGCAGCGGCGCGTGGCGGGTCAGCCAATTGTAAACCAGCAAAGTACACTGATGCGCGTACGTACGACCGAGCACCGACCGAGTGTTTTGCCGACGGCTTGTCGCCAATCTATCAATTACAAACGATCAATCGACAGCCACGTGTTTCTGATACACAATATTTATAGGTATAAGCCTTGTATAGGTTTATTGTTCTGCTGGCTGGATATGAATGTTTTCATACATTTAACTACAGTTGATTTTAATTAATGTTGTAACATATAAATACTACTTCTGCACTCTTACATAAATATACAAGCTCTTAATATTTAAATAACATAATTTAAATATTTTAAATAGTGAGTATTATTATTAGAATTTCGAACAAGGATGTAGATAGTTGTGTCGCGACAGAGGGACACGGACGTCAGCGCGGCGGCAATAACGAAGGTGCTGGCGCGTGCCGACTGCCCGACTGCAACGACTGCATTGCACTACATGGCTCTCGAGGGCCGTTCGTTATACGCGTTACAGCTTTAAAGAGCACTCGGCCGCTTTACTCAACTTCACGAGACAAAAACGCCTTCGTTCATTTTTCATTGATGTCATTTTTCCACGGCGGTAAACACTTTCAGGAAGATTCTCGAATCCTTTGCTGTAAGTAAAGTTTATTATGGATTACGTGTACTTTGAAATAAAAGACTGTACATTTATATTTTATATCAAGTTTCAATAATAATTTAAATAGATAATAATATTCCCTATAAAAAGTAATTTTATTTATCTCAATTAAGAAGAAGCTATTATAGAAAGATGGACTTTTTGCAGCTTTGAATAAAAATAACATGAATAAACGAGTAGCGATATCATTTTTGTATGATAGACTTCTGATTTTTGTGGACAATTCGTGTTGAATATTGGAAATGATACGATGTAGATGACACTTATATAAACCCCTTGGTATTGCAAGAGAGCATTGTAGCATAAAGGATACGGCAAGGGAGGCATTTTCGTTTCTAGCCTCTACTATCACAAAAATGTTATTAGTTTTGGATGGTTATTGTCCACCCTGCGACCGCTAACCCTTCCCTTCCACCCCAACAAGTACCTTTTGACCATTCAAACGCCACCCTACATAACCAATTTAATTCTAAAAGTAGCACATATCTCTTATTACAACTGCTTCAACACAATCCACGATACTTTTTTACTCCTCCTTTCCTCGTAAAAATAACAATATTATGTCTATCTTATGATTCTTTTATAAAACTCAGAAAAATACGTTTTCAAACTATCTTTTACAAGGAGTATGTAAAGATTAATTATTATGTTTAATAATAAACACTTACATGGTCATAAAAAGAGAAAAATACAGGCGAGATTTGAAAATCAATAATTACATATATAGAAAGAGATAGATAGATAGTAGTGGTTAAAGCATTGTAATGTGCTGTGAGGGTGGAGCGATGACCATCAGTTTGAGGCGATCGACTATATGTCACGGCGAGCATCTGTCACGTTAATCGATGTGTCCACATATAAAAGCTCACGACTAAAACTATTCAATTTATAGCTAAAAAATTTTTCTTTTCGTATACGCTTAATTTTGGCACATAAAAATATAAAAATATTTATTATTAAAATAAAAATAAAATCTAAAATTTGTTTGTAATTATTTAAAATAATATTATGAGACTTTATTATTAAAGAAAAAGTTACTTCACAAATATGTTCATACTATTTTACAATCTAGAGATTAAAAATTTACAAGTGTTGCTATTTAACAAAGAATAGTATACCTAATCATATTTCAAATTACATGTGACAAAATAGTATTAATAATAGATATGTACATGTATGTATGTACATGTATAAAGAGCATCCGTTGGAAGGCACTAATTGTCGAATCTGTCCCTACTAATAAATACTAGTTTAATGGAGCAAACCAAGTTATCTTAGTTAAGATAGGAACGTGATCACCCATTCAAGTTTCACAAACGGCTGGCTAGGAATCGAAACTCGGTTAAGTAGACGGCGTAGCGTAACAGGAAATAATAACTTTATCCCGAGCTAAACTGCGAGAGGACCGTCCAACTAACATTATGCCTGCCAGTAACAAGTTAATCTAAATGCAGCCGACTGCTTGCACTAGCTAGTTTTAGCACGCATCGCCGAAGTTTAATAACTGAGAAAATTTGGAACCGCATCAGATTCAACTGTTGAGCTTAGATTCATTCGCTATTGTGATGCTTAGAGCTTGATCACGAAGTGTGCCCTAAAGTTTTGATTTACGTGGTGGCATAGACAAATTAGTGTATAGTAGTAGAAATAGTGAATTTCGTCATTGTAATTTGAAGAGTTGATAATAATATTATTTGTTATCTATATAGGTATATAAAAAAAGTCGGGTTTGTTACAACACTTATAATTCAAGTATGGCTGGACTGATTTTGATTATCTTTGATTTGTTGTATTTGTCTTCACCCCGAATAGCAGAATATGGATTAAAACATCGAAAAAATTTTATGAAAAAAAAAAATTACATGTCTAACGCTGGATGATAACTATTTATATCTATATAAATTGTACCCATTTATTTACATTGTAATTGTTGAAGAGAGGGTGAGCCGCTAGTTAATAATAAAATATAATACGGATAATGATAAAGTTATACATTAAAAACATTCAAGTAGTCAATATACTTATATATTTTTTACTATTAATTGTGTTTTGGTTATTGAATGATTGAAGACCAGTTAGGTATACATACATACATATATGTATAATATACGTATATTGTATAGGTTTTAGAATCCAATTTTATGTAGATATCAGTTAATATTAGTTTGAAGAATTAAATATATCCTACTAAATGTTATCCTACTTTTATAGTTATAATTAGACTTCAAACGCATTACGTACATTCTGTCCACTGTATGCTGAGTCGAATATATTATAATTTTTTAACCAATAAACAAGTACAATATGACATGTAAATCTGCATAATATGAGCATTGTATGAGTAATAAAATACCTTTGTAATTTAAGAATGCCTTCAATACTGAAATAAATTCCATGACTATACACAATAGCAGTTACGTCTTAATGTTAGATCAGGCCGCCTGCACGAGTAATGTATGAAATGACAAAAATTGTAATAAAATATACACAATTTTAATATATAGTAAAATACATAGCGTAAGCGAATGTTGAATTTCGAAGACTTCATTAATTTTTTTAAGTGTGAATTATAATATTTTTTGAACAAATATTTGACATGTCTTGTACGAGTATATGCCAATTTTCTGTAGAAATTGCCCGTATCCACTTTTGCGCTTGACAATCTTGAATGTAAATATAATTTTAAAAACAATATTTTGTATTTTAAAAGTAGCTTACCTAACTACTCAGAAATTTTGTTCAATGGAAGCAAATTCTCTTAACCTTCAATGAACTTTAGGATGTACTTTACCATAGATCAGAAACTTAATGAAACTTTGTATCACTTCTTAAATAAATTTACAAAGTGCTGTGACTCTTGAACTTTAACAAACGAATAAAATATTTTAAAACTTCACCCGCACAAAATTTATAAAAGACTGAGTAAGATTATATCGTATTATAGACATTATCAGTTACTCGAGTTTCTAACTAAATTACTTTGGTATTCAGTTGAAGTTTGTTTGTTTAAATATTTTTCTTTAAAACCAGCGATAAGGTCTTTTTCCGCTATTTTTTCACTGAATAAAATATGGCGTTGGGCTCGGCGTTTAGAGATAAAACGTCGACGAAGCTCTTCCTGTCACGTCGTGCGACAGTTAATTACGCGAGCTTAAATAAATCATCATAGGCGGATGCAGTGGAAGGTTTCGATTCTATAAACAATTATGTTGCGTTGAGTTTCACTAATTTTCAGAATTTAAAAATTAATTAATTATATGATAGTTTAGTATATGGGACGCGGCCCCTGGCGGAGTGGGTGGCTTTTTTGGGATAGTCCCCTATCCAAAAACAGGTGACAGCCCAAAAACAGGGAGCCTAAATATATAAAAATTATTTTAAGGAAATGTAGGAGTAAAAAGTTATTGAGACTTAAAGTTACAACATTACAATACATTTCTTTGCCAACTGGCAGAGTGGATGGTATTTTTGGATAGGGGAGGTGACAGAGTGTCAAAATATATAAAAAATATTTTGAGGAAACGTAGGAGTAAAAAGTTATTGAGACTTAAAGTTACAACATATCTACTACATTTCCATACATTTCTTTACCTAACTATGTGATTACAAAAAATAAACATGTACAATATATATTTCCACAACAATTAAGGCTTTATTGTATTTAATTTTTTAATAATTTCACAACAGTACCTATTGTAAGCAAAATAATCTTACATTTTGACAACTGTCAATTTCTGTTTTACATTACCGCTTAAATGACAACAGATTATATTAATACAATTTATAAACGTGAGTAGGTAGACTATTTTTAAAATCTAAGTGTATTATTTACTTTTGGTTTTTATTTTGCGATATCGTGGTTAGTTTAAGACTTAGGTTATTTATTTATTATTCGTCATAATATCTTGGTTAGGTTATGTTAGAACAGTTACCACATCGGTAGCGGCCGGCGAGTGCCATTATTATGACTAGAAAACTAGAAAATTCGAATTTCACGCAAAGTATAATTAAAAACACGACAAAACATAATATGAAAATAAGTTTTTAAAAATTCATAAAAAAAACTATGTATTTCCTATTTTTATTTTAAACCCAGAACCCTTGCTATTATAAGTGCTTTATGTTCATTTAAAATTCGGTGATAAATCTGACTCATCATCTGGAGATCATTTTGACAATTGAAATTTGAAAGTGACATTTTGATATTTCCAATAGCAATAATGTCTAAATAATGTATGGAAATGTAGTAACTTTAAGTCTCAATAACTTTTGACTCTTTTGTTTCCTCAAATAATTTTTATATATTTGGACTCTCTATCACCTCCCCTATTCAAAAATACCAGGCCCATTCCTCCAGGGGCCGCGTCCCATATATTAAAATGCAGCCGTGATTAATTTACGTTTTTTATCTATGTTTGCTAATTCTTACATCGAAATATAACTTTATACTATGTTTTTAAATATTCCAGGGCCGGTGTAACCGCGAGAAGCCGCCTTGCAAGTACTTTCATCCCCCGCAGCATCTTAAAGATCAACTTCTCATCAACGGTCGAAATCACCTAGCACTAAAGAACGCCTTAATGCAGCAAATGGGATTGACGCCGGGCCAGGTGCTACCTGGCCAAGTTCCTACTGTGGTAGGCGTTATTATTTGTACACTAGCTAATTTTAAATTAATGCTTTGAGCGATCGGCCCTCAATATGTAACTAAGTAGGCACTTTGTGCACGCAAATGCAGCTTTAAGTGTTATTTGCTATAACGTAATATTTGAGCATAACTATAATAAATGATTAAATGTAGATAAATTAAAAAGCATATGGTTTAAATTGTGCTTGGAATTTTTCGATTTACTCAAACAAAATATTTTTTTATGTATAAAAAACGTAACTGACTATTTAAGGTAGGATCTCGAGGAATCAATTGCAATAAGTTTATGAATGTTTTCTTTTCTCATAAATGTCAACATGCTTCGTCATAAAAAAATATATAGACACAAATGTACACAATATAAATAGTTATATTGGTTGACGTTTTCAAAAGCAGGTACAATTTAAACTCATACGCCGATGGCCAATCGCTCATCACCGCTTAAGCATGTTTGTATTGTACAATTTTATTCGTTCCTAAATGGCATGTTTATTCTGAAACTTACATCTTTATCAAATGGGTATAAGCGGTAATGCAAATTAAATCACTGAAATATATTCCTTCACTATTCACACTTTTGCTAACATTACGGCCCGATCTCCTCGGAGTCCCTCCTCGCACCGACGCCTCTTATATGTTCTCCTTCAGGAGCTTCTAGTTCTTTCATAATGTGCAACGGCTGCGCTTGAGTAGATTTGGATAATATAGTGCGCGGAGCGACGTCGAGGGGCAAAGGACAGGCTGTCCCTCGCACGATGAGTAGCGTGTTTGTGTGGTTTTGTGTTGAGGTGGGCGGCGTGAGCGGAGCGGGAGCGGCTGCGAGCCACCTCGCTGCGCTGGATCCGATCAGTCTGGCCCTGCTCGCTCCGCAGGTAATGACTGACGCCTTGCCGCTGCCGGCCCCTCGCACCACTCGTCTTAACCTCCTCTATTCCTTCCTTTGTACTCGTTTATTCTGCAAAACTATCCGAATGTGCATTAGAATGTATCAGTTGGTGTTTAGAATTTTTAACAGCGTACCTACACCTTTTTTTTAAACCTAATCCTATCCTTGGCCGGTGGAGGTGTTTTAACCGGACAGACCGTATGCTTTTTTACTTTCTATTTCCAATACCAATAATGCATGAAAAAGCTTAACTTGCTAACTTTATGTTATACTAACAGGAGTAGTAGGTGCAATTTCGAGCTCTCTTTATTTATTTATGCTTGTAAAAATTATAAGGCTTATTGGATTTATTAAATTACATTTTTTTTTAATATCAGTAAAATTAACATCAAGGAGAATTAAGTACTAGAAAATAATTAATATTTATATATTTATCTTAGGCGACATCTCCGTACTTATCGGGAGTGCCAGGCGTTGGGTCCACATATGCCCAATATTATACGCCACAGTTGGTGCCCGCGATGCTCGGGCACGACCCGTCGGCCGCGGCGGCCTCGCCGCTAGGCGTCATGCAGCAACCAGTATTGCAGCAGAAACTGCCTCGCACTGATCGGCTTGAGGTAAGAACATTACGTTACCCGTTTGACTCTTATTGTCCTTCACTCCGAGTAGTGCTTCCTGATGTTGCCATTTTCTGGGGACCGACACAATTTTCTTTTAAAACGGCTGAGATAGTGAAATGAATTAATAAATATCATCGTCATTGGTAGTTCATTTTTTCACATTTACAAAGCTTTTCTTTGTAAATATTGTAATGTAGTGTCGGTCTCCTGTGCAATGTAAAGGCGATGCAGCCTATACCTGTCCCCGTGTGTATGTGGCGCGTGGGCGCACTGGCTCGAACTGTCTGCGCGTGTGCTTTGCGAGCATCACTCGCTTTACTCTCCCCCCGGTGAAGGGCCTACACTGTTGGTGCAATGTCGGCAACATTGCCATGCTTTGTTAACAATATCAAATTCGCCCACTTAATACTCTTCAAAGTAGTCATTTGAGGTAAACATATTCATAACAAGAAGCTGCCGCCTCTTAGCCTTTGATAAAACTTTATAATAAATTATAATAAAACTGTGCTTATAATGTATTGGTACCAATTTAATAGGTTATATATACCATTGAAGTACAATATTTGAAAAATTAGATATTGAAAAAATTAAACAGATGATGCGACGGATGCGTTGTCCTTTTATAGCTCAGAGTAAATGATTAAATTTTAAAGCGGCGTCGGGTGAAGTTTTATTTTTTTTAAATCATATTGCAATTTTAAATGTTTTCAAATCATTTTTAATAAAGTTATTAATAAACATGTTAAACATGTACTTGCTACGTACATATAATCTGCTGCGCGAAATAACTACACAGTCTGTAATAATCGTCAAACAAAATAGTAATCTAACGTGTTAAGTAGGCGCGAAAGATTACAATAGTTGGCCGGTGCGGTGTAGTCGAACAGTAATGGGTAGAGAGGCGCGTACACCCACCGGAGCGCGAGCGGCGACATGGCTGGTGTGTGGTGGTGCAGGTGTGCCGGGAGTTCCTGCGCGGCGCGTGCAAGCGCGCCGAGTCCGAGTGTCGCTTCGCACACCCGCCGCCGCCCGTGGTCGCGCATGACGACGGCTGTGTCACGGTGTGCATGGACGCCGTCAAGGGCCGCTGCGTCCGCGACCCCTGCCGCTATTTCCACCCTCCCCTGCACCTGCAGGCGCACCTTAAGGCGCAGGCGCGCGGCGCGGTACGCCACCAGGCTGCACGCTCTCGCCTCGCTCGCTCGCGCTCGCTTATCTTCTTCCGCTTGGTCTCGCTCGCCGCGACGCCGCTTTTGTTCGCAGAGCTTGTTCTGTTGAGTTCGCCGCGGTGTCGATCCGCGTCACGCTTCCGTCGCACTCACGCTTCACTTTTAATTTTTTTATCTATCGCATAATATCACCTTTTGCCGAGCTTTAGGTGTATTCTGTGCATCTATTACATCGTTATTGTTTCCGTCCCGTCCTGCGACGCTTCGCTTCACGTAGACGGCCGCCGCAGCGCAGCAGCCGGCAGCGAGCGCGACTTCGGAGCCGGGCAAGAAACGTCCGGCGCCCGCCGAGCTCGAGCCGCCACCGGTACAGCCGCCAGCTTTGCACGCTTCTCCTTCCCTTCCCACTCCTGCCCGCACGCTCCCTGCGGCCCTTCCCGGGCGGCGCGGCGCAGGCTGGCCGCCCCCGCCCGCCGGCGCCCCGCCGCCCTTAAACCTCCCGCCTCGGAGCCCATCGAACCCCGTTCAACCGTCTCATTTCTCTTTTCAGATGGACATGAAAAGCGTCGGATCCTTCTATTACGATAACTTCGTAAGTATCTCCAAGCGACGCTACAAGCTACGGGGATCGGAGTCCCCTTTACAAGTCGACATTATAAACTAACCCGATCGCTCTCCCGTTGCAGGCCTTCCCCGGGGTGGTGCCTTACAAGCGACCCGCCGCCGACAAAGCCGGAGTCCCCGTGTACCAGCCGGCGACCACGTACCAGCAACTGATGCAGCTGCAGCAGCCGTTCGTGCCCGTGTCATGTGAGTACCCCGCGCCCGCCTCGTCCGCCCCGCCGGCCGCGGCGCCGGCCGCGCCCGCGCCGCAGCCCGCGCCGCCCGCGTCGCCGCCCGCGTCCGCCGACGCGCCCGCGCCCGACGCCGCCGCCGTCGCCAAGGAGGTGGCGCACAAGAACTACGCGGCAGCCCTGGCGCTGGCGGCGCAGCAGTCCGCCATGGCGCACGCGGCCGCCGCGTACACACAGCAGGCGTTCAAGGCGCGCGCCGCCATGCCGGGCCTCATGCGCGCGCCGCTCATGATGCGGCCGGGCTGGCCCGGGCCGCCCGTGCCCATGCCCGCCTTCTACCAGCAGCCGTACGCGGCCATGTACGCGATGCCGCCGCCGACGCCGCCCGCTGCCGCCGCGGCCGCCGCAGCGGCAGCGGCCGCCGTAAATCCCTACAAAAAAATGAAGACGACTTAGAGTGGCGCGCGGGCGGGCCGCGGCCGGAGGGGCGCGGGGCGCGGGGTCTCCGCGTAGAGACTCGTACGTGTGTCGTGTGGCCCCGGCCTGTCGGGGCGTTAGCGCTAGGCGTGTTGTCACATTTGTATTGTATTATTGTAAGGACGAAGCGAACGGTCTCCGTATCGCGGAAGTCTAGGTAGTTTTACGCTATATCTATTCTATTATGTATCTACTCACTTACCGTTTTTATCTTATGCGTGTATATTTCTCGTATCTACGATCCCGGTAATAATAACGCTTGAAATGCATGACTGTACGTTTTTTATTACCTCTTGTCGATCGTCGTTATCGTGAGTATCGTCGTACTGAGAGTTGAACGCTTGGTCCGTCGATCCCGTTTCCCGCTACGTACACGCTTGTTCTCGGAGGAGCTCCGCACGGGTGCGCTTTGGCCATTGTGTCGAGTGTCGGCAGTACCTAGCGAATACGGCTTGCGACAGCGAGCCCGCACCTAACACAGCCGCCTTCTAATTTCGCATGGATAGAACCCACCACCCCCTTATACATTTGGCTCATCAGGTATTATACTCATTATTCTAGTGCTCCTGTGTGTGCTAAGTGTGCAGCGTGTCATCATGGCCGCGGAGTCGACGCGCGTCGCTCTCGCGTTTTCTTTTGAGTCGCACTTCTTTCTATTTATTTTTAACGCTTTCTGTTACATGCCTTCCGAATGACTGCTTCGGCTGTCGTGCGCATTGCAATCTTTTGTCGCTTTTTGTTTCGGGACGGACAGGCTGTGCGCCGCCTAACGCTCCGTACGTGGAGTACACCGACGAGCGCGGACAGGTAACGAGTGCCGCGTGCCCACGCCCGCCACCGCCAGCGCCCACGTCACGCTTGCCTCCCGGCGATTGGTCCGCATGTAGCTTATTAACCCTGAGACTCCTCACTCCCGACTTTGAAGTCGCCACTCCCAAGTATTGCTTAACGGCTTTCGCACTTTCGATCACGGGCTCAAGTGTGTTCGCTCTAACAAAACTCGCATATCGCCTCTACCTACTCCTCAGCCTTCTTTTTCTTTTGCAAAATTAAAGATATACCGAACAATTCTTACAATACAACCAATGTTTCGATGCTGTCATCAAACTAAATAATTTAATTTTCGATATATAATTCTTCATTTCAATCTGTTTGCAAGATAACTACATCACTATCTGAGCTTGCTTCGTAAGTTCGCTTCCGTAGTAACATTTAGTTGTGCTTTAGGCAATATAAAGTAGACTAAGCTGTGCAGAAAAAAATTTTGGTAGCCCACATGGGCCACAGTAACAAACGGTCAAGGTGCGCTTTATAAAGCTTTGTGTCTGTCTGACACCACACAGCGAAAAATAAAAATAATCAAATTAATCTATCTTATAAAGCTTGGCGGCCGGTCGGAACGCGTTTTTTAACGAAAGCTGCCCAAAAATAACCGCCACGTTTGAAAAATTGAGCACAGACTATATGGACACTCTGTGGTATTTCTTAATCTATGAAACTGATGGCATCGCTTACAAGACATCACGTGTATCAAAATCGTCACATCAATCATTTAGACATTGTGCTGTAACTGTATCTTATATATTGTTGAACAGTTGATGCTACAACTTAATCGTTGATGATTTTTAGTTTTTGTATAGTGAAATATTCTTGCTTTCAAATGTGGAAGAAGTCACTCTACAGTATTGCCTTGCTTACACCTGGTAAGATATAATCAGCTTACTTTAATATCCTCAATATAAGTGATTTCCTGTTTGTCGCCTCTACTGAAACGCCGCTTTACTCTCGCATGGAAATTGTTCAATAACAAAAGCAATTCATATTCTATTTAAATATTACTTACTCTATATATATTTGTTTGTATGCGGTAATTTCAGTAAAGGCTTAATTTTATTAATAAAAACAACGAAGCCAGTGGATCTTTCAATGAGTTGATGTAAGCTATTGTAAGAAATGTTATACTTTAATAAACATAATATAAACATCGCTAGCCTGTATTTAAATAAGAGAATATCAACTCCTCGGAAGAAGTTCACCTCCAGCAGTGTCAACTATCAACCGCGAAACGGGGGTTTTTATGTTTCACTAATATTGAGCTAAACGCTTTCTAAAAGTAAATGTAATTTCATGCGTAGTTGGTAGTTGAAATGACGGTGGTGAAATGAGAAAAATCAAAGTGAAGCCCTTAATTTTTTTACTTAATTTGTCATCTTGAGACGCAATCGCTATTTCATTCTTTGTGTTCGGGCCAATTAAGCACTTTTGAGTTTTCTCGTAAACGCTTAAAGTGCTTCGCCGTCCCCGCTTAAGACTCGTCGAAACCTCTCTGACGCTTAAAGTACTCACCGTAGACGTAATTAATATACTTGGTTTTCTTTTGTTTGTCGTACAGTAACCGCACTCTAATGGTCATTATGTTGCAGTTTGTACTACCACTAACATGTCACGTCCAGAACTGTCATGTAAGCTAAAGGTATAAATTTATTTTTTTACATTTAACCATGCCTACCTACCGATAACAGAGCATGACGTCCGCGGCTCCACGGAGCACCGCAAAGGACTCTTACGACAGCCGATACGACACATTTCGCAAACCTCCCCACACAGCCTATTTAAGCTTATTTATAGCGACCGTTGGTTTTTATGGGTATACTTTGGACGCTAAAAACCTATAGAACGCCCTCGCCCTGGTACGAATTGTATAGCATCATGCTTTAGCTTTTTGTAAAATATAGTCACGCTTAAATAAGATTGGCTGCGCAATAATGATTATATTTCAAGCGTTCTGCATGCCATTTAGATATATATTCATACCTACTATGTGCATAGTGCAGCGTAATTTAACACTCTGTCGGTTGCGGAACTTTTGCGACGCCCCGGGCTCTTTCACCCGTGTTTACTTGTACTTACTTAGATCCTACTACAATATAAAGGTGACACACAATAAGCGCGCCCTTGCTCAAAGAATGCTTGGAAGGTACAATCATATTGTGCAACAAATCTTGTAAAGTTATTGTAATATTAAAGCAGCGACAAGATTTGATTTCGAGCGATTTCGCCTTCCGTGTGTCTTGTTTTCTTTTTATACCTTATAATCATACTGTAGTGATTGAGAAACTACACACGCATTTATTTATTCGGTAAAGCAGAACTCTTGTATATAACTAGCATATCAATATCTCGTGAGGGTCGTAAGTGTCGATGTAGATTATATATACTTCCGGTTTTATTGCCCATAAATCGTTAACTTTATCGTTTATTAAAATCTCATCTTAAATAAAATCGGTTTAATTTGTTAACATTAGTTTTTTCTGATCGAGTCCTACAAATGATACTGGAACTATAGACCGCGAAGTACTCACAGTAGTCGTAATCGTCGTTATATTCCGGTAATAATTGCTCTTTGATATTACAACAACTATTTCGGCGATTTTTTCAGACGGCTGTGCGATGAGGATACTATCAGTGTCTGATGTATGAATGTTCATAAAGTGATATAGAGTTAGCATTAACACATTAACATAATACAAATTCATAAACCGTCAGATGTCTCTACATACAAACTTTATACTCTACATTTGAAGTTAACAATATATTTTTTTAAGTATTTTATTGAATATTTCTTGACTGTTTATGAAGTAGATGATCTAGTTATTGACATTCAAACAGTTTCCTTTCAAATGTGTGTGTGGCTAATATTGTTTTTTTATCAAAAACTTGAACTTTTCTGCAGCTAATATCCAAGATGATATTTTGCCACAGCTTAAATCTGATAAGGAATTATTACAGTCCACTCATTTACATAACAAGTGTGTTTTAAACCGGTTATGTTCTTAACAGAATTGAAACAAGTATAATATGGTATATGCAGTGATAACGAGATAAAACGTTTATTGTATAATTTCCTATGGCAAAATCTAATAAAAGCAGTACAAGGATATACAAGATAACATATAACGTGTATGACTACATCACACATTGTAGGAAAGCTGTTTGAATGCAAATAAAAATATAAATTTGATCATATATTTATAATTATTTTTATATTTTTCAGTTACTGGACACCCTCCCGGTGTGCCAAGATTTTAATCGACAAGGATGTACGAGACCTACCTGCAGATTCGTTCATATTCGTGAAGGTACGGCGGCAGATCTGCATCATTTCCTAACTAAACTTGTGATCTATTAAATATCGATGACTCTTATCTTTAAAAACTTAATAATTGTAACTCCCTCTATTCAAAATAATTACAAATATAATGTTACTAATGATGTATTAAACCTGCATGAATATTGTTCCGAATTCCTGCAGACTTCCTTCTTAGTGCATGATTTGTTTCAGATTTGTAGGTTAGAAATAAAACGTCTATAGCAATGTAATCCTCATATTAGATTAGATTTTCAACAGGGTAGTTTTGTAAATAGTAATACTGTTAGCTATGTGTGTTACAAATATTTTCAAATAGTTCAATCGTAGATTTTTTAGAAACGTTCAATTTTAGTAGATTTCCATTTCAAAATTGTTTATTTTTCTTCTTGAATGCAACCCAAGAGGTTTAAGTTTGGTAGTTTGTATGAGACGGGATTGAGAAATGATTTCAGATGAAATAATATCTTGTATGTATAGTAATGGTTATAACTTGTAGCATAAATAGGTACTTTAGCCATATATAATATGTAGATCTAGTACCATTTCCATAAAAACTTTACAACTATCATCATGTCATTTGTATTTACTCTACTATATTCAATGACAAAATGTTACTTATTCAATAACAATAATTAAATAGATGAGCATCTCTAGCTACATTCAAAATATTATGATAATTCCGTCTCGACTAACTCCACTGTATTTTCGTAGTCAATTTATTATAAAGTCTTCAAATTAATGAATTAAATCGTTCTTTAATGACGATATTTAGTGTTTTTGTAAACACAATAGAATATAGTTATAGCTATTGTATGGAGATTCCAAATAGGGGATGAATTCGTTTCAATAATTCGTGTGTTGCAGGGTGCGGGCTGCAGGTGGTGGGGTGCCGCGTGGTGGTGTGCCGCGACGCCGCCGCTGGCACGTGCCGCCGCGCCGCCTGCCGCTACTACCACATCCCCGTGCAGCTGCCGCCCGCGCTGCGCCCCCCCTAACCCCCACACCCCACACTCACCCCCGCACCCACCCTCACCCCCCACACCCACGCCCACTCCTATGCCCACTCCCACGCCCGCGCCCCTCGTTAACCATATCGTTCGCGCCTCTGACACACTCGGGAAAGACAGGTTTATTTCGGCTGGCACTGTCGCTCTCGACGGAGGTGTGATATATTAGTGATACGGAGCCCGCGGGCGGCCGCCCCCCGCCGCCGCCCGCGCCTTCGGGAAGAGTGTGTACATAAGTAGCGGGATATGATTCTCAGGCACGGTCATGCGATTGTGATATGATAGAATACGACACGCCGGAGCCGTTTGAATGATTTGTCGAGGTCGTACCGAGATCGTCGAATAGTAGTTAGTGAGGTTTCAAATGTTTTATTACTATTGTATATTATTTTTTTAAGATACGATATGAGTTCCTGTAAAGATCGACGCGGTTCTCGCCGCGAGATTTGTTGTATATAAGCGAGGTACCGTCGGGCGAGCGAACAGCTTTTACCGAGGCCGAGGCCGGAGTCAAAAGTTGCGCCACCCCACTCCTACTGTGAGCATTTTTGTGAGAATTATATTATTTTTATTTACGTTATAAATTTATGTTTTTATAGATGACAAGTTTTTTAGATTAGATTAAGAATCGATATCGAAACACCAATAGCGTAGCCGCTTCTCCTTCGGCACCGATACTTTTGACGCCGGAGCGCGATACGCCTCGCTCGGTCGTCGTTCCGTGCCGCGTCCTCCCTCACCTAGAATAGAGCCACACTCGTAGAGTGATAGCGGACTAACAATTCGAACAAAATACAATGAACGTTGTCGGACAATATTGAAACGAAGGCATACTTCCAAGCTATTTACCTAAATTATAGGATAGAACGTTGGCTTTTATTCCAGATAGATTTTGCTAGAAATCATTGTTTTTCCGATCGGTTCCCGTCTATCGATGCACAAAATGGCGCCCGACGATCGAGTCCGGTCGAGCCGTCCGCGTCAACGAGTCCACAACAGAAATAGATCCCCTGTATTATTTTCGACATAACAGTATTAACTTTTGATCAAGTTTATCTCGTCGTATGTATGTAGAGGTGATATGCGGATAGAGGCCGAGGCCGCCGCCGCGTCGCCGCGGCGCGCTCTTCGAGGCATGAACGCCTGTTGCCTAATTATTATTCCTAGTCCATATCCTTTTGTTGATCAGTCATGCGATTAATGTTAGAATAAAAATATTAATAATTTGATTTATTCCTCCCATTTAGTGGATATTTTGATAATGATATATTAATAATGAAATATTTAAGATACATAATACATATTTGATTCTAAATCCTGATAAAGTGACACTACGTTAGTAATTTAGTCGGAGGGATACTTGTGCCGTGATTATATTTTTAGGTATATATTATGAAATAATTCCTAGCGTCGGAATTAAAGAAGTGATTAATGTGTAAGTGCGTTATATTTATTGTCGTATAATGTAAGTGGAATGCCATATCGATAAAAGATGAATAGCAGAAGGTGGAGTTAAACTCGTCGAGGAGATGGTCGTTTGGGTAGTTGGTTGGTTTCGTTCGTTTTCGTTGGTTGTTATAGCGCCCGGGCCGCCCGGGGTCGGTTCGCTTTTATCAATACGGCACTATATGACTCTTAAATACATAAGTTGTCTTTTTATTTTTGTTGAAATTTATCGTTTCATGGTTTATTTGTTGCCTTTAATTTTTATTATCGAAATTTTATAATTTGACGCATTTATTGTAAGACAATCGATTACTTTTATAATTAATTAGTGTGATAATAATAATTATTATGGTATCAAATTGCCGTTATAATATTGAACATCGAAAGTATCCTTCCTCTTTAGAAGGGACTCTTCTGGCCCAAGGTTTCTAGTGGATTTTATATTTTTCTTTTTGTTGTATTTTTAATGTTGCGTGTGTCTTACACATAATATATTTCATTTTTGTGATATTTTTAACTATAAAGTACTGTTATTATAAATCCAAAAGGAATAATGAAGACCTAATAAATAATATTCAAGAATTTATTTGTAAATCACAAAAAAAAATGTAAAACTGTAAATATATTAACAAAAAAATGAACTGCAACACAATAATTATTGATTATTATTATATCTCTCATCGAGTACACTGTAAGTTCTTCGATACCTAATGGTATGTTATGATGCAGTAGGTGCAGTCTACTAAGTGTAAACCGGTCCAGTGAACAAAGTATTGATAATATTGTGAACATTTTTTTATTCATGAGCAATCACAGAAAATACATGACATTGTAATATTATTTATGAAATTACTATGTGATGTGATCTTCGGATCAATTTTGAGTACAGTATAGATAATAAACAACTGAATATGTCACTTGGTTTTTTTTCCTTTCACCTTCTATATTTCTATAGTCTTCGTATAAGCTTCTAAAATAATTAATGAGCAACTTTAAAACTGACATAAATCTTGTAAAGAATTTTTGCTTTAAATATACATATTATAATATGTAACGACTGTGGGATTTCATACAGATTACCAGAACATATGCAATAATATAAAAAAAAAACGAAACCTATAAATAGCAAGTATAATCAATTCTATTTACATATTTGTATGCATGAATGGCAAGATACCTCAACCATACGTAATATCTACACGGTAAAAGTCTTTGGTGCAAAGTCGAACCCACGACCTCTAGCTTGCTATAAACGCACTAAGCAGCCATATGCTACATTACTTAATGACCACCTCTAAATATCCATATATAATTAAAAAAAAATACTACGTTTTTTTTATCAATAGTAGAGCAAATCTATAATTTGAACATAATACTGTATAGTGGAAGTCGTATATTGACTAATAAATTATTTGGTATAATTAAAGCTGCAACAATAGTTTTGTTTGTTTGTTGGAGACAGCACTGTTTTAGTAGATGGATAAAATTCCATGAGATTTTATCTAAATTTAATTTTAGTCAGCTGCATATCCCGATCCCACTCCCTACACAAAGAATATTTTGTTTAGCGGTGTTATAATGCACTAATAATAAAAATATATACAGTCATGAATTTATGCTTGTATAATATTTTAAAATAGTTTTGTGGCTTTTCTAAAAATTAATTCTTTACATAAATTGATAACAACCTACAAATTAAGTGCCTACTAAATCTATACCTACATATAATAAAATTGTAACTAAGCTGAATCTGTACATTAAATATTTTTTTGGAAAATCTTATTGAAATAGACAGTATTATCGATACAGAGGCCGAATCTATAGTTTTTAAAATTTTTGTCTGTCTGTCTATCTGTCTGATACCGCATCACAGATAAACCACTGGACGTATTTTGATGAAATTTGGTTTAGTGATAGCTGGTTATCGCGGTAATAAGTATACATAGGATACTTTTTACCGCGAGAAAATGTCTCATTTCTGCGAAAAAATACAAAAACTGCAATGTAAGAGTATACTAATATGTAAACCTAAGAATTTGGTTTTTGGTCATCTGAACGCGGGCAGAGCCGTGGGCAATGCTAGTTTAGAATATTATAAACCAAACTTTCGCTTCGCTACTGCTTCCTCATGCCATTGTAGTACATTTAAAGAAAATGGGTCAATAATAAACAAAAGTCGTCATAAATATTCGCTTTAACATTGCTTTCAAGAAAATCACCGGTCGATATTTCAAAAGAAACAAAACCAGAGTATTTGTTTGTAATACAATAGGTCTAACAGTCTACGTAGTAGGTACGTCTATAATGCTCGGTGCCTATTACCGACTAGGAATATATTATTGTTCTGCACATTACGTAGAAACCATTCATACATGATAAAGAAATGGGGACTCCAATAATGGGCCCGGAACTTAAAAATCCTTGACCCAGATATTTCATAATTGGTAAACGACGAACTACGGAATAAAAATCCTTATTAATACTTATGAGTTATGACACTCCTTTTTTTCTAATTAAGCTGAGAAGTATTGAAAATATGTATTTTAATACCAATCAATTATGAAAATATTTATTTATATAAAAACAATAGTAAATTGATTTGTAACGTTAGCATTTTAAATCATTCATCCAATTGTTAAGAAATATGGAATTGTTCTGAATGTCTCTATATCATCAACATACGATAGATGGCGTCTAGATAAGGGGCATCCAATAATTACGTGAGACAATTTTGGCGATTTTTCGACCCAACCTCTGTAAGATTTAGTGAGATTTAGCTGGACCCCCGAGTGCAGTGCAGTACCAGGCCTAATTTTCCATATCATTGCAAATTGCAATATCGATAAAGTAAGGGCACCAAGTTTCGTATCTTAGATCTGTAGAAGTTGTTCATATGCTTTTACCGTCTAGAAAAGGGCTGATAGCCCGACGATATAAAAACGATTTAACAGATTTTCTTGATTCATAGCTAAGAACACTCTCGATTAAGTTACCTTTCAAACAAAAAAACAATTAAAATAGGTTCATTCGTTTGGATGCTACGATGCCATAGACAGATATACAGACACAACTATACATACGTCAAATTTATAACGCGTAAATTTATAACGTGGTTAAAAAATTAGATTATGTAAATATAAATATTTTGTTTATTTGTTTTTTTTGTCACATAATGATGATGAACAATATAAATGCGCGAAAAAAACCCAATAAGATAAGAAATAGATAACAGTGCAGTAATATTAAGTTCATTTTAAAAATGATTAGAGGTATGGCTGAAAATTGCTATGCAGGCGCAAAACACACAGTGCCAAGAATAGACATTATTAATCTATGTACTTCAATGTCAAAATTTGACATGATGATCTGTGCTTGGTATCATTTTAAATGTCAATTGTCAACCAAATATCAATGTTGTGTCATTTTTTCAGGTTTTTGTGTACCTATTTCTTTAAAAAGAAGTTTAGCTATTTAATATTTTATTATATTTACACATATAATATGGTCTTTGTCTGATATGTGAGAGATAGGCGTTTAACAATGAAAGTACATTTAATTTTTTACAATTCTATTTAAAAGTGATCGTCAACGAGTAAAGCAAGAAAGGCAAGAAAAGTAACGTTATCATAATAATTAGTGAACCAGTCTAGTTATCGCTTTTTATCGTAGTTTGTCTATTTTCAGCAACATTTAAAAAAATGTTTGCTAGCCTAAAAAGTAAAATTAAAGAGGAAACCGGTAGCGATATCAGCAAATTAACAAGTAGCTGGAGAAGTGGTGCCTTCCTGGGTCGAATAACTTTAAGAGATGATTCGGTAAGCTGCAAGATGTTTGCATTTGATTTCTTCGACACTGGTAAAGTAGTTCGAAATCAATTTTTTTTTATATTATTAGGATTTTAGACCAGAAAAAGTTAATCTGTTTTACTTTTTTATTCTTTTTTAAATATGTATTTCGATTATTAAATTCGTAATTATGTAAAATGAATATAATTCAAAATTTTTGCACTATGTAGGATGTCGAGTTATCTATTTATCATAACATATTTAATTACTATTTTCAGTCAACAACAAGTCCTTCAAGTTCTGGAGGACCTGGAGATTCAACATCCGATGTAAGTGCTGACATTGGCAAATGCTACCCAATCTAATTACAAAGTCAATTATTTATTAAGAATCTTAATGTAACCTTAATTATTTTTGGTTATTTCAAAATATTCTGTTATTAGATGACACTTGTAGTAAGAAAATAATATAATTCATATTTAGGTAGATCATTTCATTTACTTTTAATTACATACATTATTAACAACTATCATTAGTGAAGTTATTTTAAAGAAGTTGAGAAATCTTTTTTGCACTGCTGACCTTGGAATTCAATGCAATAATTCAATGAAAGAGAAACCTACATTTTATTGTGTATCAAGTATCTCAGTTTTATTAGTTTTTATTTTTAACTAAATCTTTATATTAATGAAAATTATCATCAGTACACATTTACAAAATAAATTGTTTGCTGTTTTCAAGTAGTTAAAATAATATTATGCCTATTACATATAAAAATATTTCTTTTGTATGCTTTAAATGTGTTAATAACTTAATCCATTAAGAAACCTTTAATCATAAATTACCATGTAATAATAATAAGTAATTTATCAAATGTGAGTAACTTTATATTATTTTCTGTCTATTTAATTTTTAATATTTTGCTGTTCAATAACGAAATTAAAAGTTAAATATAATAATATAGATATTAATAAATTCTATAAATAACATTTATAAGAAAAATCTTAATGTTTATTTAAATATAACAATAAATTGATCTCATATTTGTTGTACAGTCCATTTCACCACAACTCCACACTTACTTATCTGATCGGACTGGAGGTGAAGTAGACCAGGCAGCTTTGCAACAACAATATGCAGAACAGTTAGAAGCAAAATTACGAGATAGAGATGCTTATTGGGAACAGAAAATTGAAGAGTTGAAGCTGTCATTAGCTTCTGTGCAAGGTCAGAAAAAAATAATAAAATTTTAATTAACAGTAAATTATTTTTCATCTCTAATTGTAGGGTTTTTTAGATGAACAAAAAACAAAGTGGAAAATTATATCTGGCAAAGGTACTTTATATATTTTATTACAATGTTTGTTTGTAGGTGAAGAGGCCTTAGCTGCTCAGGCGGTAGCTCGAACAGCTCAAGCTGAAGCGTCAAAAGCAATAATAGCTAGAGATGCAGCTGAGAAACAGCTGAGTGAGTTCAGAACGAGATTAGCAGCCTCAGAGAATGCACAGGATAAATTGGATGCGCTCACAGTAAGTACTGTTTTTTGTCTTGAATTTGTAGCTAAAAGTAATACCTATAGTATATTTTTAAACTAAAAAGTAATAAAATTTTGTAATATATTATGTACCTCGTGATTTTATACAAATTTTATACAAGCTTGTGACAGAGTTGTACGGAACTTTTACTACTAAGTAAGGGAGCCTGGAAATAGTGACATAAGTATTTTGTATATCTATATATATAATAAAATTCTAACTGAGTTGAAATCTGTACATTTAATATTTTTTGGAAAATCTTATTGAAATAGTCATTATTATCAACACTGAGGCTGAATGTACAGTTTTTTAAATGTTTTCTTTTACTGTCTGTGACTGTATTGTGAGAAAGCCACTAGACGGATTTTGATGATATTTGGTATGATGATAGCTAGTTATCCAGGTCAACGTATAGGATATTTTTACCTGCGGGAAAATATCTCATCTCTGAGAAATCTATACTAAACGTTAAAACGTAAGTAGGGAGGAACCCGAACGGAGCGAGGATGAGTCGCTAGTCCAAAATAAAGGTAATTTAAAAAGTACATCACCTTCAAATCACTTCAAAAGTAATGATTTCATCTATTAGGGGAAGGAATTTTTCCTCGAAATTTATTTGAGAGCATACTTACACACCAAGGTGAAAATCAGAAAACATTTTACAAAGACATAGAGTAATATACAAAAAAAAACACACGCAAACAAATGGGGAACGTCCTTTAAGTTGGTCAAAAGCTTAAATTATAAATTTAATTGATAGACTATTTTGATTGATGAAGCACTACGGGATGGCCTCTAACCATCTACTACTATAACGACTATAACACTACAACCCAGGAAGAAGTGGAGCAATGTCGTCGCGAGTGGGCGCGGGAGCGCAGCGAGCTGACGTCGGCGCGGGGCGCGGCCGACGCGCGCGCCCGCGACCTCGCCGACCACCTCGAGCTGCTCAAGGCCGCGCTACCCGTGGACCACCACCACCACCACATGCAGGATGATGGTGTGTAGAACCACTAACCACAGTCTACCTACCCATACAGTCTAACCCATACAATCTAACGAAGGCGACTAGATAGCTCTACACTATAGTGCCAATCACATTCCTCCATTTAAATTAAATCAAACCCAACAATTTATTACGTTACTCAATTTATATGATATAAAATATCTTAGATTTACCTGTGTAGATAAACAAGAATATACTGTTAAAAATAGGTTAATCTCGCGACAAGATTTTATATCATATAAATTGTGTAATATAATAAATTTAATTTGAAGTTTATTTTCTTCTTTTTACAGCTTTTAAATAAAAGCTTGTTTTTAATAATATTTTTACTATTTATTTATTTATACAAGAATTAATGCTGGAGTGAGATTTGACCGGAACGTGAGTATTACTAATAGTGTGAATGCACTCATCGTTTCTTGTATAATTAACAATACTTTATTTATACCAGACCGATATCGGATCGAGAGCGAACCGTGATCGGTACTATAGTGTGGTTCGGTCCTAACTGATACTCGACTCAACATACAGCCACAGTCTTCGAAGTCAGACGAAGGCATCACCTCAATTTTAACCTTCTAATTTTTGTATTGATTAAGAACTTGACCAGCGTATGTAATTTCGATGGCAGTTAAATTATTTGATACTTACATACATTGAGCTGATGTCGCACTAGTCACTTTTCATTCTTTCTGTACAAATTACAACATATTGTAAACTAGAAATGTCAGGTCATGCTATATGAATCAGCCAACTATAACGGGACAACTTTAGTCGGACCATAACGTTAGATATTATAAAAAACATTTTCACAAGCATTATGGTATAAAATGAGTCAATAAATAATTTACTTACACATATTTATTTAAGTAAATGAACTCTCAATTATTTATATTAAAATATTCCTTATATCACTTTAATAAAATATCACAGAATATAACATAAACGAAGGTAGATTTGTATTGACATTTCTTCTGACAGGATAATGTTATAATGTGAATGTAAAATTTTAATATTTGTTCATAGACAAGCGAGAATTAACACCAACTGGTTGTGCTGATTACGACCGAATATGTCGAGAAAAAGCGGTGTTGACGCGACAGTTGCAGGAAGCTAAAATGGCGTTGGCTGATGTAAAGACTTCTTGGAGCGGGCAAATAGCATCCTTAGAGACACAGGTAAATACTAAACAATATAAATTAAGTTTCTTTTTAGTATTTTAAGTTCATGTATAATATACCTTGTTATAAAAATATTAGATAAGCTATAAACGACGACACAAAAACATTGTATTCAGCCCTTTCTAACGTCCCACTGCTGGGCACGGGCCTCCCTTCAATACGAGGGGGATCAGGCCATAGTCCACCACGCTGGCCAAGTGCGGGTTGGCGGACTTCACATGTCTTTCGAAAACTTGTTAGGTTCTCTCGGACATGCAGGTTTCCTCACTATGTTTTCCTTCACCGTAAAATTAGTGGTAATCATGTTGGAAACGGTCCATATATGAAAATATTAGAGGTACGAGACCCAGGATTTAAACCCTTCTCACTCGGTTTCCCAAGCGACCGCGTTACTGTACTACCATTGCTTTACACAAACATATTATTTTTGTAAAATGTTATGTTTTTTCTATTACTAATACGAAATACTGTTCATTTAATTTACATAATTTGTGAAGGTCTTAGCAAAATTTTGGATTAATGAACGAAAGGATTTAAAGTAGAGATCTCTTGCCATTTATTATTTTCCTTATTAGTCTTATTATGAAGAGCTTTAGTTTTAAAAATGATTTTTTCTCCCAAAAATAAAATATTGATTTAAATATATCAGGTAATGTTCTTTCTAAATGGTAGGCCAAAATCGAAACATAAAAGCTTATAAGATAATTGTTATGTTTATTTTGTTTCATTTATTTATTTAGTGTCATATGAATATATATTTTATGGTTTAAAATTATATTGGTGTCTTGAAAGTAAGACGACATACAAACATAGGTAAGTCTTTTTATAATAATTTATATAACATTTATATGAATATTTGGTATACTTAAGACAGTAATTTTTGCATGTGCATTTAAGATTCTTATTTCCGAATATATAATATTAAATTTCAAATTGTGTATCAAAATCTCACTCTAAAATAAAACTGTATATGGAACAAAAATCTGTAGATTCTCTTAAAATGAATCTTGTGACTAACATATATTTCCTTTGTAATTTATATTTAACAATAACAAATATAATTTGTTATTTTTATTATTTACATACCTTCGATTTGATATATTTTGTGTAAAATAAGGTTATATCTCTAATGATATTAATGATCCGATAGGTGGCGCGAGTGTCCCGACAGGCGGGAGAGGAGGGCGCGGAGAGACGGAGGGTTGAAGCGGAGAAGAAAGAGTTGCAGGAGAAATTAGACAATATGGCAGCCGATTTAGAGAAATCTAGACAAAATCTTGCCAATAGTGAAGCTAAGGTCAGTTGTAAACATTTAACATAGTTGATAAGTTAAATTATTCACATTTGCAGCAATAATAGCATTTTCCAAATATGGCAATAGCTACTATTTTTTTGTCTGTGTTACATGAATTACTCCCGAAAATGATAGTTTTGACACTATTTTTTTGCTAAGACTATATGATGATTTATTATTATGAAAAAATTAAGGTCGGTATTATTAAAATCAACATGGCCTTTAAGAACTTTTGGGTAAATATTATCAAATTACGTATATAATAGTAGTGTTACAAATAATGAGAATGCTCACATTGTGTATGCACTACAATTTGTTGTATTCAAATAACACAGACTAGTTGTATGCTTCTCAATACTTCATTTTAAAAAGCATAAACATCTGTGAATATACACAAACTAAAAAATTTAAATATAATTTGAAAATGTCCTCCATAATCTCGTTATACAAAATGTATACAGAACAAAAAAAAAAACATATAAAATATAATGAAAATATCCTTGTGCTACGGCCAGGGGCTAATCTCACTGAGACGACTTAATGCTGCGCAGGATATATATATATATACAACTGACCTTAGCTTATATATATATATATACCAATGTACACTAGTGTAGAGTAGACACAAGTGCTTTCTCTATTCCTTAAACTTTCAAAGTCAGATAGGACGATACTTCTACATTCGACCAGTAAGGGCCGCTCCACAATAAAGTGCCGACCACAGTCCGTTCTCGGTCCGACATCGGTCTGGTAAAGTATTTCTATACAAGAAACGTTGCTGGAGCGTGAATCGACCGGAACGTTTTACTTATAGTATGAATGCACTCATTGTTAATTGTATAATAATACTTTACCAGACTGGTATTGGACCGAGAATGGATTGGGATCGGCACTATAGTGTAGCGTGGCCCTAAGAGTTAAAGCATAAAACCGACAGCTTTACGTTCTCTCCGTGGCATGGGTGTTACTTTCAATTACTAACTGAAAAACTCAATAGTAAAATTAAGCCCGATCCGGGACTCGAACTCAGCACCTCTGGATCTGCAGCCGTAAATTCTATCCGCTAGACCAGTGGCTCCCAAATGGTGGTTCGTGGAACCTAGGGTTCCATGGAACGGTCACAGGGGTTCCGAGTTTCGTTCGAGAGTTGAAATTAAAACGTAGTTAGATATAAAGCCTAATTTTAGTGTTTATATAAATATGTAAAAAACATAACTTATCAAATTAAATACTTGGGTTATATTTTTGGTTCGATAAATATTTATGATCAATTAGGGTTCCGTGGCCAAAAAAAATTCGGAACCGCTGCGCTGGACTATAGAGGCAGTATAGTTCCCTGTAAGCTATATACGATAGGTGACAATGCAAGGCGTTAACTTGAGGGCGGGTGTGTAGGTGGCGCGGCTGAGCGCGGAGGCGCGGGCGCAGGCGCGCGAGCTGCGCGCCCTCCGCGCCGCTGTGAGTCCCAGCCTGTACAGCATTTAGCGGCCTTGTGCGCACTCCATACAGTGCGGTGTAGCCCGCGTTGATAGCATAGTTCGTGTATTAGAGTATGTATGCAAAAATAGTATTTGTGGACAGTATTGATTGATCTTTTAATCGTCTTGGAAAACCCCCTGTATTGAAAAGGGGGTTGTGTTTAGATTTATGATTCTTTTTTCTATTTAATAAGTCTTTTCTTTATGATAGGACTAGCGAATCACCCTTGTTTCGCTCGGGTTCGTCCCTGGGTACATTTTAATTTTTTTGAGCGCAACCCCAATTCTTTTACTGAAATAAAAGTAGCCTAAGTTACTTCTTATAACATCAATTACCTGCCAGTGAAAGTCCCATCAAAATCGACCCAGCCGTTTCGGACATTAGCCAGAAGAAACAGATAGACAGACAGACATTTTTTTTTTTAAATTGTGTTTTCTCTTATGAATACCGTTTAAAATTCCATATGCATTTAGTAAAAAGCTGTTATTTTGACATTACAAACAGACACTACAATTTTATTTATCTGTATAGATATACATATACATTTCAGAAAAAATCTATCTTTAAGGGTGGAATAATAACTTTTAAAGGGATTTGAAGTCGATGTTTCAAGTCCAAAAAATATTCCGTTTCAGTTAAAAAATAATTGTTATTACTGCCTATACCGAAAACATGGCAATATCCATTTTGTCCTTAGTAAAATTTTGAAGGTCAATGACCAATCTTATTCTATTATACTGGCGACAAATTGACATCTTTATTCTTTGCTTCGTCGCACACATGGACACATAATGTGTAACTATAAAAAAATTAATGAACGTCAATAACGCCAACTATCGCACAGTATTTATATACTGTTGTCTGTGTTTACTTTAACTGTTGCCATACAGACGTATTTCATGGTGTAGTGAATAGCGAGTGTGATGATGCGAAGTGGCGAAAATATAAATTAATATTAGTAATTATTTTTTATTATAAATATTTTGGTAAGTTTCTTCTATTTTAACCGACTTAAAAAAGTGATATTCACCCATCCGAGTGTATTTTTTGTATGTTACGTGAAATATTATCTAATGGAGAATAATTTTACATTATTTCCTTTTCCCTTTAAATTTACTCCTATTAATTAAAAAAAAAATACCCCTAAAAATGAAAAAAAAAATTGGTTATTTTAAGGCGTGTGTACTTTTTTAGTTAAAAATAATTATCAAATCTATTGTTTATTGACGCGGGCTATACTGATCACGCTCTAGTACCATTCCAGACAATTCTTTAAATATAAAATCAAAAATAAGTGAATTTATTTGTAATTAATTTTCAAGAAAATATTTTTGAAGTAAAACTTCTTTACGCGTGACGTAAGTCGATACATTGGGAAAGTGAGTGTCGCGGAAGTGAGTCAAATTTATTAAGTATTTATAATTAAAAAAATATATATATTATAATAATAATTTATTATTACATATTTAAAAAAAATGAATATATATTGCTACTTATTTCATAAAAAATATTATATTTATATTTTGTTTAAATGTTGTTGTTGAAAAAATGTTTGTTTTTTAATTGCGGTATCTGTTCAAGCGCCAAAGAAGTTTTACTTAAACCGCGCGTTAAAGGTTACACGCACAAATATTTTTTTTAATAAATTTGAATAAAAAATATTTTAAAAAATTGTCTGGTCTGCTCCGACATGAATTATTGTAGTAGACGTTGTATTTGACGGTGAATGCTAAACCGACTTTATACCTAAGTGAATAGTTTTATTATAATGAAAACGTTTAAATTTTTAATTGTGTAATTAGAGAATTGGCATACATTTCAGCTTAGCTTTTGATTTCTTTATATGTATAAATATGTGTCTTCAGAGCATTCGCCACAGTACCTACACCCAAGCACTTAGCAAATTTTATGCACGTTAATTTGTTTGAATTTTTATAATTATATAGATTGATTATATACAACGTTGAATTATAAATAGTATTTTGTATATTACGCCTAATTTAAATATAAATTAAAATGTACAATAACTATTTACCTTTAATATGAAGGCTGTGTATTTTATATAACAATTTTAATAAATACATATATTACAGTATACATGTATTCAAATTATATGCTTTGAAAATATTTTTCACTTCGCATTTAAGCGAGCACCTTTATTTATTAAATGGCATCCATTGCTTCGTCCAAGAATCGATTTATAATTGATTAATTTAAGTCAAAATATATAAAAATATGTATATAGGTACTTCTATTTTTAATTTTGAATTGAATATTCTTTTAGTCTCATCAGTTTTTATCATTTTAGCACTTTTGGCAGCTGAATGTTCCTAGTTTTTGTATTTAACATTCCATTATTTTTAACATCTTACTTTTAATATCACGTAGGTACTTAGTTTTAAATTTAGCGATCTCCAAATAAATAAATATGCCGCAAAAGACTTACGAAAAATTGCGACATACTAGAATTTACTTAGAGATCAACAAAATATGATAAATAAATCTAATATTTTAGTTTTTTTTTTATTTTACCTTTTAAATTTATACTTTTTGTGTGCTCACCCAAATGGACTTTAGAAATCTATATGTATTGGTCCTAGAACTAGACATAACACAAAAATAAAATCTATTTAAAGGACTTATTTATTTAAAATTGTGATAGCTACGTTTCGTGTTCGAGTACATGTGATATCTATATATAATATAAAGATTTCTTTTTAGAGTTTTGAATATTTGAATAATATTCATGGTATATAAAACTTATATATTTACTGTTATCCTTAAACTTGTCTTAGGTTTTATTAAATAAGAAATTCAAACATTTTCCTTATAGGTTACCGGCGGTTGTGTTTAATATCGACACTAAAGGAGGTAATAGTCGTATGATCAATAACGCGTATTTAATTAAAAAAAGTGTGATTTTTATAATCATTAGTACGAATTTTTCACCGAATTCATTGTATATTTAAGATTTATTTTGTCAATGGTAAATTAAAGTCATTGCTATGAATATACTAGCAGTTCTGTGAACAGTAGACCTCGCGAGCATTAACTTTTTTGCAACAATGAATATATCACTAAAGTTATATCAGCAATTTACTGCATTTTGAGAATCTATTCTGCTCATCGCCAAAGATCCTCATCAGATTCGCACCAAATTTTTATGAGACCAACTGGAACTTACTACCTTTCAAATAAATAAAACAAGCACCATCAAAATCTCATAAGGCGGAGAGATCCAGTAGACCCCTTTTTGGAGGAAATACCGCTCCTAAATTCTATAAATTCTTAAAATCCGTATACCAAGTTTCGTCCAGGTTGGTTGTAAAAGGCGACCTGTTCAAGATTACCAACAAACTGACAGTGGAAAACGAAACTTTGCCACATTCTAAGCAGAGGTGCTTCGCTTTCTCGGTCTAAAACAGTTATAATAGCACAAAAAGTTTTTAGAACTTATGTAGCTTGTTATTGTAGAACAGTTATGCTTTCGAGTGTCGAGTGTTGCCGACGCCTAGGAACCGTCTGCGGTTTAAAACTGCGGTTTTATTGCTCATACGTATATCGCCCACCTTAGACCGCGATGTATTTCCGTGATAATATCACCTTATCTAATAAGACTATGTACTAGATATAGGATACCTATCACATGACATTGTTTGTGTGCCATCGGCTCGGTTCGAGCGTTTCATTTGTCTTGCTTTACTTTATTATTTTAAAAATTCACATTCCACGTAAGTTTTTTTCCTTATTGTTTATTTTTTATCATTCTCACCACCATTAAGTAGATTATATGTTTTAAAATTAATTTGTTTAGAATTTATATTAAAAATATTTTTATTATTATATTAATTACGATTTATATACAAATAAATTTTATTTTTGTTTTAATGTATTCTTTATTTATTCCACATCTAGCATGGGTTTTTAGCACTAATTAATTATTTACCTAACACTATTGTACATGTACACGCTTTACTATTAGATTAGAACTAACATATTATTATTATTTTTCTTTACTTCAATAAACATTTTATCTATTAATGCAGCATCTTTTCTTTTCTAGCCTTATAATTTATCCTTCCTTCTAATAACAATTGATTAATAAATTTACCACTACCTATTAACATTTTAATACATTTATATTAATATTGCATGGCTTTTGTAGTTTTGCATTCAGTAATATACAGTATCGTAAAGTAGATTTTCAACATTATAGCTTGTAGTTATATATTTAAAAAAATAAATTTGAATAGTAACAAAAGATTCAAATAATATTTTATATTAACTTTGAACCGAAATGTGACATTTATATTCTAATATCTCCATAACAAAATTACTACCGAATGGATTCATATTAATTTTTAACTAAAACACCCTTCTTTTCAGAACATGACGGCGGAACTAGAGAATCGAATTGAGGCGTTGGAAGAGGAAAACCGTGGACTTGCAGAGGCTTTGGAAAATGAAAGGACGCTGGTGAAGATACTGCGTGAGAAGGTGGACAAGTCGAACAGGCTTTATGATGAGCAGAGGGTAGAAGTGACTCACCTCAACTCTGTCGTGAGCGACATGCACCAAGATTATGTGGATATACAGAAGAAGTTTGATAAGTAAATGTTTTCTTTTATATGGTTATAAGTATGTACTAGCATTAACCGCGGCTCCGCCCGCGTTCACATGATCAAAAACCAAATTCTTAGGTTTTATTTATTAATATACTCTTACATTGCAGTTTTTGTATTTTTATTCAGAAATGAGACATTTTCTCGCGGTAAAAAGTATCCTTTATGTTCACCCGGATAACCAGCTATCACCATACCAAATTTCACTAAAATCTGTTCCGTGGTTTTCTCGTGATGCGGTAACAGACAGACAGACAGAAATTCTAAAAACTATAGATTCGGACTCTGTATCGATAATAATGTCTATTTCAATAAGATTTTCCAAAAAAATATTTAATGTACAGATTCGACTTAGTTACAATTTTATTATATGTATGTATAACAGAGTGAATGTTTTAAGTGGTCGTTGAGGGTTAAATCTCAAAAATATAAGGAATAGTGGAAGTGCACATAGAATTCATAAGGATTAAAATGTATTATTAGATTGTTCAAAAACTATCGTGCAGGAATTGAATCGGTTGTTTAAAAAAAAATTGTTGCAATATTCTTTTATCTCGTTAATATTTGTTAGGGTTATACGATCAAAATAATATGCACCGAAAATATTTATAAAGGTTCTCCTTCTTTATAAGAGATATTTAAATAATTTATCTTGAATTTCTTAGATAAGTAGGCACTAAGCGGCTATACAAAAAAACATTTAAGGAATTCAAATTGTAGATATAAAAATGAATATGGTTATCTACATTTTATTGGTACTATTTTATAGCCTAGGCCACTTTTACACGTAGTCTTAATGAACTGTGCCTTTTTAGAGAGAAGCGGGAAAAAGACGAGGCATTACTGCGAAATGCGCACATGTCACAGAACATAGAGATGAGTCAGTGCAACGTGCGCTACCTGGAGACCGAGGTGGTCGACCTCAAGGCAAAGATATCTGAACTGGAAGCCGTTATTGCGCAACACAAAGAGGTCTCATGTTTCATTTCATATAGATAATTTTATATTATTATTTTAGTGTAAAAAAAATCTAAAATTTGCTTGAATAGGCTGACTTTAAAAAGGAAGTATGGTCTTCACAGAATTTACATTACTCGTAAATCGTAAGTGGTAAACAGTTAGCGCCTATATGATTGTTTATCATCTATCTTTATTTTTTGTGATATAGAAGTTATAGGCACGCTACTTATGGTGCACTTATTTTTATTATTAACGAAATTAGAATATACAAATATTAACCCCGCGCGGGAATCGAGACTGCGACAACAGAAGTATGTCAGTGCCAGGCATATTTAACGTGTTTTGTGTGACAATTGATATCTTATACTATATTTTAAAATTTATTATAGTTAATAATATGATATTATTTATATGTACTTTATATTATATTATTTTATATTGGGATTATTTTACTAAAGTAAATTCTTGTATGTTTCATATTTCATATACATACTAGCAGAACCCGCGGCTTCGCTCGCGCTAAAACTACAAAAAAACCTCGAAAAATATAGGTTTCATACAAACTTTCATCCCCTATTTTACCCCCTTATAGGATGATTTTTGAAAAATGCTGAAACACGTATTTATTTAATTGTATTGAAGTGCATTAATACCAAGTTTAAAGTAATTCTAATCATAAATATTTTTTTGCGTTGTATTATAACGTGTTTTCCCGTGTGAATTAGATAATCTTCCGCGTTAAAAAGTACCCTATGTCACTCCCCAGCCCTCCCAAAAATCACGCGAATCCGTCACTCCGTTTCGACGTGATTCGTGAAAGAAGGACAAACAAACAAACAAACAAACAAACAAATACACTTGCACATTTATAATATTAGTATGGACGTACATATATAATAAAGTCATGTGATATAAAATTAATTCTAAATATGAAAAAATGGGAACATTAAAAAAATATTTTTATAAATTTTATATTTTTATATAGTTTTTTTTTTTTGAAACTCGTTTCTTCAAAGCCGTATTTATAACCATTTTCCAGAACCAAGCTGAATGTATGATTATAAAAGAGAATGAATCGGCAAGAATAAAAGAAATGGAGGAATTGAAGCAACGCATAGATAAGTTGATCGATACAGAGACTGCACTCAATAAGACTATACAAGACTTACAAACTGACATCTGTGATAAAAATAAGGTAATTGGGACAATCGTGCTTAGATTCAAATTGTATAATTCAATTATTAATGAATATTAAAAATTTAAATTATTTATGATATATCAATATGGTGAATCACAGTAACCATATAAATAAATAAAATTGAAGTGTCTGCTGTTTGTAATGTCAAAATAACAGCGTTTTACTAAATGCGTATGGAATTATGCCTATTCGGTACTGATAAGAAAATCACAATATTTAAATTTTTTGTCTGTCTGTTTGTTCCGGCTAATCTCCGAAACTACTGGACTGATTTTGTTAGGACTTTCACTGGCAGATAGCTGATGTAATAAGGAGTATTTTGGCTACTTTTATTTTAGAAAAATAATCATGGTTCCGCTCAAAAAAAAAACGTACCTAGGGACGCACCCGGGCGAAGCGAGGGTGAGTCGCTAGTTATTAATACGATAGTTAAAGATTAGATAAAAGAAAAAATATTTGTAATGATAACAATAGAAATTTACTCGTCATTTCTCGCTAGCACTATAATATGAATTTGATAAGTAAAACTTATTTCTCAAATCGAAATTATGCAGTGTTACCACTTCATAAAAAATATTTAATGAAAGGTATTATTACCTTATACTTTTACAAGTATTATTGAACTTCTTTTGGCACGTTTAAAAAAAAATATGAGAGTAAAATTTTTACGATGCGCGTGCACACCGACAGCCAAAAAGCGACAATATGATTGAAGCTGCATTCCTTTTACAAACAGAGAGTTGTGACATACGGGATGAAATCTTTAGCTATTTTTGTGCTGTTACGCCAACTTCGTATAACTTTTTACGTGCGTACATAAGTACACACACACGTTTTTTTTTTCATTTAATTTGATAAAATCAGCTTTTTTTTGTTAAGGTAAATATTATCCAACCTATTGTGTTATTTTCAGAAAATAAAAACTTTAGATAATCGGATAGCGGATATGAAGAAAACTTTACAAAGAGAGCTGCAGAGTAGTAAGTCGGATCTAACGTCTGCCGAGGAACAAGACATAAGTAGACGGTGAGTGTAGTCGTGTGTTGTGAAATATTAATATGTATTATGAAACTGTCCCTCTTCTTTGACACTACCAGTTTGTCTTAAAAACATTTTTTGCATTTTAGATGCCTTAATTGAGAAAGGTATAGGCTACTATAGCGGAATAATTCTTAGAACTAGTTATACCACTAGACCGATGAGGTAGTTGGATGTGTCAAAAAAGTATTCAGTAGAGTAACTTTGTTATTAACTTTTGTATTGACCGAAAATGTCCTTGATGTGTAATACGCGTTTCCAATTTAATATTATAAATCACGTTTTTTTTTTTGGATGCATTATACTATTTAATGTAGCGCATGTTGGGACATTAACACACAGCACCATTTAGTTCCATGGTAAGCTACAAGGCCTGTGTTAAGGATACCAGGTAGTTGATACAGTACACATATTATATAACTTTAAAAACATAAATATTATAGATATAAACACCTATAACTGGAGTATAAACATTCGTGCTCATCACACAAATAAATGCTCCCAGCGGGACTCGAGCCCGCGACTGCTGGCACAGCAAGTAGTGTCACTACAAACTGAGCCAAACCTGTCGTCAAAGTATATAACTCGTGAATCGCGAGATTTTCCGCTCCATTAGCAGGATCTAGTAAGATTGTTTATTACAGTAATCATCGCTTAGGTATGATTATTATCTATGGGTTCAACTTGACAAGCACTTGTTATGTACACAGACACGTAGTTGTCATCGATGCCAATTGGCGGGTAAATTTTAGGCGATTTATGATGGCGAGTAATTTTGACGGGCATTTTAGTAGAACGCAGGTATTTAAGTTTAGCTGATTAATTTGATATTTGTTTTTTTTTAATGTTTGATTTATTATTAAAAAGAAATCATTTAAATTATTTTAAAGCTGTTTAATTGAGAATTGATTACAATGACTTCTTTTTCTAACATTAGTGCTTCCTTATCTTTATATATATATAATTCTTCTGTGAGTGTGTATGTCACTGAACTTCTCTCAAACGACTGGACCGATTTTGATGAAATTTTTTGTGTGTGTTCAAGGGGATCTGGGAATGGTTTAGATTCACAATTTGAATAATATTTTTCATCAAAAAAATTATTAAACAAAGTTTGAAATTTTCAAATTAAAGACGTGTAGACAGGACAACGTCTGTCGGGTCCGCTAGTATTCTATATTAAACTTAAATAAATTACTTAAAGAAAACTATTTTCGGGTATTCTGCTAATATGGCGCATATGGCGCGAGATAAACCGGTTATTTTGAGGTTTATTGGTCGGGTAAATCAACCTGTTACCTGGCAGCTCTGGTAGTAATATAAACAATCCGGCCGCAGCTACCTGAAGCACGTGGTGCTGCGGTTCCTGACGGCGCGCGAGCTGGAGGCGCGGCAGCTGACGCGCGCGCTGGCTGCGCTGCTGCGCCTCGCGCCGCACGAGGAGGCGCTGCTGCGCGCCGCGCTGCCCGCGCGCTCCGCCCGCCAGGCCTGGCTGCCCAGCCTCACCTGAGGACACGCGGCTCACTACCGTACACAGGCCTTTGAGCATCGAGGACGCAGTGTAAACATAACATATACAGTGGCCGAATAAACAACCAATTGAGGATCAGAGGGCAAAGTGTCAACATACATTTATTATAGTAGGTGATCAATCGATTAACAGCCCATGTCCGGCCTCAACTCAACTGGGGACCCCTAGTGCGTAGTGCGTTTCTTGGTTTTCGTCCTTTACTTTTACTCGTATTTTGACTGATTTCAAAAACGAATGTACGTTTTTTGAATGAAATCTTTAACCTTAAGGTCTCGTAGTAATTACAAGTAAAATTGTCACCACCAATAGGTTCGATATGTGTTTTACTAGTTTTGACGACAGTACTTCTTTTAGTTAAAAAATAATTGTTATTTGTACTAGTTTTTGACTCTTTCTTTAACTGAAAATGAAATATACACTACATTAAATGTAAAGTTCAGAACGGTGGGTAACGTCATCGTGCGTTACTATCATTTGAGTGCCTATAACATCCAACGGAATCTACTCCCATCTAAATGGGACATTGCAGAATCACTTACACACTCAAGCACTATGCTTCAGCGGCTAATCTACCGAAGCAGACCACACAGCCATGGGGTTGCTCCCACGGTTCACTCTGCTATCAGAGAAGTACCAGGAGCAACCCGCATGGTAGGTATACACTTGATACCGCCTGAATGAGTTTCTTAACTTCACGCAGGCTGAATTGCCGGACGTCAATGAGTCCACACCAGGATAATGTGAACATATATTCAGGTCAGTTCGCATTAGAACCTGTGTTATCTACTTATAACGTTAATTACACTGGAATTTGACACATCAGCTACTTGTAAAGTTTTTTATAATATGTAAAGATGTAGGTAGCTATTTATAGATCCAAGTGGTGACGTGGCCTTTAATGACGTGGTAGCGTACCTTAGCCATAAAGCTAAATAATAAGTATTCAAAGTATTAAGCACGTATTCTATACGTTTTGTTACTATAAAGTCAAGTAGTCTCTGTATAAATTTTAATATTAACAATTTGTCACGACCAAGAATCAAACAGGTAATGTCCTAGTTAGACGGTTGATGTTAATTTATATGCAAATGCTAACTTACAGCTTGATTATTAAAAGTTTTATGAAAATTCAGTGCTGCCTGGTTTATAGTATTATTTAGAACAAATCAGAAAGAAGCAATAAATAATATTTGATTTAAAAATAAAACGTATGAATACTACATACTTACAATGGAATTGAGCGTGTTATTACTTATTGTTAAACATTAGATGTGATCGGCAGACAGCAGTAAACAATTACCTGTATTTTTTAATCTGTTTAAACAAATTATTGTGACCTGAAAATGTTTATTCAGAATATATTTTTTGTTTTTGTTAAAATTTATGAATGTTTACTTTTTTTGCATTATTATTTAATTTTATTTAAACACTTTTACGTATAATTAATGCCCAAATGCTTTATGGAACGAAGCTCCTTATCGCGCGTTACACGTTCTCGTCGTCCACGAAAAAAGTGTTATAAGTAATAAGACTTTTTTCCGATACTTCTTGCTATAGTTACAGCCGTGCATGAACGAATTAGTCTCTAATTCGTCCATGCAGCCGTGTATGAACTATATACATCGTCATACACTGCTCTTTCGTTCATGGACTCAACGGCTTTCTTTCTCTTTGGATTTTTTAAACTTTTATTTATATTTTTATAGTAAATAATTAATGTTTATTTCTAAAATTAAAAAAAGTAATATTAATAAAATAAGATATGTACTTACAGTTCTTAAATTTTTATATGTTATTAACTTAATTATCCCAGATCATTCAGTGTTTAATTCATCGTTATTTATTTATACATAATAAATATATTTTATCGTAAATTTTTCTATTGAACTCTATCAACTCGATATTTTATAATATAAATTATAATGACTCTATAGCAAACGTCTACCAAAAAGCGAAAGGAACTTCGTACCGACCGGGGGTCCATAGATCCCTCATTTTTTTATTTACATTCCCTTGTTATTTAAATAAATTCGTCTAACAAATATTATATTGTAAATTCTAATATATGTATGTATGCTTTATGATCGTGACACGTTATTGTGTGAGGTTATAATTGGTTTATCGTCATAATTAAGATTTTTTACCTTTATAATTGAAACATTTAAATACCAACAGTTTATTAATTAATATAGTAATTATACATAAAATATGTTATAATGTTGCCTTAATAGTTGCTCGTGTACAGTTTTATAATTTAAGGAAACGTATTCGACAATTTTTAATAGCGATTAAATGATTCGCAGCTAATTAGTACTCACTGGTAAGTAGTAAGAGTTAGACGAATAAATATTACTTAGATATTGTAAATTTAAGAAACAACATTTCTTATAGTGAAATGCGGCTTTTTGTAGTATAGTATTTATATGCGTTTGAGAGAAATTGTCATATTGGCCAACTAACTTGTGCCCAAATGGCACGCCTATAAGCCACAGAATATTGAGATATTGTCCTTAATATTATCAACGTATCTCATAGCAAACACTGCCGTTGTACTGAAAATTCACTGGATATAGTAATGCTTGCGTAAATTAACAGAAAATCTATTGCAATTGGAGTATGTTCAAAATAGTACTTAATTATATTAAAAATCGACCATCAATTGAGGTAATTTCGATCTGCGTTACACAAAAATATGATCTGGATATATGTAAAAATTATATTATTGTATATGTTTTATATTTTGAAGATCTTTATTTGAATCTAGTCATAGTCTCCTCGAAAACCGTTTAGATATGATTTATTTTTTCGCAGTATTAAATATATTATGGTGTTGATTAAATACATTATATTTGTTTCAAATTTATATTAGCTTGTTTTCATTCAATAAAATGATATTTTTAAATTATTACTCTGTTGTTTTCTTTTAAAAAATCCCTCTCGTTATATTTTTTATTGGACAGATGAAAGGATATATAATAAATATAAAAACGTATATTTTGTATGTTTTTATTTACAATTTACAGTATTTCCCCGGAGCAGTCGTCAGTATAGCCCTACTATGCGGTCCTTGTAGCAAGGCACGAAAAAGTTTTTATTCATAGTTATATGTAGGTAATGAAATATCCAAAACCAATGATATTGAATGTGGAGTAGCTTAGATAAAAGAACACAGGAACACTAGATATATTAAGTTAGAACGCGTAACGTTTTCTACGTCTTTCGATCTACAGATGGGTGCTATTCGATTATAACCTATAAATGCGTTGTTACTGCTCGTAACAACTTGTTCAAGTTCGTAACATCTAAAGTCTGGGTTCATAAATATTGTTTGCATTAGTTTTGTATTTTGAATTTTTAAAACAATTCAATGGATCAAGATCCCGCTGCAAAATTGCTACGTTCATAGCGTATTTAATCAAAATAATTTTTTTTTATATACAATAATAAGAGGGACAATATGTTTTGATCGGGGTGCCTATTAAACTGTGCACGATATTATGTTTAATTAAATAACAATTGACTTTTTGAACAAAATCAATGCACTATTATAGAATTATACTCCACTTCACAGAAATATAGGTACATAGAGATCTTCAAAAGTGAGAGCTGCCGTTTCGCACTTGGTCGCAACCTCTTCACAGCCAGGTGTAAGCAGGTAATAAGTATTTTGTTACATTTATACGTTCACGGTGTATATTCATTATTTCTTTTATTTATATCAAATTAAAGCTAATTTTTTCGGTACCTGATAAACTACGTCTGCCTATGTAAAAGTGGTCGCAAAAGAAAGAAAAAAAGGAAAATATGACAAAATATGACCTGCTTACACCTGGCTGCGAAGAGGTTGCGACCAAGTGCGCAACGGCAGCTATCACTTTTCAAGATCTCGACGTATATTTCTGTGAAGTGGAGTATAATTCATTTTAATAACAAGTGCATCTATTTTGATTAAATACGCTATGAACGTAGCAATCTTGCAGCGGGATCTTAGTCCACAAGTTTTGATGTTAAGAACTCGAATAATATTTTTAATTAGGTACTTCTAATTATCTAGTATCAAATACAAAACCTAGCAAATATTAAAATGACTAAACAATTGAGATCTGATTTTATAGAATATTTTCTATATAAAACAAATATTATTGAGGTGAACTATAAGAATTTATAATTACGTGAAATAAATCATTATTATATCTAAATTGTGACCAAATAAAACAAAACAATGATATGACGATGTACTTATTCAATTGACTCATACTCGTATTGTCAACAAGTCAAAAAAAATTGCAACATAGGAATTAAATATATTACAATTTCAAATCCTCACATAAAAACTCATCACAGCACGATATTAAAAAGCTTATTTATAATAATATATTTTTTTTAATTCAATAATAAATATTAGCACTTTGCTTTATTTGCACGCAATGAATTTTTAATTTTTTTCCAGGCTGCAAATTGTAATACTGGATTGTATTTAAAACTTCAGGCCATTTATTACAATTTACAACCTATTTTATGAAGGCGATTGTTTGAAAAACAATTATTAAATGTTAATTACACATTGAAACTTGCTAATGAATAATTCAGTCTAAATAAAAATATTGCAGAATAACAATAAATATATTATTTTACAACAATAATAATTATACAGTACGCCGCACCGATTCCCTTCCCCATACATAAACCAAAGTGCGAAAGAAAATTGTGACTCGATGTAATCGATGCTTAGCAAACAACCTTTCCCTTTGGGTCAATTTATTTATAGTTTAAGAAATTTTCTACACGTTCCACGAATTTTCATCATCGTACACAATACACAATGAACAGACATCAGTGTATAACGTTTTATTTTACATAATCCACTATACTCGCGTGTGTTAGTATCAAAACAAAATTTACTTTAATCAAGTCAGTATCCATTTTAGATTATCACGTCTATAAATTTAATGATAATAAAAATGATAAAATTTAACATTTTCAAGTTATAATCCGATGTCTGTAAAGCTAATGAGCGCGTACGTGTATTGCCTATAGTTTGACGCGGCCGTTGCAGATGTCGTTGAAGAGCTGTGTAGTGAGCGGCACGAAGTCGGCGCCAGATCTGAAGAACAGCGGGTCTTTGATCACGTCGGGGTCAAAACCTTCTTTCTGATACTTCAGCTTTTTAAGCTTAAATGTACCTGTAAAGATGTAATAATACATTATAATCTTAACTCATAATAAATTAGTGAACAGACTGGAGTTTGTATTTTGCACATTTAATTTTTATTTATTTTTTCATTTATAACTTTTTAATATTGGCCACTTAGTCTTTGGGAGTTTTATTTAGCTATTTCTTATCCTAAATTACTTTTAATCATATATGTTATATATTGATGTGATTCGCCTCTAAAAACCTTTATTTTGTTATCTCATTCGATACACCTCTCGTGACAAGTTAGTTATTCTCGTTAACCCTAAAAAAAATTCTCAACTGTCAGTATCGCGCGGTGCGCTTTTCACCTCGAACAACGAACACCACGATTACCTTGTCTAGAGGCATTCATTACGTCGCCAGTCACCTTAGTCCTTATTTACACAAACTACCAATATTTGTTCTATTTAAAGTACAATTTTTTCCTTTATTTTAAAATCAAAGCTTATTTTTTAAGATGTATACACAAATACAATATACATACATATATAAATAAAAATGATAAAATACATATTTTTGGCTTTTTAAAGTAAAATGTATATTTTATACCAATAGAATTGTTATTTAAAAGTAAATAGGTATTTCAGTATTAAAAACTGTTTCGGTACATGAATTGTTTAGACAAATAAGCACTGAGCCGACTTTTTTATGTTTATTAGGTTCACTAACAACTTTACATTACATATATACACAAGAAACAACATAAAAGAAACAATATAAATCTTTTTAGATTTGTATCTTAAATGTTGCAAATTGCAAAGCCACTTATAGGTAAACACAACATGTAGGTGTCACTTAAATATAATAATTAGACGGTAAAAGTAATTAGATTATAATTTTTTTTTTACTAATACCTAACACAAGAAAAAAACAATAAACATTAAATTACAATATACCACAACTTATATGCCACAATTACCTACTATTATAATTAAATTATTGCTTCCATTACTCATTTTCAAAATGTGGATTTAAACTAGTCAAAATTATCCAGGCTACTAATGTCATTATATAAATGGCAAATTCTTGGTATAGGTGAATTAGCACCCATAACTGTGGAGCAACAAGGGTATGAGAGAAGGTTAATAGCCTTTCTGGGATATCTTGAAGGTGCATATAATTCAAAGTGCCTAAGCAGCTCTGGACAGTGAGGTCGATTATTAAGTACTTTATATAAAACTATTAGATTTGATAAGTTTCTGCGGTTTTCAAGCGAATTTATTTTAAAGCACTTTAAGTCTATCTTTATATTTTTTTAGTACCATGAACATTACCGAAGTAAAGTCAAGATGTCGAAGAAAGCGTTTTTGAATTCGTTCAATTCTTAACATGTGCGTCTACCGTGTGGAGACCAGTTCTGTAAAATGCTTCGTATGCTAAGGCGTTATATAGGCTCGATGTTGGTAAAATTAGTAGAGTGTGATTACAGTCGTACGTTTACAGTGCCGGATTTAACCATAGCGCCGCCCCTGTGCGTAGTAAAAAATGCCGCCTTATTATCGACATTTTGCATAAAATAGTAAAAAATGAGATGCCTTTTTTTAATATTTTTTTTTTAAAAACGCCAAAGAATAATAATTTACAAATTATCTTAATTTTTCGAAAAATGTACTACCTAGTTAATTTATTTAATTCTTAATTTATTAGGAAAAATCGCGAAGAAAATTTTTTTCGCACTCTCAGAATTTTGCCGCCCTGGGCACTAGCCCAGCGCTGCAGGTTTACTCACTCGTGATCTCGATGTCGTCGGCGAAGCGCAGGAAGAGCGGGCGCGCGTAGGCCGGCAGCGCCACGTCCAGCGCGGCCGCCAGCGCGCGCGCGTCCGCCGCCGCCGCCGCGCCGCGCGCCACCGCCGCCATGCCCGCGCGCCCCTCCGTGTGCGGGATCTACGCACACACATTATTTTATTCAAAAATCATTATCTTATTCAAATTCAAAATATATTATCAATCTTTTCTTTTTTTTAAATTAAAGATTTCGTATTAATATTTACTAAACGTCACTTTTAGAAGAAAATTAGCAACGTCAAAACAAAATTTATTGTGTGTTCAAAATTTACTTCAAAATATACCTATATCCGAAAATTACATTCAAACTTTGAGTAAACTTAAAAAAAAAAATATCGAATGTGCATTTTAATATACTATAACAAAACTTCCGCGAGGAGGAGGGTTGATGTCAAGCAGGCGGCCGATCGTAAAACTTTTGCCAAATCTTATCAACAGTACTAAAGATGTACTGCGCCGACCCCAAGTGATTGGGAAATAGGCAGGAAGACTTAAACGCCATGAGTCTACCCATCAGCTGATGTTTTTAATCACACTGATATTAGATATCGGAAGACTGCTATGTATGCGAACGATATATATATAATCGCTACTCTTTCATTACACGATTCGACACAATTCTGTTTGCTATTGAATTATTAAAAGAATTTCTTTTTCCAATCCATACGTATCGTATTTCATTACTGGTTCTCAACAATTTAATATAATATATGTATGTTGATGTTAGAGACATTTATACATGAATACTCTAAGTCACAGTCAAATTCAAATTCATCACACACGCACATATATATACACATACATACACACGTACGCACTTACAGGCATACAAGATTTTAGAATAGAAGTGTAAACTTTGTAATTCCTACGTTACGTTACGTTGTACGTAAATAAATGTAAGCAAACACTCACAGAAACACCATAAACGACACAATCCCGCTGATCCAGGGCGGCCTTCACGGCGTCCTCCACCTCGGCGGTGGCGACGTTCTCCCCCTTCCACTTGTACGTGTCGCCGGTGCGGTCGCGGAAGTACAGGTAGCCGAGCTCGTCCGCCACCAGGATGTCGCCGCTCACGAACGCCGCGTCGCCCTTGCGGAACACGTCGCGCACTAGCTTCTTGTTACTTTGGCTCTGGAATTAATCACACTTCATATTGAATCCCTGAATATTACTATTACAGTCTCGCTGGTCTAGTGGCTAGAATTTACAGCCGGAGATCGGAAAGTCCGAGGTTCGAGTCCTGGGTCAGGCCAAGCTGAGTTGTAAAGTGTTTGTGTCAAGAAATTCCTAGAGAAATCTAGGCATTGGCCGCCGCGGCCGAAATCATTCAACAGGAAGTTATTTTTATTACTAATTACATATATAGTTTAAACAGCTTTGTGTTTAACTTAGATGTACATATAATCATTTCATATTAAAGACACCCGACACACAGAGCTTTGTGTTCAGACTAATCCTAGATACAACTGTATCTACGGATTTTCATAAGGTTTATTTATGAATATTTCGCGAAAATTAGCTTAGTAGCGTATGAGGATATTAAATATGTTTTACATATGTTGGAGCATTAACACACTATCTAGATTCTAGTTCCAAGGTAAGCTACGAAACTTATGATACACTACACATATATTACTGTAAATACATACATATTATAAATATAAACACCCATGACTGGAGTACTAATATTCGTACTAATCACACAAATGAATGTCCCCAGCGGGACTCGACCCCGCGACCGCTAGCACAGCAAGTATTCACTACAAACTGAACCAAACGTGTCGTCAATCTTACCTTCTAAGAATTTACATAATGTTATTAAAATGCGACGTCACTGCAAAAGAACACTTCTATACACTTTAATTCCTTTAAGTCTGTTACATTTTCACCCACATAAGTGATGATGTTGGAGATAAAAATTATCCTATATCATCCAGTGTCTCAAACTATCTTCTTACCAAATGTCATCTAAATCGGTTCAGTAGATCCAGAGATTACCCCCTACAACGTCACAAACCCACAAACTTTATCTCTTTATAATATTAGTATAGATTACATATATATTGCCATCTAATGGTACTATTTTATATGAAAAAGATTTTTTTAGATATATCTACCTAATGTATTTTTTGTATATACATATATATAATATCATATGTATGTATATATCATTTTATTTATAAATCTGTGTTCAGACTCCTTCTACTTTACACTTTGCTATTTCCTACACCTAAAGGTTGTGTGAATGAAATCGCTGTTTTAGCGATAAGGCCGCTTCTTGTACACTTTCCTGTCATTTTATTATTATTACTTTTGTCTTCTTTTTATGTGTGCAATAAAAAGTGTTTATTATTATTATCGTATTTGTATACATGTAGTTATCTATTACTTTTTTACGCCACAAATTGTGACAAAATTTGGCAAGGATATTATAGATGTCGTCATTGCGACGGCATACTTTACATGTGAGCGGAGTCGTGGACAAAATGGAAGTGAAAATGAAAGAAAAAGTTCGTGGACAAAAATCAGCTATAAATGCCATTGCAAAAGAAAAGTGGTGAACAAATACATCTTGCATGTACTATCGCCATCTTAGCTCAACCTCGTCGGTATAGACAGCAAAAAAAAACAATATTATTTATTATACAATTTATTTGCTATACAGCCTTGGAGGCTTATTATTGTTAATTTATAATCATTTATATTATTAATAATACCTAATTATAGAAAAAAATAAGCAGAAAAAAAATGCTAAGAATTTTCTATCCATATCAAAAATTACTTTGATATATTTATATCATTAAATAATTATTAATTCGAAATTTAAATCAACCAATGACCTACCTTATCTACATATCCGTAGTACTCGCGGGAAGCGTTGCCCTGCACGATCAGCCCGATGAACATGCCGGGCTCGTCTGGAATACAAATTGACATTAATATCATTCAACATAGGTACCCATATACCTGTCAACACAAATACATCAACACCAGACATAATTTTATGTATATAATATACTACATACACTATGCATTGCTAATGACGTGGGTATTCATTTAAATTATTAATATTTATGAGCAAGTTGATGTATCGTATTCAGCCTTTTTAACGTCCCACTGCTAGACACGGGCCTTGTGTTCAATGCGAGAGGGAAGCGACCAAGTTTGTGCAGAAGCAATGGTTGTAAAGTTAAAACTTTTTCGCCATATTTAGTGGGCACATTGCGAGTAATTCATAACAAAAAAATTGTCTTCTTGCACTAAAAAGAAAATAAAAGCCAAAAGCCAGTATGGAGAAACATACACCACGTCTGAAAATAATACGAAAGGTAGATAAACCTATTCCCAATTCCTAGTTATACAATATATTCTAAATGCATCTTGTCTTGAATAGGTATATTAAACTAAAAAAAACTTATGTTTATCTGTTAAAATATATATATATATATAACTACTTTGCGATCTCTAGAAAATAAAATATTAACTAGATTATAATAACTATATTATGTATATTTTATTTAAAGTTGTACTAATTGCTCAATCTTTATTGTTTATGGGTGACCTTGGCGTGAGCTTCGTTATTATGCAGGGATTGGTTTATAAAAAGTCTAAATAGGATATAATTAGCGAGTAAGGATTGTAGACTTATAATAAATACTACTTTGGGTTCGTCCTTACACAAAAACAAATCTACCCCACGGGAACCGTACATTTTTCCGGAATGATATATAGCCTATAAGCCTTCCTCAATAAACAGGCTATCTAATGCAAAAAGATTTTTTCATATCGGATTAGTAGTTCCTGAGATTAGCGCGTTCAAACAAACAAACAAACAAACAAACAAACAAACAAACAAACAAACAAACTCTGTCTCTTAATAATATTAGTATAGATTATTATAATCTATACAGAGCAATTTAAAGCTTGCGCTTGCGCAAATACACAAAAAATGTATGAAAAAGTCAAAAATTTTTTCGTTATTAGGTACTTAATTAACAGATTTTATGCAAGACATATACATCATGATGATGATGAAACATAATAATTATTAACTTTATGTAGAATACACGTAAAATAATTTTTACTATTACCATAATTCAGTTTTAATTTTATATATATTGTACGATAATTTTATACTGAGAAACTTATGGAAATAACAAACTCAATTATTTTAGTTATAATATTAGTTTTTTGATGCAACGTGCAAAAAATATAATTGGACAAGTTTTTTTTTTTTGGAAACTTGAAACATAGAATGAAACAAAGAAACTAAATTCGAATACAGCACAAAAACGGAGATCTATTTTATTAGCAGCGAGAATATCAGCTTTGCATTTTAGAGTTGTTTTGTCAACAAAAATATAAATTTTAAAATTACAAATCTACAATAATGCTTAAAATGTTTATTTACTACGAGATGGTAAGACTTCAAAGGAAATCCTGAATTTGTCCCAAATCTCGATGGACCTCTCAAACTCAATTTTCTCTGTTTTACGAAATTGTTATTAAATTAGACGTTCGAGAAACTATGTTACTATGCCGAGTAAAGTCGTTTGGAGAGATATTGTTAAATTTTAAATTACCTTTATTTTTTTGCGGGAAAATTATTGAGATATATAATAAAACTTTGCTTCTCATTTATTACGTGTATTTTTTCTAAACTCAAATCATAAATATTCATCAGTAATAAAAACAAACCCATAATACACAGGAAGGTAGGAAAATTTACAGTATGTATTAAAATTCATAGTCACTGACTACAGCATGTCGTGCTAATGCAACAACATATATAATAATTTTAAATATTAGCCATTTCCTATGACATACGTAACCATGAACACATGAACTCTTCTTATATCAAAACGCGTTCGTGATAGAGGTCAACATTAATTTGTACTTTTTTTAGGGAAACACAATTTTCCTAGTTGAATGAACCACAGAAATAATTGAGCTGCTCGAAAGTGTCAATTTATATTATTTTTATTATTATTTGTTTTTTTCGTAGAGATTACATTTATATACCGAAACTTAAGTTTTAACTTTTCATTACGATATCTTAAAAAGTTCCCGTGGGATATTAGTCATACTAGTAGGTACTACAATATTCTTCTAACAGATTTCGGTTATGGCGGCCACCCTCATTGATACTAGCCAACTGCGCGAAACATATTATAATGCACATGACGTGTAAGCGCAGACACATCGTGCACTTTCTTTTTCTCGTACCTTCTCAGACCAGTGAGAATTAAGGCGCAGGACCGACAGTGTAACATGCCCTATGCAGTTTAAAATGGCCTATGAAAAGCCCAACTATTTTGGTCCCGGGACTCGAACCCAGGACTTCACGATATGCCATACATGCTAGCCACTAGACCAACGGGGCAGTCAAAGTAAAAACAAACAATAAGAACAGTACTTACTAGGCTGACAGCGTATACAGAAGCCGTCAGGGCTGCGGATGAGCTCTCCGCTGTCGGTGGCTCGCACCAGTGCTATAGGCTGTAGACTTTCGGGCAACAATTTCAACAGAAAGCCGACCGCCCCTAACGTGTTGTCCACGTTCACTGTACAATGAACATATTTAAGTCACATTTATCAAAATAACAAAAAATCAAATGCCATGAATAAAATCGATCAGTTTGAGAGCTTTCCATCTGATCAACTTTATTCACGACGTTATCACACATTCACACATCGGTACTAGGCTCTAGCTATCTGCGCGGGAGATATTATTATCCACGAGTGTGCAAATACAAATGACTATATCACTCTCTAACTCTGGTAGGACAACAATTCGACATGACTACTTAAAGATCAGGCACAGGATTGTTAGTTTTAAGTGCTCTCCGGGACACGGAGGTGTACTTGGTGTAGCACCTGGCTGTTGGTGGTTCAACTTCCCAATTCCGGGCTGATTTTGAGAATTTTTTGATAGACAACCGAACTATCAACTATATTTTATAGCTTTGCTAGATTGATGGTAACTTGTTTGATTTATAACCCGACCCGGGACTTTTAATCCTCCAGATCTACAGAGAAATATGCTAGCCACTGAACTGTAGTCTGTAGAGCGATTATTATTGACGTATATTCATTTTCAGACTTCAAAATTAGACATTTAGTATTAAATTACATATTGAGGCAAAGGAAGTGTCCGGGCATACCCCTTTAGCATAATACTGAGTCCATATTTTAGATGACTTAATGTGATCTGTAATATAAACTGTCTGTAATATAAACTTTTGTCTCGACTGTAAAAGGATTTTTTTATGTCTTCAATATTATTTTATTTATATATAAAAACATTTTATATTATAAATATAATATGTTATATCATATATAAAAATGAATATTTATTTGTTCGTTTTATCGTAAAGGTTAGTCTTAGCAATATATCTGTTGATCATACCATGTATAGTAGACAGTAGAGTTAATATTAATAAATAGAGTACAGCGATCAAAACAAGCGCTGCAAATTGAGAATAGTGCAGTGCACTTTAACCGATGAGCAATTTAATTTTATATTTTGTATTACGTGAACACATTATTTGTTCTGCCTGATTGCGCGGCACATTTCGCTCTTGGTCGATAGGACAAAGATTTAAATATTAAATAAAAAAAATATTGTACTGTTAACAATCAGATTTTTCCTCACTGTGTCTTCGCTATATGACGTCGTCAAAGTAAACTATGCCCAACCATCATGCTTATATAGCATAATTTAGCATTTTATAAGCTTTAAAATCAAAAAAAAAGTTTAAGAGCTTAAAAGTTGAGATTCTATTTGATTGTAGGAATATTCCTACGTTAATGTATAAGGTAAATAGATTATTATACATACAATAATAGGAATAATTCGTTCAAAGTCCATTCATTATATTATCAGTTTATGTTGAAACATGTTTGTAGAGCGCGGATTCAAACAATGCGAGGACATAGTTTAGATAAAGTAGGTAATTAGCACTCACCAATGTTCGCGTTTCCTTCCGTAGCACCATAAATTTCATTTATCTGTGGCACTTTGAACCTAAATAAACAAATAATTGGATTATAAAGACTAGGTATATATTAAAACAAAATTGTAATGCTGTGAAAGTTACATTATGAATTATTAATATTTTGAAAAAAAAAATGTGTATACATGATATATTTGTATAATTTTATCTGCAATGTTGTAATCAATCAACCCTCACTAAAGAACAGCAAAACAGATTTTAATGGGACTCTTACAGATAGTACTCGAAAATAGATAAGGTCAAGTGAAATTAAAAGCACAGGTAATGTTCCCCGTTTTACGCGCTTGTTAGAATATACTCTTAGTAGATTTATAATGAAGTAATTCCTTATAATCTATACATATAATAAAATTGTAACTAAGTCGAATCTGTACATTAAATATTTTTTGGGAAATCTAATTGAAAGAGACATTATTATCGATACATAGTCCGAATCTATAGTTTTTAGAATTTTTGTCTGTCTGTCTGTCTGTCTGTTACCGCATCACGAGAAAACTACTGGACAGATATTGATGAAATTTGGTATAGTGATAGCTGGTTATCCAGGTCAACATATAGTATACTTTTTATCGCGGGAAAATATCCCATTTCTGAGAAAAAAATACAAAAACTGCATTGTAAGAGCATATGTAAAACCTAAGAATTTGTTTTATGTTCACCTGAACGCGGGCGAAGCCGCGGGCCATGCTAGTATATTATCCAATAATAAAATACTTCTAACACATATCATTTATTGTTTACGTAAATAAAACTGTAGGTAGATAAATTCGAGTCTCGATTGATTGGTTTGTTATTGTTTACTGTTAGGGATTATCTATTTTATATTTATTATTTCTATATTTTCAATATAAACTAAAATTAACGTTATAGCTCTCTAATGCATCCTTATCGCCTTTCCATTCTAGATAGATACTATACGATATAATATCTAGGTCTATTTAAACATTGATATGATCAATAACAATATTTTGTTTGGTATAAGTATATGTAAGTATTCAGCCTTTTTTATCTTCCCACTGCTGGGCACGGGCCTCCTAAGGATGGTGGCCAGGGGGAAAAGTTCTCTTTCGAAAAGTTGCTAGATTCTCTCAGACATGCAGGATTTCTCACGATGTTTTCCTTCACCGTAAAATAAGTAGTAATCTTGGAAATGATTCGCACATGAAAATATCAGAGAGAAACCCGGGGTTTGAACCCACTTCACTCAGTTTGCCATGCGATCGCTTTACCACTAAGCTACCACTGCCTTCATTTTCATTAGTATACATGTATTCTAATTTCCAACATTTCTTTAAGATGCAACGTGTATAAATTTAGATAGTTTCACCTATGTGACCATGAAATGAACTTTAAGTATCGAGCTCAAAATTAAATTAATTACCATGTGTTTGTTAGTATATTACTAAAGCCCTTAAGGCGCGTTCCCGTGCGAAACGCAGCGTTAGCCGTTTTTAGGCTGTTTTTGGGAGCCAACTTCTCTTTATCTAAAAGAAATAACAACTAATAAAAAATACATTAAATTTCTACATAATCTTGACTCCAAAATTGTAGTTTTTTTTTTTTTAAGCAGCATAATATTTAATTAAAGGGCCACAAAAAAACCACAGAAATGAGAAATAATTATTTATAACATGCATCTCCTCCTAAATTAACCATTATTTTGATTTGCTTCCTTAACTAATGGATAGGTAATTAAATAGAGAACATTTTGGTAGTTTTATTTTTTTCAAAACACAAAAAATTGATTTTATAAAGATTTTATTCTAAATCTAAGCGTACTCGCTACGTAACTCTTGCGCAGAGTTAGTGTGCCACAAGGTCTCGAGGGTGAAACACGTGTCGTTCGTCATCGCGCCGCGTCGGCACTCGTGCACTTATTCGCTCATTTTTTTATTCATTTCATTTCATTTAGATTTTTATGAAATGTAAACTCGAAACAGTATACAGAATGTATAGAAATTAATATCGATGATCGAATATGATGAGTATCGTTAAACAACGTGTAACAAAAAGCGTATAGTCATCGTAAAAAAATATCAGCTTTCTTATACATACTTTTTGAATGGGGCCGTTGATAATTTTTTTCGATTATGATGGTGTTCCCATCGATAAAGTTCTCAGTTAGATTGTCCCCAGCACACACTTTCATATGAATATACCCTTACTTACACGTTGTATAAACAAGCTAAAATGAACCATAACATAATTAGATGATTTTTTGTGAGGTCATTGACCACAGTTAATGATGTTTCAGACTAAAACCTAATTTTTTTTTGTATAAACTTCATAGACGTGATGGGTAACGATAAAAAAATCTCAATTTATTAACAACAGCACTAGTGGTCAATATCACGTCTGCAGAGTTTCTCTAGAATATTTTATTTGACACTGCTAGCAATACCTGTTAAAAAACCTACTAAAAAATAATAAATGATGATAAAATTGACTTGGTTATTTAATTTTTCTGCTTTTATCAATCACCCACGGTCTGAATTACAAATAAACCTTCAATCTAAAAAATAAACACCGCACAATCTTTATTATAGAATACCTTTAATACTTTTAAATGAATAAATGTTAGAAGTATTCATGAACGTAAGTATAGTCACTAGATTCATCATGATCAAAATTATTTTGGCGCACCAATAAACATTTCATAAAAAGATATTTTTATTGAATGCCATAATGCCATGTCTGTGAATTCTTAGGTCTGCGATTTTTACTTGTATTCGGAAGGTGATCGCTAGATGGCGCTAGTACTGCTTTACGAAGTATTATAGAGGTGAGGTGCGGCAAAGAGGGAACGAATGCTCAAGGTTATTTGGTCAGGGTAGCGCCTTAATTCACGCAATAGCGGAGGGAGTGTGATTAATGGTTCATTAGTTAAAAATATGATATAATCCATACTAATATTATAAATGTGAAAGCATGTTTATTTGTTTGTTTGTCCTTCTTTCCCGTTAAAACGGATTGACAGATTGACGTGAATTTTTGTGTAGAGATAGTTGGAGGGCTGGAGAGTGACATAGGCTACTTCTTACCGCGGGAGATTATTTAATTCCCATGATAATACACGTTATAATACAATCCAAAATATTATTTATGATCAGAATTACTTGAAACTTGGTATTAATGTTCTTCAATACAATTAAATAAATACGAATTTTAGCATTTTTCGAGACTCATCTTATAAGTGGGTAAAATAGGGGATGAAAGTTTGTATGAAAACCACCTTTTTAGAGTTTTCTTGTAGTTTCAGCGCGAGCGAAGCCGCGGGTACTGCTAGTAATTAATAATTATAAATAATAGAGTAATAAAAAATAATCTCCTTCGAGTCTCTCCATCATACGTGCATCGGCAAATCTGTGCTCAACTGGGCACATTTTGAAGCGATTTTATGATCATATGGTTTTCACCAATAGAATGAAATATTGTCTACGAAAGTTATTTAGTATATGTACATAATTCGATCGTTTTGCAAAAGTAAGCTACTAATATTAGTTATGACGGTTAAAATAAAACATTCGAAACTTGTCTAGTCACTATCTATACACAAGTGAAGCCAGGGTAGGGTGGGTTGGTGTGAAGTAATAAATAATATTTGATTCTTACCTATCCACAATTTGTTGCCAGATGGCGGGCCGCATGCCGTTGCCCACCATGATGCGGACATTGTGTTGGGAATCTGTCTCTTTAGGCGGCGTAGACACTAGGTAGCGGCACATCTCACCTATATATTGCGCCACCTGTCGCACACTCACACTTTGTTACACTTACATATATAATTAATAAAAAGCATACAAATATACGTAACTAGGTTGTTTTACTAGAGCACTTTAAACAAAGGAATATTTTAAAACTTAATACATATTCATATGTCCGAACGCTTTTAACCGTCTTAAGATAATTCAAAGTAAGTCATTTGATCACATTTGATTATTTATTTTTTATTATGTAAATTTTACATTTTCACGCTATTTCAGCGCAAGAATCCAAACCCGAGGTCTTCGATACCACGAAATTGTTTCCTCGTATATTTAATACAAGCAACAACAATATAACATCTATATATATGTACTCGTCCCAAGACAAAACCAAATATAACACCCCTAACTCACCGTGCAATTATATTTAATACAGTCGGTAAAATAATTGGTGACCGAGAACTTTGTCCTCAGTACCGAGGGTATGCCGTCCACGAGGGCGGCGCTCGTGCCCACCAGCCCGCCGGCCAAGTGGTACAGGGGCAGCGTGTTGTAAATGCGATCCGACGATCGCAAGCCCAGCATGTGAACTGTTGCTACTACTACCAATAGATACCTGGGTAGACATGTTTGTTATAAATTAAAGTTACTCAATAATATTCACTTAATAAAAGTATAGCAATGACATACATTTGAAAAGAAAAAAAAAGCAGGACTATTTTAACAACTTTAATTATCCTGAAGGTATAGATCACGTTTCATATATATAAATATAAAATTTTGTCAGTCGGTAATCAAGTTCATTTACGACCAATTAATATTGAACCAAGTATAACTAAAAAATATAACTGAAAAGCTAAATGTTACGAAGAAAAAGCTAACAACATATGTAGGAAACAATTTATAATATCCGACTTACTTGGAATTTGGTATTACAGCAGCCTTGGGCATTCCTGTCGTACCCGACGTGTATATGTAGAGAAGGGTATCTCTGTATTGAGGTTTGTCTGTTACTATAGGGTATTCTGGTTCGTGCTTGTACATTTCAGCCCCTAGGTCCACTACTCCTGGTGCGCAATCGCCATATAGCTGGAAGAGTTTCAGCTCTGAAGGAAGCTGATCCCTTATCTCGGCAATCGCTACAAATGTGTTTTTTAATTTAATTTTAATATTTACAAATTTAGAAATCTATGCTAATATTATAAAGAGGTAAAGTTTGTGAGTTTGTGACGTTGTAGGGGATAATCTCTGGATCTACTGTACCGATTTGGATGAAACTTGGTAAGAATATAGTTTGAGACCCCGGGAAGCACATGCGATACTTTAAGGGGTGAAAATCGGGATTAAAGCTTCCATTGGGAAGCAAGCTAGGGACGAAGCGAGAGTGAGTCTAGTCAAATATAAGGGACTTGGTACAGACGTCTTCATTATTTTTAAACTATGAATATATTATTTTGTTATTATAAAATGCATAAACTTTATCACAGTATCCTCATGAATATAAAATGTAAACAGGTAACAAGATTATAGCGGCGTATATTGAAAATCAATAATAAATTCTAGCCGTAACCTCGAATAGTATCTACCTACATATCTACTATAAGTTACAACCTCATACACTAGATTAACATTAAAAAAAATCATTTAACTAATAGATATTTAAAGGTAAAGTCTAAAATCGAACATAAATTGGCTATTAGAGTCAAATGCAGAAAAAGGAAACACGCAATGACATAACGTGCCTAGCAGGTTCACTGCAGTTGACTGCATTCTGCAAGTACCTACACTATGGATTTGATGTACACACGCTATACATTTCATGTACAATTAGGCTCACACCTAATTTACTTTTAAATGAAATATTATGACAAACATCATAGTATTACATATTCATAATATATACAATATAAAAATAATTTAACACCTCCAGGTAAATTTCTAAGAAATTAATTAAAATTCTAAGAAATCTACTGTTAACTGACACGCCGGCGTGTCCGTGGTCGTGGGGGGTTTAAAACTTATATGTAACATATTTATAATTTGCATAACCACGGATACAAAACAAATTCTAAATAAAGGTCCTTCGTAATATTTTCGAAGTTACGTAGAGATTAGTAGGATTAAACTCTTACCGCCAGCTAGCGCATCAGAGAATACGATGGCTTTCGCCTTAGCAACTTGTATGCAGTGGAAGAGGGGGCGGTGTCTTAGATTACTGTTTATGAGTGCAGACACAGCACCCAGCTTGGCCATACCAAGCCACGTGTACACGTATTCAGCGCAGTTTGGCATAAACACGCACACCACATCTCCTCGCTTCAGGCCCAGATGCTCTTGCATCACCCGAGCGACTCTATTAGAGTTATTCGCCATCTGCGAAATAGAAAATGGAAGTGGAACGGTGTTGTTTATGTCTGGTGAATTTATAAATATTATGAAGCCATAGTTCCTTGAAGAATAGTTTATTTTAAAGTATTTTCAATTTTGTGTAGACTAATTATTTCGTTATCATTTATTATATATTGTATTTTCAATTACACATAAAAATTAGAATTATAGGTATATTTTATATAAAATTTGATATTATATGTACATATAAACATATAATCAGCACACCTCTCTGAAGGTCCAAGTCTTATCCCCAACTACGATGAAGCATGGCGCGTCGGGGTATTTCAGCGCTCGTCTTGTGAACAGCTCTGCTACTGTGTTGTTGTTGCGTCCCCATCGTTTCAACCGCATCATAGCAGTCGTGTACCGCCATAGAAATCTATTGCAAAATAATTCATTATTTATTATTAGAGAAACAATCAACTGTATCAATTGTGTGGTTATAACCTGTTTTATTTTTTTCACCTAGAGATTAGAAAAACGTTTAATATTTATGGATGAGATTTAAAAACAAAATAAGTAAGCCGCTTTGTTGGTATTTGGTTTTATTAACCCCCGGCACAAACAAAAGGGAATTACTTACGGGTTTATCGTTGTATCTGTGTATTAGTCCGTGGCACCGTAGCGCCCAAACGGATAAATGGATTTTAATTTAATTTTTTTTATTTGAAAGGTGACTTGATGGAGTGTTCTAAGCTAGAAATCAAAAATATCCGTTCCAAAGTTTGCAGGCCATTCATTAGCTCTTTTATAGCGGAAAAAGGATATAACCAACATCCACAGATCAAATCGATTTGAAGCTCGGTATTCCTTAAGTGTAATTGCAGTGATATGGTAACCTAGGCCTGATGCTGCAGTGTCTTCTGGAATCTGTTACTCAACTCTTTACCAAAATACTAAATAGATTAGTAAAATACCATAGAAAGAGAGAGAGAGAAAGAAGGAGAAAGAACTTGAAATGGCCTTAATGAATAGGTTTTTTTTTAATTTTTAATTTAAAACTTGTTCACCAGTACTCACTACTCACATCAAAGATCGATAAACTCATACAGTGAACTTTCCCATGTCGGTTCTACTGACATGTTAGTTTTAAATATTAACGAGCGAAAAATGCCATATGGAAGCTTCATTTAATATTGTATAATTTTTTCCATTAATGAAAAATTTAATAGTGTATTAAATTAAGTGAAGAATATTTATTGCTTTATAAAATCAAATCGGATTACTAATCTGATTCAATTTATCAGAGTACCTATATCATGATCTATTTTAAGTTATTAAGATGTACATATTTTGGGATTTTGATTGATTCTTGAGCATAAAAATAATTTTATAAAAAGAAGCTTAAAAGCTCGGTTAACGAAAATGGTCTGTTTAGCTCTACTTAGTCGTAGCTTTTGAAATTTCTTCTTCAAGGGATATATAACGCAAATAACAGTACGGCACTATTCGCAGTTATAGGTTGTACAAGGCTACATATATCGTAATCCCTTAATTAAATGAATATGTAACCTCGCTGATGCTGTCTCTTGCACTCTTGCTCGTAATAAAGTGCAAGAATTAAAATCTTTTCGGATTATTTCGCGGATTTATTTTGATTTTTGGTTCCCGACGTTTCGAATGCTTTATAGCAATCATGATCACGGGAGGGACTCCCAATTTTTTTCAAGTTTTATTTAAAAATAAACAGTATTTTATTTAATGAAATAAGCAATATCTACCTGTAAAATTTTTAGAAGTGAAGAGAGTTTTAATGAGTAGATATTTTAAGATAACGATAGATACAGAAATATCATGTTTATCTATTTATCTTAGCTGACGGTATCTAGTCTAGTTTTAATAGAACACTCAAAAATGTTGAGTTTATTGCGATGTTTATTTACGCGATATTGGATTTTTTAACCAATTTCATAATATGAGGAGATACTAAAATCGGCGTATATCTATATTATTTATATTCATCGATTTCTCTAAAAAACTATTTAAACGGATCTTAATTATGGTAGATTCTTAAGTGGTTACTTAAATGGTGGGTAGTAAATTAATCTAGCATATCTATTTAAACCTACTTCTAATCTTCGTATTGTTGAAGAGATTTGCAAGTGAACTTTGTACATATTTTTGATAAAAGTACAATAATTTGATGCTATTGTACTGATGTAACGATGGAACGATAGTAGAAAAAGTCTACTAATCTATACAATCGTCTACGAGTATGTCTAACAAGGGCGTCTAGACAAGGTAATAGTGCCGGGCGCGCGACCCCGGTGAGGTGCACCCGACTCTCATATGTACTTTTATAGGGCAGTCGGGATACGGCTTTAGGGTTGAGTATATCTGTCATGTGCCACGAAATGGCACTAAAGGCATTAACTTCGAAACTTTTCGCCATAAAAATTAAATATTTTTAGACAACCCCTTGTATTTATTTCGCTGGATTTTCATTAAGATCATGTTACCTTTCGTTACACGAAGAACTGTTTGATCAGTAGACACCTCTGCAAGTATACAAGCTGCGTTAAGCTTGATTGCCGAGTGCACGTTATCATAACAAAAGAAAATGACTAATGAGGTGCCTGATGCTACGTCTAGAATGAACCTGCGTAACTCTTTGGGAATTAACTTTTATATAGGTATAATATCGTGCGGTGTAATTTACAAATTACCTTCTGTTAGTGAAGGGTGTCACAAGAAATTCCTTTGAATAAAAACTACAAATATGCTTAAAATACCTCTATATATTTTTATTTTGGTAGAATTTATTGGTGAATTTTGGTAGAATTTGGTAGAATCTTTTGTCGGTATAATCGTTACCTATACCTTTTTTGTACTGTGATCTTTTGTTTTCTTAACCTAAATGACTAATAATTAGTAAGCTGTAGTGAAAAACTACGTTTCGCATACAACGCACCACGGACAAAGTTCAAATTTAAATTTAGCTTGATGCTCGCTACACATACTGCGAGTGTTACGCTTTACTTGTATTTTTATATATGAACTGAAGTTGTCTTATATAAAGTTGCATATTTTATGGCATTTAAACGCCTACCCATACTTAATATTATAAATGTGAAAGTGTGTTTGTTTGTTTGTCCTTCTTTCACGTCGAAACGGAGTGACTGATTGGTATCATTTTTTGTGTGGAGATAGTTGAAGGGCTGGAGAGTGAGAGGGAGCTCGCTTTTAATGGCGGGAGATCATTTAATTCCCAAAGGAAAACACGTTATAATACAATCCAAAAAAATATTTATGATCAGAATTACTTGAAACTTGGTATTAATGATCTTCAATGAAATTAAATAAATACGTGTTTTAGAGTTTTTCGAAATTTATCCTATAAGAGGGAAAATAGTGGATGAAAGTTCGTATGAAACTACTTTTTTATAGCTTTTCTTGTAGTTTTAACGCGAGCGAAGCCGCGGGTTCTGCTAGTTGTTTTTCTTTCTAAACATAGAAACTTACATATATCTTCATAAGTGATATATAGTTTAACATCACGTAACTATTTTCAAAGTAATCGTAATTTCAATTACAATTTAATTTATTTTGCTCTATCATGTAAGGTAATTTTTATAGTGAGAAAATATCAAAAACCGCGCTTCTAACTGTAATGTGTGGCATTAGTCTGGACATCCAAATGAGTTCGATGATATCAAATTATTTACTTAGTACTGTTGACCATACTTACAAAGTTTTAAATCAATACGATAATTATTAGAATAACACTGACTCATATAATCATAAGCATTTGACATTTAATTTTATTAAATAACATAATACATATATTAATCGGCTGCGAAAATATAATAGGTACTACCTACCTATGAACAAAAAATTACTTTAAATGTAACGTATCTTTACATAGTATAAAATGAAGTCGCTTCCGCTGTTCGTTTAGATCTTTTAAACTACTCAACGGATTTTAATGCGGTTTTCAGCAATAGATAGTGATTCAAGAGGAAGCTTTATATGTATAATACATGTAATTATAGTACAGAAAAGCCGAGAAATTCTAAGATTTGTATTACATACTAACCGTTATAAATCTACCCAGACGAACCCGAGCGAAGCGAGGGTGAGTCGCTAGTTTAATTTAATTTAATACAAATTTTTAATATTTTTATAATAGCTTCCCTGAAATCAGATAAAGATATTATAAAGCTCCGTACAAAAATATCTCTTCTACAATATAGAGTGCAAAAATACTACAAGCACTATCTCTCTAGTACCTACCTATTATCTATCTATATAAATAAAAATGAATGTTGCTAAGCGCAAAACTCGATTGTGGCTGGACCAATTCAGCTATTTTTTTTAAACCGAGCGAGGCGAGGGTGAGCCGCTAATATATAATACGAGTACCTATCTATCAGAAGCTGTTATTTGAAGTATACTTAAACAATACTGTTTATATCGTGATGTTATTGATATTTATTTAGTATGTTTGTTTGTATTTTGTTGGTATCTGTACTAATACTATGAAGAGGTATGTTATGTTCTATGTGAGTTTGTAATTGTAATCTTCGGTACCATGTGCTAATGATCTGATTTCCATGGTTCTATCATTGATAGATAGCTAGATTACTCCTAAGCTATAAACTAAATATGTATTGTGTTTTGACTGACCTATTACAATTTTTTGTCTAACAAGTGCGGTGTTCTTCGCGCTATCTAAACTAAATATAATAAAATAAGTGTTGGTACACAGTGTAAAGGAAATTCTTGACCTTTATTAGTTCTACAATAAAGTTAGCACTTAGAAATACTACATATAATAAAACTTTAATGTTCTTTTTTTTTAATAAAGCTTTAGGTACTGTCATTCAGTTGTATAGTGATATGCTTTGTTTTATGCTTCGTTTAAACTGCAGCATTTTTACTACTTCATATTTCATAAGTAGGTACTTACTACAAATTAAATATAGGTACCTATGGTTATCATAACGTTAAGGAATTTAATATTATTATATTATTATAATATCCCATGTAAAGGCAAAGTACTATTAAGCAAGTCTTCACGAGATTTAAACTTGATACAGGCACCGTCACCAAAAAAAAAATAGTTTCTATATATAACACTGAAGTTACGGGCAAAACTTAGGTATATAGAAAATATATGCGTACCTAACAATATTATTATTTTCGCAGTTTGAAAGCTAGATTGACTCTAATATTTTATCAAAAAGGTGTATCAAAATCACATTTATTTTAAACAATATCGTTAAATTAGCTATCGTTAAATTACTACGTACACCAACCCAAAATTTAGCACTTTTTCAAAACCAATCAATCGGAAATACTTACCTACTGATTCCCGGTTTAATAGATAGTAAATTAAAAAACTTATATACATGTTTGTTTACCTATCTATAAAGGTTTTAAGCAACCGTTAGAGAGAGCGTAGCGACGCTACCTTACAATGAATGTCTTTAAAGTTTAAATTTGAAAGGCACGGGTTCGATCAGACAAATCAAAATATTTTTAAATACAATTACTTTACTGTCTATCTACCAAGTATTGATCATTTAACTTCTTTACGCAAATCGATCTTTATAATAACTTTGAACGTCGTATTTGTATGAGTACATATCGTAGTAATCTGATTTTTAATGTTACGGAATCAACTATCATAAAATAATAACGAGTGTTACATATGTAAGCACTTGAGCAATACCATAGACCACCATATCACTAGGGGAAAGTAAGTAAGTTTTCTATCTTCAACCTCTAGCATGCTTTCTTGTTCACCCAGAACGAAACGGTACTTTTTATTAGTTTTTCATATATTCTCTGAGCATTTCTCGGTGATTATTTTTAAGCAAGTTCCGTTGTTTTTATTTAGAGAAAGTTTTCAATTAAGACGTACCTATAGGAACTTTTTCCTTTCGAAGCACTGGACTTATGTGAGCTCGTAAAATGTAATAAAATTGAATTATGTTATAATCTGTCTTACGTTATATTATTAAATTCAATTTAAATATAAATATGTAATACGTTTTTATTTATTTCATTTTTAATTTACTTTACAAAGAATGCAGATACTATTGAACATCTTGGATAATATCTGCAATATATCAACAACTAGTTCTGTGACAGTAGAAGTATCATTAAGGGGATGCTTTTAATTATAATTTAGTTTTTTTTTTATTTGTAGTAAAAATTTTAATACAATAAACAACTAGCTAAAATATAGTAAGAAAAATGTTAAAGCGAAAAATTGATAGGATAATGTTTCATGAAGGACGGATGGACAGGATAAATAATAAATTATTTTTGTAAAAAGTTAATCTAAATCTAAATTTAGTTTGTTGCGTGGCCAAGACTTAGTACAAGTAAGAGTTAGTGCTAGGTAGTATTGTGGAAAAGCATCGATCGAAAACATGTTACGTCGTCGAGCTATGTCGGAGCTGCGCTATTTCTGCTGTATTATATAAAACAATAAAATTATGAGTGGTTTAATGGGAATCAATTTTTAAAAACTTTACTTATAATATAGTCAAATTTAACAAAGAATTGGTGGCTTTATATTTATTAAAAAATCGATGAACAGAAATTATCTTTTTTCTTAACCGGATGAGAAAATCCAGAAAAATTATTATGATTGTTATGATTCTGAAATCGGAACGTTAGTGTTTCATAAAGTTTTTTTTAAGTAGCTGTTAAAAAAATAATAAATAGTCAAAATTGTTATACGGTTGAATTAAAGATATCTTTTTAATCTATACTAATATTGTAAAGAGGCAGTTTGTTAGAACGCGCTAATCTCAACTGCTACTCCGATTAGAAAAAATCTTTTTGCATTAGATAGCCCGTTTATTGAGGAAGGCTATAGGGCATAGGCTATATATATCATATAATAATATAATATTAATTCCACGTTGATTTCATTGAAATAAAGCAATTAACACTATAAGAAAGACATAATAAATAAGTATATCTTCACAGTGAAACCTTAAAACTTTTAAAATGCAAGATACGTTATCACATTCGGGGATTTATATCATAATATATAATAATAATAGAGAGATTCCTTCACCTTTTAACAATTAGTGTTTAAATACTACAGTGTAAGTGGCCACAATCAAAAATATTAGCCTGTAGGAAGTATTATCCGTGACGCGACTCATAAAAAACTAACCGCTGCATGCTACGCTATGGAATATGGTTAATTTAATGGTTATATAGGCCTCGTTCGATATATACATATAATTGTAATTTAAGATTTTATTATTTGACACAATACTTCGTAAATAAAACATCTTGAGATAATGATATGTCAACAACAACATGTTACGTTACTCATAGCGATAATTATCGAATTTTTTCCCCAAAGATCTATTAAACTACTTACTTCACATCCCTGGGCAATGTTTTCACGATCACATAAATCCGTTTCCTATATCGATAGATGCAAGGCGCGACTGCGAGGATCGCGAATATAGCCGCTTTGGAGAGCGTGCTCAGCACGGCGGCCATCGCGGCGGCTAATGCCATCAGAGCGACGAGCGCTGCCAAAAGCGCGTCCATGCTGGCGAACAGCCCAGTAGGACGTAATCTCACAAATTTAAACAGATAGTCAACAAACGCACTGATAATACGTAAACGCGTGAATACGTGTGTCCGCAGTGACTAGGTTTTAGTAAATGCGCAACTCGTAAGGACGTGCGCCGCGCGCCCGCCGTAGCCGTATCGTCAATGGCGGGCCCCCGGCCTCGACGCCAGATGCACATGCGCGAACAGCTGATCCCCGAAGGGTCCGTTTACACAAAAAACCGTTGTCTAACAACGAATTATTTTCAAATAAGTATAAAAAAACGAGGCACTGGGCTGTTTTTGTAAAACTTTATTGACAGCACAGCGTCATCAGTCATGGTTGGATTGATTCCAAATTCTAAAATGACGTAGGTAATATACGTATTATTTTCTGAATCATTTAGTTAATAATTCTGTCTGTCAAGTCAAAAATCATATTGACACGTCTTGCAGGATAATTAGATTTGACACTTTATTTAACTTTTAGGTAAATTATATATTTACTAGCAGAACTCGCGGCTTCTCTCGCGCTAAAACTACAAAAAAACTAAAAAAGTAGGTTTCATACAAACTTTCAACGCCTACTTTACCTCCTCATAACATGAATTTCGAAAAATGCTAAAACACGTAATTAATTATATTGAAGAGCATATTAATACGGAATTTATTGAAACATGGTATTAACCATGTTTCAATAAATTCTGATCATAAATATTTTTTTGGGTTGTATTATGACGTGTTTTCCCGTGGGAATGAAATAATCATAATAGCCTATGTCACTCTCCAGCCCTCCAACAATCACCAAACAAAAAATCCGCCTATCCGTCACTCCGTCTCGACGTGAAAGAAGGACAAACAAACACACTTTCAAATTTATAATATTAGTATGGATTTTCAGGCATTTCTGCAATGTGCTGGTAGTTAACGACTATGTGGTAACCAGTACATAGAAATATATGTGACTTCACACCACGTATGTAAATCGAACCCGTGATCTCCGGGGGAGTTGGCAGTATCCGTCAGACCTACCACATAACGGTGGACAAAAATGTAATAAGGCAGAAAAAAGTTAACGTATAATAAGGCAAAACTTTAATATTTTTATTCATGAAAACCTAATTAAATTTGAGGGGATACTTACTGGGCCTATAGGGGGGATACGGCACAGGATTCAGTGAGTGACATATCATCACACACGCCATATTGCACAAATATACCTTTAATGACATAGTTGCATTTCGCAGCGGGAGTGATCAGATAGATTTTAAATAACCTAATCTATTAATATAATAAAACGGTACTTAGCGAAATCTGTACATGAAATATTTTTAAAAACAATGATTCGTACCTATTGTGTACAGAATTAACCCCAAAACAATAGTTATTAATTTTTTGTCTGTTTGTTACGTGTTCGCGTTTCGCGCAAAAAGTACTGGATCCATTTTGAGTAAATTTTGTGTAGTGATAACTTATTATTCGAGTCATCATTTAGGATATTTTTTACTACAGGAAAATCTTTCATTTCTACGGGAAAACACAATAACTGGTTCTATCGAGTCGTTCCTATAGAACCACAAATATTTAAAAAATATATGACATTTATAAACTAAAATTATATAGTTAATGATAAGTTAGTAGTATAAGGCACCCCCGGGAAATAATTCTACCGCCACCCATCCGCCTGCTACCCGTGACTTAGCTCATAAATGTATGTAGGTAGTTACATTAAATTCACAATTGCTAAACGTAACTTTTTACGAACGCCTGTAATTGAGATCTCAATGCCTGTGGATTTATTGAATCTTTTTAAATAAACGAGATACATTCTATTTGATTCGAGATATTTATATAAAAACTTTTTATAACAAAAAATAAAAACCGACTTCCAGACACTAAAATATAAAAAATAACTAAACGGAGGTTTTCATTTAGAATAGATACCTAATCAGATATTTTCGAAGTCGGTGCCAACCTACAATATTTTAAGATATGAATATCTAATAGGTAAATATGTATTTTAAGCTAACGTTACGTTCAACCAGTAGTAGGTATCTAAAGATATTTTTATAAAAATATATTCACTCCATATTTGAAAATCTTTTTTCAGTTAGAGCAGACCAAATATGCTATTATTACATCCTAAGTAACTTATTTGCTCATGTTACCAAACTGTCCCAGAAGAAGGTTGGTTGGTGTATTTGTCAGCCCTTTTTAACGTCCCACTGCTTGGCAAAGGCTTCCATTTAATATGAGGGGGATCAGGTCACAGACCATAGTCCACCACGCTGACCTACTACGGGTTGACGGACTAGACATGTCTTCCTTCACCATAAGATAAGTGGCAAGCATATTGTGGGAATGATTCGCACATGAAAATATCAGAGGTGCGAGACTCGAGACTTAAAGATATTTTTATAGGCGAATAATTTCTGACATGATTACCACTTGCCTTACGGTGAAGGAAAACATCGTGATGAAACCTGCCTGTCGAAAGACATGTGAAGTCCGCCAATCCCCACTTGGCCAGCACAGGTGGACTGTGGTCTGATCGCCCTTGTATTGAAGAGAGGCCTGTGTATAGGCCAATAGATAGATTATAGATAGATAGAATATCCTTAAACATTATAACGATCAATTTAAAAATATAATAATTATGTATAATATGTTTAAATTAATCGTTAACCATGTAAATAACTATAAGAACAAAATTTTATATGATGTCGCACATTATTTAAAATTTATTAATATGTATATATAAAAATACAATAAAGCTTCAGAGGACTAAGGGTTAATATAACAATGAAAACAAGTAGTTTATTGCAAAAATTTATTCTATAAGCATTTTCAACAGCATCCCATTACCTTTAATTCTTACACCAAGTCCTTTTATTATCAGGTATTAAAATCACATTAGTCATACAAAATTGAGATTGGAATGACGTTCGACTTCATTATTTTATTTACAAGGCCAATTTTACTTAAAAGCGGCAAGTAAAAATCGATTCTTTTAATAACATCAACGTTTACAGACTATAATATTGCCTATCAAGGCCAATAATACAATAACAAAAAAAATATAAAGAACCATTACAATATAATAAAATCAACAGATAAAGTTTATAAGGAGACTTGCTGATATTATTATAGGTATGTTAGTTAAGTTAAAATTAAATAAAAGTTAAAAAATTTGGCATGACTTATTTCTACAAATTATGTATAATTTGTGGAAATAAGTTATGCTTCTATTAATATAACATATTAAAAATAAAATGAACAATCATTAGAAGTTTGAGCAAATACACTAATGATTAGTAAACAATCAATGCCGATCGCCAAGAGACTCGCTTTTTCTAAGCTTAAATACAATATTACTGAATATTCTTTTGGTTAAATGTATATGTTACAGTCAAAACTATTTTTTAGTCAAAACTACTTTTGACTAAAGAGGTTGGTCAAAAGTAGTTTTGACCCAGTGCCCAGGGGCGGTACTAAGACTGAATCCGGCACTAGTGAGTAGTGATGTCGGTAAAAACTTTTAAAAAGTTAAAGTCATATAGATTGAAGGTTACTCGGAAGAACTATTTCTTTCTTTTTAGGTTAGGTTAGAAATTGATTAGAACATTGACCACAACGCCGTAAACGACTAGAACTTTTAGAAAAAAAAATATAGAATAAAAAATAAATTAATCATTGATTACAATTATATTTAGAATTATCCAAGTCATTATTGTGATCATGATAAAGCTATTTTACAACAGACTTCATAAAAAAAGGTTATGAATTCTACACGTATGTTTGTAATAATATTGGAACTGCAAAATATTCACATAATATGATAATCTATTAGGGTTTTCAAACCAAAATACAAAATTTTATAGGTATGTATGTTTATTCAAGCATTTCTTCGAAAATAGTAATAGGATCATGATTCGACGATGCTTTAAGATATGAATATCTTATAGGTAAATATGACAAGGTATGAACTATAGATTTGCTTTGCTTTGTATCGGCTGGCACCGACTTCGAAAATATCCGATTAGTTCTAGATCTATACTGAATGAAAATACCCGTTCAGTTGTTTTTTGCCTTTTAGTGCCTGATCGGTTTTTAAAAAATATAAATATAAAAAAGTGACTTAATTTTTCAAAATCACTTTTGAACTGACATATTTCTTTATATGATGGTTAAACTAACTTACGGCCTTTAAAGGATTTAGGTATTAATTTTTTTTAGAAACAATTCGTTTTATCCATAAATAGTCCAAAAAATATATTTCAGACATTATCGCGAGCTTCTTTTAACTGAATGTTTAAAGTTTAATTAAAAAAATAATTACCATACAGAGGTGTAATAAAACGTGCTGGGATTGAAATTAACTTTTTTTAAAAGAAGTATTTAAAATTTATATCGTCACGGTTTTTTAATTTTTATACAATACGTAAACAGCTGATAGAAAAAGCGATAAGCCCCTTTTTTGTGTGTCCATTAATTAACTGCAAAAACAATAAAATATATTAAATAAATTATTTATAATTTCAAAACATAACACCTTTAGACTTTAGTCCATGGGACAATCTTATAATAATAATGAATCAAGGAAGTTAGTTCAAATGGTAGTACATTATGTTGATAAATGAAAATGTATGAAGTATATGATATATTAGTAACTCACCCTCGCTTCGCTTTGGGTTAAACCCTAGACAAAAACAAATCTATCCCACGGGAACCGCACATCTTTCCGGGATAATATATCGCCAATAGCCTTCCTCAATAAACGTGCTATCTAACAAAAAAAGAATTTTTCAAATCAGATTAGTAGTTCCTGAGATAAGCGCGTTCAAACAAACTCTGCCTCTTTATAATATTATACATATTAGTATACATTTTCATAGAAAGATCATAGAAAGTCATAGCTTATGATGAAAAGTAAGATAAAATAGACAAAACAATTATAAAAATAAGAAATACATAAAATGCGGTATATCAACTTGAACTGCACAGACATTAAATGAAACTATGTACGTGTATCGTACCGGCTGTTTAAAAATCGGTCTTTTAGTTGATCAACAAGTCTTATTTACAATACTTGAAATATATTATTCAACAAATATCAGCAGATATTGGAAATAATATTTACAATGGAAGAAATAGAAATGCTACGACAAAGGAATCATTTCCACTCAAGAATAACGAAAAAATGTATATGTCATATGATTTGATATTTTCTTTTACATATTCTGAAAGTAGTTCGCGTCCTGATAAGAAAGTATATTTATAAGACAAAAAAAAAACTACAATTAATACTACTTGTGAGACGTCAAACTGGTTTAACTAGGATTTTCGTTCAAAATGAGACATTTTCAGTGATACTTAAACTTTTTTAAGAATAGAAAACACGATGGAAGCCCTGTAATTTTTAAATATATTATGTAGTAACATAAGATACATAAACATTAAAATAAAATAAAAAAGTACTTATTAGCTCTATATAAAGAAGTTGAAATGTTATTGAAAATGTCTCATTTTGATATCGGAAATGACTTATCGATTCCTTCCTTTGTTAAAAGTAAAATCTTAATAACAATATGTAAATAAAGAATATACCTAATCACGTAAATGTTCGAAGTAGACATTACCTACATATGAAAATGGTTAGTATTAGACATAGATAAAAATAAATTTTATGTAATTCAATCATCAATTCGAGTATTTTGGTTAAAAATAAGATCAATATTGAGTACAAACAAATTTTATTACAATTTGGTTTTGTAATATAGATTTTTGTGTAATAAAATTAAAATATCATCTCGCATCTATAATTATAAAATGTTTTATGTATAAAAATTACAATTCAATGAGATTCTAAGAGATTTTTTCAATAAATTAAAATAAATTGGACTCCATTACACAAATGTCACAATTCACATCAGGGATTCATTTTTCAGAAAGAATACAATGAGAAATAAGTCAGTTGATAAAAATAATAATAATATGAAATTTAAAATTATTTAACAATATCCTTTTTCCTTTTGAACATACAAAATATACTGTCATAATAGTCCTTAGAAAAAAAATAACAATATTAACGATACAAATAAAAGTGTGAGCTTAAAATAGTTTTTGAGATTACGTAATTGCCACAAACCTCTTGCCTAATCTTAATGAAACCAAAAAGTATCGAGAATGTTACAATATTACATATTATAATTATTTCATTGATTCCAGTGTTATAGTCCAACTTAACACAGTGCGAACTCGGGAGTGTTGAAAATAAGAAACCTCAATTTCATTGGGCTTGAGAATGAGAAGTGCAGACATAAATTGAGGTAGATATTATAAAAGTAAATTTTAAAATACATACATACACAATACTCTTACATATACCAAGAACCTATCTCCAAACTCTTTCTACGGTAAGGGAAAGTATAACCAGGAATAACGTTCTAGGAAAGTAACGAGATAACAAATCACAGTCTAATTTGCCCTTTGAGAATTTTTTGATACTCTTCAGGTCCCAATGGAAGGTACTTCATTTGTTTCAAATCCAAGTAATAAAGTTTATCAGCCTTTACCAAACTCGGATCAAAACCTTCCTTTTGCAGGTCAGTCTTCTTCATTTTAAATGTACCTGTTGACATTGTATTATTACTATTAGATAGTTTAAAATAAACATTGCTAATGATAGTAAATATAAATACATATTAAGCATAAAATATTGATAAACCTATGTTTTTGTTATAATTAACTATAAATTATTTAGATTGTATATATCCTGTTCCATTTTAATAAAGACATGATTGTTTACTCTACAATGTAAGTCTTTCAAAGTGTTTAAGACAAATAAATATGATATATTTATTTATCTTTTAAATATCAAATAACACCAAAACAGGTCATACAGACCAAATAATCTTGTCAACAATTAACGATTATAAAAAAAAATATCATGTTTATAGTTATTTCCGCCGCTGTGCCCGAAGCGTTCAAAGTTCGAAATCGCTAGCGAATATGAGTGCAAATAGAATAAAATAAACAAGTTATTATACTGTAGTGTGGAATAAAAATAAAAAGTATGAGGTCATCATCCAATTAAATAGCACTAGATTTATTATTGTAAATAAAAAATGTACATTTATATATAAAAGTTATATATAAAATTAAAAGTGTCTGTTTGTAATGTCAAAATAAAAGTTTTTTAATAAATTCATATAAAATATACGGTATTTATCAGAAAAAACAATTTTTAATTTTTTTGTCTGTCTGTTCCGGCTAATCTTTGAAACGGCTGGACTGATTTTGATGGGACTTTCACAGCAGGTAGCTGAGGTTACAAGGAGTAACTTAGGATACTTTTATTTAAGAAAAATAATTAGGGTTCCGTTCGAAAAAAATAGAACGTACTTAGGGACGCACCCGTACGAATCGACGATAAGTCACTAGTTATGTATAAAACTATTTCATTAGCACACATTTATAAAGATACTAACAACTGATCCTCACTCCGCTCGGGTTCGTCCCCAGTGAAAATTTAGGTTTGTATGTATTTTTTAATGCTGAATCATAAAAAATAAAATTTTGTTCAAAAAATAAAAAAAATATTTTTGGGATGGACCACCCTTATCACGTAGGGGTATGAAAAATAGTTTACGTACTATTCTCACACCTACTGAATATACACACAAAATTTCATAAGAATCGGTCAAGCCGTTTCGGAGCAGTTTCTTTACATACAATCGTGACACGAGAATTTTATATATTAGAAAATAAGATGTCATTAGTTTAAGTAATCTAAAAATGATAATTACTAAACTTAGGAAATTAAAATTCTAAAGAATAATTTTCCGCTAAGACAATGACCAAAAAATAAAAGTGAAAAAAAATACTATAATTATGACCTCCACTAGCTTAATGTACCGTAACTTAGCTGGTGGGCGGACGTCGCTTTTTATTACAATTAGACTCGAGAATATAGTCTATGATCTGGAGTAATATACACGTTACTGCTAATACTAAAATTGGCCGATTGGCCGATAGGTCGTCGATGCCTGTATATAATATTATAAATACAAAATACCCAGGGACCTACCCAAGTAGAGCGAGAGTAATTCGCTAGTATAAATAAATATGGAGTTTGTATTCAGCTCTTTTTAACGGCTGGCGGACTTCACATGTCTTTCGAAAACTAGTTGCGTTATCAATAGACGTGCAGATTTCCTCATGATGTTTTCCTTCACCGTAAGGCAAATGGTAATCATGTTTAAAATGATCACACATGAGCATATTACAGATACGAGACGTGGGATTTGAACCCGTTTCACTTGGCATCCTAACTAGCGCGTTTCCATTTTGCTTATAAAGATACTAGCGGCTCACTCGCTTTGCTCGGGTTCGCCTCTAGACAAACAAAAACAAATCTATTCCACGGGAACCGTACATTTTTCCGCGATAAAAAGTAGCCTATTTGTTATTCTGATGTATGAACTATATATTGTAAAGTTGCATTAAAATCCAAAGAGTAGTTTTTGTGTACGAAGCTGTATAAGTTACTATAGTTTTTTAACTATTCCACGAGAACTCTTTAATTTTCCGGGATGAAAAGTATCAAAAATGTTGACCGGGGATATAAGGTACCAGCATCCAAAATGTCATTTAAATAGGTCCAACAGTTTCGGAGATTAGCCCATACAAACAGACAGAAACAAAATAAAATCAAAAATTCTGGATTTGTTCCACTTCTCTTCTTACATCCCCCTGACTCGGTTTTTAGCATTTTTTTCTATGTACAAACATTCTGTCTACAGTTTTATTATATGTATAGATGAGACACACCGGTCATGTCCATGCTAGTCATAACTCTGATGAAGATGGGCCTGGCGTAGGGCGGCAGGTGGCGCGACAAGTCCTTCGCAAGCTTGTCCAGGTCTAGCGTGCCGTTGGTATCCACAATACCGCACATGCCCGCCCGACCTTCTGTGTCCGGCACCTATTATACGAAGGTTAATATTAAAAAAAAACGTGTATGTGTACTTATGTACGCACGTAAGAAGTTATACTTCTTTGGTGTATTACAACAAAAGATTTCATCCCGTATGTCACAACTCTCTGGCTGTCGGTGTGCACGCGCAACGTAAATTTTACTCTTACATTTTTTCCAAACGTGCCAAAAGAAGTATAACTTCAATTAAAAAAAAAACTATGTAAAATACATTTCTTATGTGTATAATAATTATGCATGTAACTACGTAAGTACGCGCTGATAATAAAGATACTTAAAATATATTAAAATTATTAGCTTTATTTTATATCACTGCAGATAATGAGGTAAGATATTGTAATAATGAACAATGCATCCCATCAATAATTAGATAATTGAAGTCAAGAAAGGACTGTAGGACAGCTGGGTGGAGCGACGGCATACGTAAAGTGGCTGACAGCGATTGGATGCACAGTGATAAAGATCGAGCTCTTTGGCATGCCGTATGGCTATGTCCAGCAGTGGACAAAAATAGCTAAATATGATGATGATGAATTTAAGAAAGACATAAGTTACGATAAAGCTCTTAAGTAAAGAAAAAAAGACATTAGTTCGATTAATGCATTCGGGAATCGAACCCATGATGTCATCATTAGGTCAATTGTATCTAAACAATTTTAGTTCATTTACAACAGGTTGTTCTAACGCGGCAGGTATTGTTGCGTACAAATGTGAGTAAACAAACACAAGTACACTTTGTTTCCTCTCAAAGAATTCCGATTCTCGATGCGACTGATTCAAACAAAGCTGTACAAACTTTTCAGCTGAACTGCCTTTGGTGTCGGTCTTAGCTTACATTTAATTAAAATTAAAAAAAGAAAAAAAAATGACGATACAAAAGCGCTTGTAAAATTATATTTAATTAATATAATTTACATACCAATACACCATAAACAACGGCGTCGCGTTGCTTCGTGACTGCCGATATGGCGGCCTCGACCTCGCTCGTGCTGACGTTCTCACCACGCCAGCGGAACGTGTCGCCGGTGCGGTCGCGGAAGTACAGGTAGCCGAGCTCGTCCGCTACTAGAATGTCACCTAGAAATATGATTTTAGAAAATTAGTCAAAAATGCCAAAAAGGAGTATTACTCTATCGACGATATATAACTTTGTATTGTAATATTGTGAACTAGTATTATTTAAAAAAAAAAGAGCAACTGTTGAGTTTCTCGCCGGCTCTTCTCAGCAGAACTGCCGTTCGAGCCGGTGATAGATATTTCAAGGACTTACATACTGACATTTACTTTAAAATGTGAAATTGACAATTCAAAAGTACTTGTGAAGTCTATTTGAATAAATTATATCTTGATTTAATTTTTTTGGATTTTGTCTATCAGAATGTCTTCAAGAATCAGAACACTATTATAAATGCGAAAGTTTGTTACTCCTTCATCTTCGACATAGATTTGGATTACTATGATAACATTTTTATTTGTTACACGTTAAAAGTAGTTTACTGGTTATGGGTAGGATAGCAATAATAATCGCCAACAAACAGTAATTGCCAAATAACAGAAATGAAAATTTAATATGCCATGTATGTATGTAGATACTATTTTATTTCATATACTTGAAGAGATTACCTTCTTACCAACTGCTAAGTAAAGTTAAGTATATGAGTGATATTTTAGTTTGTTTCCTTAGAGACTTGAATTGATGCCAATTTAGTGAATGGTCAAATGTATGACCAATGAGTGAAGTGCCAAGTTTAATGTACTTCCTTATATGGCAAAAGGCCAAACTAACGATCCAATACTGTTACAGTTGTAGGAAACATACAAGTAATTATCTATCTATACTAATATTATAAAGAGGTGAATTTTGTGAGATTGTGAGTTTGTAAGGTTGTAGGGGGTAATCTCTGAATCTACTGAACCGATTTAGATAAAATTTGGTAAGAAGATAGTTTGAGACACTGGGAAGAGCTTAGAACATATTTTACACTGGAAATCATCCCTTAAGAGGGTGAAAATGGGGATGAAAATTTGTATAAGGAATCAACCTAGGGACGAACCAGAGCGAAACGAGGAAAAGCCGCTTGTTGAAATTAAAATGCAAACCATGAACTTACTCACAATCTAGGAATATAATATACTGACTTTTTGTGCTTGTTAAATCAGAAAAAAAAAACAATTAAATAGTTTTCTCACAGTTTCTCAAGTTCAAGTTAAATAACAATCACATTAATATTATCTTTTTTCTCTTTATTTAAGAGCTTTGTCATTAAAATGACCATGTGTCTCTTTTAGGTTCACATACAAAATTAGCTAATTATACGGTTATTACAATTATTTAGAATTATTTTATAGTTTCTTAGCTACTACAGAATCAGGTCTCGCAAATTACATTCCCCTTTATTCAGGGAAAAAGGTTGTTAGCGAATAAATGACCATTAATATTATAAATGTGGATGGATGTGACCAAAAAAGAAACATAAAAAATATTTATAAAAACACAAAAAAAAAGAATGCACAGCTGGCGGCCTTATGAAGTATGTTTTCATTAAAACTGTAGGCGGTGTACTTAGACACGTTTACATATATGAATAAATACTTATAGATAAATATATGTATACAAATAGGGGAGATTAGTCCAAAACCGGGTATGGGGGTAAAACCGGGTCACGGTACTTAGACTTTCTAATGTGTTTCAAATTTTCGCACGCTTCGCTTCTTGTAGTCAATCATCTTGAATAGTTTGTCAACAAAAGTTAGATGACGTGCATCCTGGAGGGAAGAAAGTATTAAAAATGCCACTTTAGAAGTGATAGACGAAAAATGTGGACATCGTCTCGCTTTTCGAACAATTTCCAAAAAGAAGAAGGTTTCAGATAATAAGCGCTTATTGGGTGCAATATTTTAAGTGAAAGGAATGGGCCCATGAAGTCTGTACCAACCAGTACAGCCAAAGGTGCAAAGTCGAGTATAAGAAGTGGGTTTACCCGGTTTTGGACCAGGTATGGGGCAAAACCGTTAAGTTAACTTTTGAAAATGATAATTTTTTTATTACCTACGATAATGAAAACAGTGAAAACATTTCGTTAATCAAAGATGTAATTAATAAGTTAAAGTAAACGAAGTCTTAATAAAGTTAATTTATAATGTTTGACATTTTTTTTATTTACCTTAGCGTTCCCATTTTACCCCTCTTTCCCATACATATGTATATAGATACATACATATGTACAAATGTACATACATACATGCGTAAATTTACACACACACAGATAAAAAAACAACCAAATGATATATAAAATTAGATACTAGAACATAACAGAGGAAGTAATAATAATATTAATAATAAGGATGATATCAGGGGAGAGGACTAAAGAGAGAAAGAGGAAAGGACTAAGGATAAAGTCTTAAAAATTAAAGTCATAAAAAAATGTACGACTCCCGCGCGATAGATTTTTTTAATTTTCACTCACTCTAGTTAAATTATAATTAAGGTATATCTTCTTGAATCATATTATATGATATTTTAATCAAAAATGTTATTTTTCGTTTTAACCGTTGGTTTAATCTAACATTACATTAGCAGTGTGTTTAAAAGATTGATTTGTCTTTTTCATTTAAATATCAGACTTATAATGTTATCTCCGTCGTGTATTCTCTATTCAATGTGACATTGGCGAGGTAATCTCTGCTCAACTGGCACGCTTTTAAGCCATCACAAGAGAATTGTATTGACTTACATACATGCTGTTTTAGAGAATAGTAGTTATTGAGAATACATCTGGAGCGGTAAATTTAAATTTTAAATTAAAGTAAATCGGTCATTAAGTGTAAATTTATGTCAGCTTGTCCATAATGTAATACGTAGATACATTTACCAGATATAAAAGCAGAATCGCCGTGTTTGAACACGTCTCGCACCACCTTCTTATCGGATGCGGATTTGTCGACGTAACCGAGGTACTCTCGTGTGGGATTGTTTGGTGATATCTTGCCCACAAATACTCCCGGTTCTCCTGCTGCGGCAACCTGGTATAATATAAGATAATGATTGGAACAGTTATTTTATCTATACATATAATAAAATTGTAACTAAGCCAAAACTGTACATTAAATATTTTTTGGAAAATCTTATTGAAATAGACATTATTTTCGAATTTCGATGCAAAGGCTGAATCTATAGTTTTTTTTGTCTGTCTATCTGTCTGTCTGTTACCGCATCACAGAAAAACCACTGGAGGGATTTTAATGAAATTTGGTATGGTGATAGCTGGTTATCCGGGTCAACATATAGGATACTTTTTACCGCGGGAAAATATCTCATTTCTGAGAAAAAATACAAAGAATGCATTATAACAGTATACTAATATTATGTAAAGCCTAAGAATTTGGTTTTTGGTCACCTGAACGCGGGCGGAGCCGCAGGCAATGCTAGTATTATAATATATTTAATTTATAAAAAAAACTATGCTCGCTTCAGGCACTAACTGAATCCCGTACATTCAAAGCAGATCGTAAGTAGGTCCCTTCACGATTTTCCATGCTGCTTGAAATTAACGTATTTAATATTACTAGTCTATATTAATACTATAAAGAGGTTAAGTTTGTAAATTTGTGAGGTTGTAGGGATAATCTCTGGATCTACTGAACCGATTTAGATTTAAATTTGGTAAGAAGATAGTTGTTAGTAGTAGTTTAAAGACCCTAGGAAGGCCATAAGATTCTTTTTATCCCGGAAATCATCCCTTAAGGGGGTGAAAATGTGGATGAAAGTTTGTATTAAGAAGCAAGTTAGAGATGAACCCGAGCGAAACAAAGGTGAGTCGCTAGTTAAATCATTAGCACAATTAAAAATGTCCGAAAAAAGGCCGTGCCTTTGTTTAAACGCAACTAGCCATAATATGAAGGTTATACTCATACTATACTCACTTGACAGAGTCCCCTAGAGTCCCTCACAGGCTCGCCAGTTTCTTGATCAACTTTGATGATAGCTATAGGATAGACACTTGGTATTATTCTTGATATGAAACCGATGGCGCCCGGCGTGCCGTCAGTGTTTGCTGCAAATAAAGAAAATATGACTTGTTTTTCAACGAGCGTTTTTCTTTAAACCACATTTTATAAACGCATCGAAGACGCACATTCTGTGCTGATAAACGTAAAAGAGCCTATGTAATTTAGGGTGGCACAAAAAACCGATACCTTTTTTTTCCTGTCTCTTATGAAAATATGTTGATTTTTTATGTTCTAGGAGCCTCCTTAGAAAATCAGCGCAAATGAATTTTTTAGAATCGCTCACAATTTTTCAAAATTTCCAAAATGGTCAAAAAATGATTTTTTTATTGTTTTTTTTTCTGGTTATTAATGACGAAAATTTCAAACCGATATTTTAATTTCTAAACGTCGCTTATATTTTTTTTTTACTTAAAAACTAGTGTACCTAAAATGTTATTGAGCGACCACTTAGTATAAATTAATATATTTTATAGCTTAAATAAAGAACAATATGAAAAACGTGATCTGAGTTTAAGAAGATCTCATACATCAAAGAAACAATAGAAGAAATTATTATTTCGTTAATATTTGTGTTTAGAAGTCGCTCGAAAGCATTGTAGGAACCTCTAACTGAGGCTTTATTACTAAGAATTTTAAACTCATACAACGCTTAAGCTAAGTGTATGAATCGCCTAACAATTTTGCAAAAAATATGAACTTGTTTTTGACGGTTTAAATGTAACATTTAAAAATCTATAAAATAATTACGATTTCGATTAGCCGATTTGTTAAGGTTCAAAACCTTCGGAAAATAGATATCTTAAATTAAATGTGATATAGGAATAGATTGACTTCACATGCAAATATTTATTATTTTCTGAGGAAATTAAATTCTCTTTATCTTTTTTTCATACCGTCACATGTCAAAAGTAAATTGTTTAATTACTGTATGTTTAAAAATGAATATATTACGATTTGTTTTTAAAATCAAAGCAATCTAGCGAAAATCACGCAAATATGTGTCTTACCGATGTTAATTATTTTGAGATAAATCAGTACCAAGAATGGAAATCGTTTTACTATAGTTTTTCTCAAGTAGTAGTAAGTAGGTTAGAGAGGGTTTTAATAAACATAGTATAAACCTCTTTATCTTTTTGACAACCAGGTAATGTGACGTCCCAGTGTAAAAATATATTACGTATTTTTACACTGGGACGTTTTTGCACATGAATATAATATAATCCACGGTTTGTATCGCTACTAATAAGACTAAGCGGGCTTAGAAGGTTATAACAAATTACATTCTATAAATGACATAATAAATAATAATATGTCTGTACTAGACATGATGCCTAAATTTTTCTATTACCTCAAACGATCGTACAGTGTCTTATTAACATAATATAACAATAACACTCGTCCCTTACAAAATTAAACTCACAACTTTGACGAAATAGGTAGTTTTTATGATCCATAGTCTATATAAATAAAAATGAATATTGGTAAGCGCATAACTCAAGAATGGCTGGACCAATTCGGCTAAATTTTTTTTTGTATGTTCTTAAAGGTCCACGGAAGGTTTTAATAATGAGAAAAAATGAAAAATTAACGGAAAATAAAATAAAATTTATATGGCAACGCTGGCTAATAACTATTTATATCTATTTAAAACGTACCTAGCGACGAACCCGAGCGAAGCGAGGATGAGCCGCCAGTGATACATAATATTACGTAGGTACATCATAAAATATGACGAGTTTATAACTATCAAAATAATACTATTCAAAAGTGCTTGTTATAAGTCTAATTGAATAAATTTTATTTCATATCATTTCAATATAATAAATAGCTTTAAAAATTAAATAAAAAACACGCTTTTGACTGTAATGTAATGTGACTTTAATCAATTAAATGAGCCCGAATGCGAAGTCTTTACTTTAGTAGCCATTGAAGAGTTACTTTATCCACTTTTATGGCTCTAACATCGGATCAGCTCAGTAGTTATAACAGTATTAAATTATTATACATATTGTTGTTTATACATAATGTTACAAGTTGACAGAACAATTATTATAAACTAGCGGCTCACCGTCGCTTCGCTCAGGTTCGCCTCTATAAAAGCACAAACAGATCTATCCCACGGGAACCGTTCATTTTTCCGGGATAAAAAGTAACCTATTTGTTAGATATATGAACTATATTATTGTAAAGTTTCATTAAAATCCAATCAGTAGTTTTTGTGTACTAAGCTGTATAAGTTACTATAGTTTTTTGACTATCCCACGGGAACTCTTTAATTTTCCGGGATGAAAAGTATCAAAAATGTTGACCGGGGATATAAGGTACCAGCATCCAAAATGTCATTTAAATCGGTCCAACAGTTTCGGAGATTAGCCCATACAAACAGACAAACAGACAGAAACAAAATAAAAAAAAAATTTTGGATTTGTTGTACTTCTCTCCTTACATCCCCCTGACTCGGTTTTGAGCATTTTTTTTCTATGTACAGACATTCTGTCTACAGTTTTATTATATGTATAGATGAGACACACCGGTCATGTCCATGCTAGTCATAACTCTGATGAAGATGGGCCTGGCGTAGGGCGGCAGGTGGCGCGACAAGTCCTTCGCAAGCTTGTCCAGGTCTAGCGTGCCGTTGGATCTAAGATGTTGCCCGGGGATATAAGGTACCACCATGCAAAATTTCATTTAAATCGGTTCAATAGATTCGGAGATTAGCCCGTACAAACAGACAAACAGATAAACAAACAGACAGAGAAACAAAAAAATTGAAAAAAGACTGGAGTTGTTCTATTTGTCTTTTTACATCCCCCTGACTCGGTTTTTAGCATTTTTTTTTCTATGTACAGACATTCGACCTATACGGTTTTATTATAGTATAGATAGATTAAAATCGACTTCTAAGATTTGTTTACGCACGAGTAGTTCCTACTGATGCTAATATACGCAACTTAATAAAAAAAACCTAATTGATAAAATTTATTACCACATAAGCAATTTTTAATTTGTATATCAAACCATAATTAGCTATGCGTTATTTATGTACAAAGATAATAGTTTGTAATTTGAATTTTAAACGTTTTATTAACATAGTACATTTAATTACATTTGTATATGATGACTCAAGCAATAAAATTTGTGTTCAATACATAAAAAGAAATTGTCTTACCGATGTTAGCATTTCCCTCGGTTGCTCCATAAAATTCAGTGACGTGTTGAATATTAAAACGTTTTACGAATTCTACCCAAATCTGAAAAACAAACATTAAATATCTAAATTTAAACTTTTATTATGGGTCACTTCGTACGTACGTACGTACGTAACAGAAAAAGTAAAGAAAGATATATCTATATATAAAATTTCTGATAGTAGAAAGTTGCCTTCCTTTTAATTTAATTAATAAAATATATAAACAAATATATACGCCTGTTTACATATTTCATTTACTTGCCATTAGGTACATAAGATTTTCGGTATTATCCGTATTAGTCTATATCACAAGTAGAAAATAGTAAATATTAGAGAAAAAGCTCCTAAAAATATATGTAATAGCTTATTGGATCCGGAATAACGTCTAGGAAAATGTGTTTTAAACATTTTTCAGCATATAAAAAATTGCGCAAGTATTAAACAAATAAAGATGAAAAGAGAAGGAATGCTGAAAGTGTTACTAAAAGTCGTTATTTAAATAAATATATAAAACGTGTATACGAGCGGAAACCTGTGACGAGTACCTATACTATAGTCGGATAGAAACATTACCTACGCAGCTCACACCGAGAACCAACAAAGTGTAATAAAACCACCAGTGTATAGTTTAATTAAATAAATAGTACTTGAAAAGTATAATAATTCACATAACAATTGCACCACACTATATGACTGCTTTTTGCACAACAATTAATCGAGTTATTTTTTTTATCTTATAACAAACAAAATTGTGAACTTTTTTGCAAAAGTTAGATTCTACAAAGAAGTATTAAATAAGATACTTTGTCTTCGCAGAGATTTTTGAAGTCATTGAGAATATTTTGATTAGCTCTTTCCACCATACGATAAAAAAAAACAAAAATAATATGTATATGATTCAGAATTTTTTTTGTTAAGTAAATATATATAGTGTTAAAATGTGTAGTTAATGTGTTAATGTGTATTAGTATATACAGTTAAAATGTGAATAGTTAAAATATATCAAATATAAGATCAAAAAATTAATTTGATATCCAAAAATAACAACTGTTTGTGTATGTTTTAAGTTTTCGCTTCTGTCGGCAGTCCTCATGACTGCTTTTATTACTTTAGTAAGACGTTTACTAATCTCACTATATTAAATAATTTGTATAACAATTAACATGTTTTTTTATTATCCTATTATACCATAATCGATTCGACTCAGTTATCGATATTGATAAATGAGTATCGTTACTAGTGAATTGTCACTAATATTGTTAACTTTGACGTGTCGTGTATATCAAAGATCCAATGAAAAATAGCCGACCAAAAAAACGTGGTGGCGTTTTGGCGATTATGTCTTCGTACTAAAAGTAATGAAAGCGGAGTCTTTTGCTTGTAATGTCTGTGACAATACTAATACTATACATCAACGTAAAAATCTATACTAATATTGTAAAGAGGTAAATTTTATGAGTTTGTAAGTTGTGAGTTTGTGACGTTGTAGGGGGTAATCTCTGGATCTACTGAACCGATTTAGATGAAATTTGGTAAGAAGATAGTTTGAGACCCTGGGAAGGACATAGGATACTTTTATGCCGCTAATTATCCCTTACGGGGGTGAAAATGGAGACGAAAGTTTGTATGGGGAAGCAAGCTAGGGACGAACCCGAGCGAAGCGAGGGTGAGTCGCTAGTCTAAAATATTTATAAGTACGTCGAAGTGTATGTAATTACAAATTAATCTTAATAATTGTGAAACCGGATACAAGAATGTGCAAGTTGTGTTTGCGTTTAAACGGTTATGCATAATTGTACTCTATTGTTGATTTAATTTAAATACATTTTTGTATAACATGTAAAAATCACTAGCTATCCTTATTAAATAAATAAAATACTTTACCTACAAATAAAGCTTAATAGGAATTTCTATACTTTGCAAAGACAAAATTAGAATTTTTAGCGAGTCATGCCTTCAAGGTGTCTAGAGACTAGAAGAATATTTATAGCTATCATTGTTTTACAAAAAACATTGTTTTCGTAAACATCATTTCATTATTATTACTAATACGTCAAACTTGCTTATCAATTCATTTAAATTTTTCATGACGACATTATACAATATGTTGTGTTCAAAAAAGTCGTTATGAGGTCAGTTTTAGATCAATTTCTGTTATAGTGTCTATTTATTGAATTATAATATAGCTAAATACGTTTAAGTAATTTTTGTCTGTTAAATTGCACACCATTCGAGATTGCCTGGATAGATTAATGCCCGATTTCACCAACGTCCCATAAGCTACCACCTACGTATGGGACCCCTAGCTTAAAAGTTCCCCTAACTAGCCCCTAAATTAAATTTCGTTTTACCATCGTCAGAGCCAGTAATTCTAGTACGTATATTTATAGTAGTACCTATATAAAATTTATATACCTATTATATTTTTTATTCAACTGTGTTATTCTGATAAACAATGTATTTGTTTTAAAAACCTTTTCATATCTGTTCAGTTGAACAATTCACTATATTTATAAAGCAGAGTAAAATAAATTGAAAGTTACTCGTTGAATAAGTGATCGACCTTTTTAAAGATATAAGTACATCTGTAATCACAGAAAGATATACTACACACGCGGCGTGTGTAGTATAGGCGCTTTCACTTTTCGCGCTCATCTCAACGACTGATCGTATGGAATACTGCCAAAGACTTTTGTAGAGAATTGAACGCTTTAAAACTTTTATATAACTTCAAATGCGGTTTTGAGTAAAGCAAACAGGATATTTACAATAACTTGATTATTATAAACTTTGACCTTCAGACCCATAACGTGTACCTCGAGATTTTATGAGACTTTTAAGCTAAACAATAGCAAATATATTTTTTTTATTTCTCATTGATATAAATATGAGCAGGTATGAATAATCATTGGTATGCAAGAAATGTATTTAAATATAAAAGATTTCTACATTCTGCTCTTATAACCTTTATGTATATGTACATTAACGTCCAGACCAATTCGCTGGACCCAAAGAATTTAATTATAACAGGGTAATCAATCAATAATAACATAAGGACATCGATTAGCACTAAGTTTCTCTATTACTCTCCTTATTGTGTAAAAAAGGCAAAATGAAGTACAAAAATAATATTTTTCCAATCAACTTTACTTGTAACATAATAAGTATTGAACTTGAATACAATCAACGAATTACGTCAAAGCAAATTTATTTCTTTGGTTATATTGATGTTAAATATTTTTTTTGACTAAAAATATCGGAGTTTTTTCCAAGTATGTCTCTATTGTGATATATAATAAAATATATTGCACGTTATTTGCACTTACATAGTAAATAATTATTTAAGTATTCACTTAATTAATTCATTATTGAAATTTATTGACCACATTAATACATCGAACTTTTGCGAACGATTGAATGTACTTACTTATATGAAAAAAATAAATTGTATCAAGTACATGTTTCAGTTTACTTGAAGAATTATTTTATAACTATATTATTTTAATGTTATACTTCCATCAGTTCTATCCACAACTATATGGATTGAACAAACAGATTTTAATGAAAATATAAAAGGTCTAGTGAACATTGCAATGACATGCAAAAATTATAGCGTGTAAATCGATTTAAATTAATATTAATTAAAACAGATTACGTAAAAAAAATTTAAATACAAAAAAAACGTGAAGTTATAAAAATCACAAGTAAGGTATGTGGTATATTAATGTACCTACCTCATATCAATAACTTTGTTGATTTATAGTTTAGCACCTATAAAAGTACTAAAAAAAACTGTACTATTTAATAAAAATTACATTGTAAGTTTATGTAAAAGATAAAAGTATCAATTTCATTACCTGCGGTCGTAATCCGTTGCCGTATATGACCCTGACACTATGCTCCTTGTCGGAGGGGGACGGCGGCGTCGCCAGCACGTAACGACACATCTCGCCTATGTAGTGCGCTGCCTGAGGTGACAATAATAATAAAATAAACACTAGAATGTTCTTTGGGTATACTTATTATTTAACGAAAAAAATCGGAATTTATTATTATTTTGTAAGCGGATACTAAACTTTGACATCGAGTACATTGACTATGCTAATCTATTAATATTATAAAGAGGTAAAGTTTGTGAATTTGTGACGTTGTAGGGGGTAATCTCTGGATCTACTAAAGCGATTTAGATGAAATTTGGTAAAAAGATAGTTTGAGACCTTGGAAAGGACATAGGATACTCTTTATCCCGGAAATCATCCCTTAAGAGGGTCAAAATGGGGATGAAACTTTGTATGGGGTATCAAGCTAGGGGCGAACCCGAGCGAAGCGTTAGTTGATATTTTTGTCAGTTGTTATTACTTGATATTTTTATAGTGTCTTTGCCCGCGACTAAAATCTCGTAGTGGGTATGTCGATAAAAAATAGAATATGGAGTAATTCAGGATACAAGCTAAATCGATTCCTCTTTTTACCTCCATCTGTTGAGAAAATAAAGCGTGAAGTAAAAAACACGGAAACTCATAATTTAACAAAGACTTTTTTTGATCACAATCTACACTAATATTATAAAGACGTAAAGTTTGTAAATTTTTATATAGGGGGTAAATTCTTGATCGGATTCCGAAAATTCTTTCACTAATAAGGAGTTATATTCCCGCCGAGTACTGTAGGTCATTTTTCAGGTTATGTTACTAGTCTTTATATATATAATTCTTCTGTGAGTGTGTATGTCACTGAACTTCTCTCAAACGACTGGACCGATTTTGATGAAATTTTTTGTGTGTGTTCAAGGGGATCTGGGAATGGTTTAGATTCACAATTTGAATAATAATTTTCATCAAAAAAATTATTAAAAAAAGTTTGAAATTTTCAAATTAAAGACGTGTAGACAGGACAACGTCTGTCGGGTCCGCTAGTACATTATAAAATATGAAGGATAATAATAGATACAATGACATTATGAAAATACAAAAAATCTACCTGTCGAAATGAAAATCAAATTGAATCGAAACACACTAATTTAGCTTGTTTATTCAACGTTATACGAGTGTGTCCATGTGTATTATAAATAAAGATTAAAAAAAAACTTAACATACACATATAGTATAAGTTTGCTAAGTAATATAAGGCAATAAAGTCACATCATTAATATTGAAATAAATTCAATAAATAGTTTTAAAATAACGACACCTATAAAAACATCATTTAAAACAATGAGCAGCATAAATACCTCGTGTTTAAATATTTTTTTCCGGAACAAAAAAGTAACCTTTGCGCTATTCCAGACTATAATCTATTTCTATGCCAAATTTCATCCAGATCTGTTTAGCCGTTTCGGCGTGATTGACTAACAAACATACATCCATCCAAACTTTCACATTTATAATATTTATGGGATATACGTATCCATGAGCAATGAGCATCTTATTGATATTATGAAGCGCAAAATAAGAGAGCATAAAGTCTAAAAACATCTTAAAAGAAGGGTTGGTGCAGAAATGGAAAGCCATGGCCCAAAGAATTATTGCTATAATTAAATTCAAAATATTAATTTTATTTAATAACTAGCGACTCACCCTAGCTGCGTTCGGGTTCGTCCCTACGATACGTTTTATTGATTTAGTCATCTATAGTTAGATTTCTCATATATGATGCGGGTAAAAATTTACCCGCAATAAAAAGTGTCCTATATGTTGAGCGAAGCAAGGGTGAGAGTAGTATGCAATAAAATGGTGCCTAATACTTTTGGCCATTGCATTTGGTTGTTGTGCATGTTCCTAACACTTTTTGTGAGTACAACAAAGAGTTTTTATTATTATTTTATTATTATTATCATACTGATACAGACTTTTTTCTTTATATCTGAGTTGCGGCTATGAAGTATCACTACGACCATGTCTGATGTATTGTGATCACCGCATATTAGGCTATAGTAACCCAATAAACCCTACCGCTGTGAAAAACTTTAGGATTTGTTTAGGGGTACACTCCTTAATTTCCTGTGGACCTAGAAGCTATTTCCCAAGATGAATATTGCGCTTGTGCACATGGGGTTCACCGTCCAAACTCCCCCAGAAGATAGAATGGCGTTTCATCTACCTCCATACATTCTCTGCAGGTTTGTGTGTCACTCAGCAATAGGTTGAACATGTGCTTGCTTTGGCAGCATTGTTCTGTGAGAATCTTACTAGTAGTCGTAAGGTTTATCTATTTATCGCTATGGTTAGATTATTATACCTTTTGTCGTAGACTTTGATAAATGTCTTGAAGCGAGTCATTCCTGATGACTGAATCTAGTGCTAGCAGTGGAGCTTGACTGTCTGAATTAATACAGATTGATTGGTGTAGCGCTTAAGCAGATTAGCTTCAGCACATTTAAATGGCACAGTAAAATGGCACAGTAAAATGGTATACACTTCTGCTTGGACTACAGAGGCGTACTGTCCGAGGTTTTGCTTTTTACACTAACACATCTGTGTACCATATGACATACATCCGTTCTTGTAGGTTAGCTGGCCTTTGGCCCAGTCCTCGCTTGGCGGGAAATTTACAAAAATCATCATATGAATTATGTATGCGCAAGTGTTTGAAACTTAACATAATTAAGATACAAATAATTATTACTTGTACATTCGTTTTTATTAACCGTAAGAATAATAACATGATAACAGCCATTAAAATTTTTGAAGGTATAAATTCGAAATTAATATTTAGGCCATTTATGAACTGATGTTTTGAAATATTTCTCTAAGTATGCTCACAATAACTACTTTTATCTATTTAAAACGTACAGTATTTATTCATATAACAGTCTACGTGCGTAATTCCAACTATTCGCCTTGCCCATTATCAAAAGCCCTTTGACAATGAATTGATTTATATTAACATAATATATACCAACTCGTATGTATGTATGTGAATTGTATAACAAAACTACGTCTTTATCAAATTCAAGTAAACATATTCTTAGTCTGATAACTATTATAATTACGAAAGTTTGTATGTATGTTTGTTACTTCTTGCTGAAACGGCTGGACTTATTAGGATAAAACTTATAGTATACAGACAGACTATAATCTGGAGCACCCGAGCAATGCGAGGGTTAATCACTAGTGAAAAAGGCACCATAAATTTATACGAAATTACCTATTTAGAATCTATTATAACTTAGTTAAACATACTATAATACATACCGTTGCATTATATTTCACGCAATCGGGGAAATATTGTGAGGCTGAGAACTTAGGCTTCAGTACCACTGTGCATCCAAATAATAAAGCTTGTCCCACACTGACGACTCCACCAGCCGTGTGGTACAAAGGCAAAGGAGAGTAGACAATATCGGAAGAATTTAAACTCAAATTGTGGAGACCACATGCCATAAATACAAATCTGTAAAAAAGACCTCATATATAAAGAGTTGTCAACGCAAAAGTGATATGAACCTTACGAAAAAAGCATTTAATTAAAGTATTATTAAGAGGCTGCATGGATTTTAGATAATAATCTGAGTCTCATCAAATTAAGCGACTAGAGTAAAAAAGTATATAAGTTATGTTACTATCCCTCCACGACCGCGGACACGCCGGCGTGTCAGTTAACAATAGATTTCTTAGATTTTTAATTAATTTCTTAGAAATTTACCTGGAGGTGTGCAATAGCATTGCACGGAGTGTATTTTAGATTACCATAAAATACTCATACCAATTAAAAGGAAAAATAGGAAAAATAATAAAAAAAAATATCATCCATCATTACTAAACTCGCGTATATTGTAAATAAATTGTTAAAAATTTACAGAATAAAAGGAATCTGCTACAAATTAACAGCATTACTATTTTATATATCTAGTCCATCATTTCTAAGCAGCACTTGAGAGAAAGCAAAAACAGCACTAGTGAAAGTGAAGGAAAAACAGCAGAGCTATATTAAAGTATGGAGCATTATAATATAAAGATAAGCAAAAGTATAAGTAAAGAAGTTTCTCGTTTTAAAGAATTTGAAATAATTATTAAAGTATACGAAACAGCCCCATTTACCAATTTTAAGAGTAAAAGTAAAGTTCAATAGTTAGATTTTCATCTATACATATAAGAAATTAGTCACAAAACGAAATCTGTACATGAAATATTTTTTTAAAGCAATAATTGTTACGTAATGTTTACAGAATATAGACCCCAATGTCTGTTTGTTTGTTTATATTGTCTACAGAAAAGCAAAAAGTACTGAACAGATTTTACCAAAAATTTTGTGTAGTGATAACTTATTACTCGGGTCAACATTTAGGATACCTTTTACTATGGGAAAAATTTGGAAATTATCTTTCATTGCCACGGGAAAACAGAATAACTAGTTCTGTCGAGTTTTCCTTGGAAATTTACATGGCTTACGATGGCTAAACCTTTAGAGATACATCAAGATAATGTACTAGAGAATTGTAGGTCTTAAGAACGCCTACGAACAGGAAAGTACCGCAATATAGCTATATCTGCAAAAATCTGACAAATGTAGATGAACCTTACCTTGAATTTGATATCACAGCTGCTTTAGGAAGTCCGGTTGTTCCCGAAGTGTAAATATATAGAAGTTCTCCATTAAACCCATTGGCGTCAGCCAAAGTCCAGGGCGCTGGAGGAGTGGTCTCGAGTAACGCAGTAAAGTCACAAATTCCATCCCCACTCGCAAGTTTTTCCGATGTACTCGCATTCAGAGGTCTATGAGTAAACTTGAATAGCTTTAATTTGGGGTCTAACTGACTTGATATTTCTTGAATTGCTGCAATTTAATAATTTAATTTAACACTATAATCTTTTAAAATACCGGTTTTATATCAATATTAATATAATAATGATTGAAATTGAAAATTTTAGAAATTTTACGTAAATCTACAAAATATTATAATATTTGCTTTAATGAACTACGACCGTATACTTATTCATCCTAACGGAGCTTAGTTACATAATGCTATATCACTAACTTCTTATCTTCCTTCTATTAAATCAATTGCGTTATAAGCATTATCTAGCCCGTGCATTACCTCAACTAGATCAAGACAAACGTCTGGATGATCTATAATAATGCAAATCCCATTTCGTGCGGGAATCGAACCAACAAACTCCACAAAGAAGGCAGTACTATTCTATGACATTGCAAACCGCGTCGCAACGGTCATTATTATTTACTCTTGTTTTTTACACTATCCATCTTCTTCTTTACACTACACATCTTGATTTTATAGTCTCATTACCTATATATAATTCTTCTGTTATTATAGAAGATTTCAACTTTATTTTTTATACAATCCAGTGTAAAAAATAAGAGTAAAATTTTTCAACATTATAATTTAGGTTACGAGAATAACCACGACACAAGCGACATGGAAGTACGTAAACTAAATAAGTTCTACCTGATTGGTATTCATCGGAAAATATAAGAACGTCACATTTGGCAACGCTAATCGAATGTATTAGCGCGTTGCCACGAAGGTTTGTGTTGATGAGTGGTGAAATAGCGCCAAGCCGTGCGTTGCCGAGCCATATTGCTGGCATTTCGGGGCAGTTGTTCATGAGCATACCAACTATATTGCCTTTCTTGATCCCTTGATTTTTCAACACAGCAGTGACGCGTAAACTGAACGTTTCCACCTTTAAGATTACGAGGTTGCATTTATTTTCAAGGTTTTTTTTTCATCAAAATAATAGTACTAAGAGTAAATCATAATTATTTCTATGAAACAAAAGTTATTAAAGGAAATGCTAATAATAATCTTACTACTATATTATGTAAATGAGAAAGTTTGGATGTATGGATAGATGTTTGTTACTCAATCACGCTAGAACCGCTGAATGGATCTGAATGAAATTTGGCACAGTGATAGATGATATAAAAAATGGACGATTCCCGTAGAATAGATTTGATTTCGTTTTTCACTAGAGACAATCCCGAGCGAAGTGAGGGTGAGCCACCACCACTGTTTAAGCCGCAAATTCCTACATTAGCTTACTTAATTATTTTTTTTAAATGTAAGTATTAAAGTAGTATCTTATTTATGAAAATACATACCTATTGAAATAATATATCAAATACGTATATAAATCCTCTATGTAAAAATCCCATTTCCATTCCACCAGAAATCCGAGTTATTTCTAGGTTCTGATCAAAATTTATTATATCTATGAATTATGACCGGTATTGTGATTAAAACTCTTTTTCCTGCATTAAAGCAGGCCTAACTTAACGTAGTCGAGTAAACAACTCAAAAAAACGTGTTAATTCTTGCTACTACGAATTAAAATACGTGCGATACCTCGTTGGATTTCTCATGGTGGCTATTTTCAACATTAAATAAAAAGTATTAATAATAGAGATAAAATTCCGGGAGTCGACATATGTTTTCAACCGACTTCAAAAAGGAGGAGGTTCTCAATTTGGTTGTTTTAGTGTTTTTGTGTCTGTCTTGTCTGTCTGGGAACGCATCACGAGAAAACTACTGGACAAATTTTGATGATTTTTTTATAAATTAGTAGCTGTAAATCATCAGAAAACTTTACGCAACCAGGCTTATTTAATTAGGTCTAAAATCACTACCATTACCCGTGGCTCCGCCCGCGTTCAGATGACCGAAAACAAAATTCTTAGGTTTTACATATTAGTATACTCTTACAATGCAGTTTTTGTATTTTTTCTCAGAAATGAGATATTTTCTCGCGGTAAACTGTATGTTACCGTTACGGTACCTATATGTTGACCCGGATATCCAGCTATCATCATACCAAATTTCATCAAAATCTGTCCAATGGTTTTCTCGTGATGCGGTAACAGACAGACAGACACACAAAAATTCTAAAAACTATAGATTCGGACTCTATATCGATAATAATGTCTATTTCAATAAGATTTTCCAAAAAATATTTAATGTACAGATTCGACTTGGTTACAATTTGATTATATGTATAGATATATTATGGAAGATTAAATAATTGACGACTATTGAATATATACGAAATCTATGCAAGGAGACTGTCATATGACTCGCTCAATTCGCGCGTCAGCGTTATCCGGCACTAATTGGTAACTGTAGGTATTGTATGCTATAACTCGCGTCATCTAAAAAGAACGCCGGAAGATAGTGGAGAGGGTATGTTTGCGCATGGGTATACTCGCGCACAAAAGTACTAAGCCTATTATTTTATTTTTATGAAAAATTTCGCTCGCGGCTTCATATATTAGTTATTGGTAGGGACATTGAAAAATATATTAGATAGAATATCATTAAATAGAATTCTATTAATTATTAAAATATATTTAATTCAGTGCAGAATGTTTAATCTACTTACAAAAAATTAAATTAATACGTTTAATACATTTTTTCTTATTATTAACTGCATTATTATTAGACTCTTTGTAAAACAATATACATCAAAAACAATTTTTCTCTTTTCTATATATAAAACCATTTCGTAATTAAAAACTTTTGTGTGCGCGATGGTATTTTGAAATGACGAACCAATAGCGCGCCGGCAAGCACGCGGCGCGTGCCCCGCCGCCCTGCGCCCCGCTTCTTACCACCAATTTGACCGATAAATCGCTTCTGCGCAGTTTGACAGCCAGCGTTCTTTTTAGATGACGCGAGTTATAGATATGTATGTATAGAGTATGTCGAATCTGTACATTAAATATTTTTTGGAAAATATTATTAAAATAGATTAATAATGAATTATCTATACAAAGACCGAACCTGTCTTGTCTGTCTGGGAATGCATCACGAGAAAACCACTGCACCGATTTTGATAAATTTTGCTATTATTTATTTTTATTTATTTACTAGCGACTCACCCTCGCTCCGCTCGGGTTCGTCCCTAATTACGTTTTGACGTTTAATATAGATTTCTCAGACATGAAATATTTTCCCGCAGTAAAAAGTATCCTATATGTTGACCCGGATAACCAGCTAGCATCATACCAAATTTCATCAAAATACCTCCAGTGGGTTTTCCGTGATGCGGTAACAGACAGACAAACAGACAAATAATCTAAAAACTATAGATTCGGCCTCTGTATCAATAATAATGTCTATTTAAATAAGATTTTCCAAAAAATATTTAATGTACAGATTTGGTTTAGTTAGAATTTTAATATATGTATAGATTATGTATTTTTTCCTAAAATATGTGTAAGCACAATAGTAACTAATAACTATATATAAATAAATAAATGAATATTCTTGATACAATAAGAACATCAAATTTAATAAAAAAAAATGAATATAAAATACTATAATAAACTTTACTACTTCCTTGTAAATATAAATTTAAATGCACTTAATAAAATATTTGCCTATTTACTCATACAATCTATCTATGACTTTTTAGACATTGAAGGATTCAAAATTTCCATGGGATTTTATTAGGAAATGTACATAGTGGATCTAATATTAAATATTCTATATATTGAGTATATAATACCCTTAGTGTTCACATATGAATGTCATTAATTATATAAGTAGCACTTTGGGAATATGTATGATAAATTTTGTTTTTGGTTAAGTACATGTTAAATGTTTTTACAAAATAAAAAAAATGTATGTATTAACATCCCAATGGTGGGCACGGACCTTGCTTCAAGGTGAAAAGGGGCCAAACCATAGCCAAAAAAAATATTTATTATTATAAAATTATTTCATGTATATTTCAAGCTCAAGTCTAACTAAGCATACATAATTACTAACAAAAAAAACAACTTTTTTTCATAAACAGGGACCAAATGGTACAAAAACAATCATTTTTTAAATATCACATAGGTATTGTAATAGTTTTAATAGAAAAACTGCTAGGAGAATAAAAAAAAGATTCTTCAGATTTTTTCTTTTACAAAATAAAGTTAAATAGAATGAAAAATGAGTAAGATGAAATACTACATTTATATTATGTGTGGTTATTTGTTAAAATATTATAGATTTTAAAAAGCTGTGTGTAATGTAATTATATAAGTTACATATACAGAAAAGCATCACAAATTACACCTTTTATTACACATTTTGTTTGACAACCCACTGTAGATAACATAATGATAAGAAGAAAAACAAGAATAAATAATAGTATATTAGATAAATTCTTACCATAGCAAAAGTCCAAACTTGATTTTGAAATAAGAAACATGTTTTATTCGGATGTTTCTGTACTGTTTCATGGAATATATCTGGTAGAGTATAGTTTTTGCTAGAAAATTTTTTTGCTGTCCACAAAATCTTAATATAACACCATAACGCCCTTAAATAGAAATAGTAATATATATAAATAATAAATCTTTAAATTGCTTGTACAAATAAAAGAAACTGTAAAAAAAATAGAAATATTAAATTTTTAAAAGTAATTGACAGAATGTGTAGTGTAAAGTTGTATACTTTAGAAGCAAAATAATATTATGTATTAGATATTTAAAATAATAAATTCTATTTATGTAGTAACAAAGTTTTATAATTCATAAGATACGCAATAGTCATGCAATATGATGAAGGCAAAAAGCTATAAGTGTGGTGTTTTAAGGAAAATTTTCAAGTAAAAAAAATCTAAATACTTATGGGGTCAACTATACCTGAGGTCTCGTGGCGCTGTCGTTATAGCTACATAGCACCATCTTGATTTAAATATCACAACATATAGAAAACTAAGAGTTACACCCACTAGAACAGTTTCCAGAAGACCGACGTAAAGCCACACGGCAAATATCGCCGCTATAATTCCAATCACCGCAATCATTGCAACTGATTTGCGCCACAAAACGCGGCTGACTGAGAAACGAAATCGTCGACGGTTAAACGTGATTACCACAAGCAAGTTTACTGGTACCTATCTTATGTACTTTGAAATATTAACATTTATGACTCTTTTTTATTATAATGTAATTCAGAGCGATTTTAAATACTTCAAAAATACTTAATTTCATAGGTCAACAAAAATATATCAGTTTTTGTTATTTTGAAATATTGCGTATTAAATACAAAAACTAATTACGAGTTAAAATACTGCAAAATAAATTTAGTAATTAACTTCCTTATTAATAATAAGATATTTATTAAGTATATAAATTAAATAAACTCAAAATAATATTTTTAAAATAAAATGATCAATATTTGCTAACGACCGCCGACGTCGAAATGCTGAACGTCACTGTCAATTGTCAAATATTAAATGTCAAGTAAGAATTTAGAGTTGTCCATTGATCAACCAGATGTGACTCTTTATTGTCGATTCTATATTAGCATTATATCGATTTAAAAATATTTTTAGTTTCTACTAGGAATATGAAGATATTTCAGATAATCTTTATGTTTTATGAGATTTATGATAACGCCAATATTATTTTTTTAAATAAATATATTTTATATCTTATAAACTTCAATAAAATATTAACTACAATATATTTTTTAAATAAATGGCGATTTTATCAGTCACAATTAGTTCTACAATTTACCATCAATCTCTTAACTGCTACTATTTATACATATAAGCGGATATTAATTACATTTACGAAAAGAAGAAACAGAAATAAAATAGCCTTAATTACCAAAATATATTTATTTAAATGGGCCTTATAATATAACAATACAAGCTTATCTATATTTAATAGTCGCATTTATTACATATTTAATTTGTAAATTCTAATATTTTACAACATTTAAAATACCTGCCCCGTAATAAATCAGTCTATATTTAATATTGCATGTGTGCAAAAATTCATAAGTCACATTAAATATAATAAATCACAATTTTTTTCTACTTTTTTATGTCAAGGCACTTCATACAAATTATATCTAAAAATGATAAAAATCACAGTCTTATTTGTCCCGATATTATATTCTCATACTCTGTAGGTCCTAAATTAACATAACTATTTGATTTTGGATCAAGATAATACAATTTATCTTTTATAACATTAGGATTGTATCCTTCTTTCTGTAGGTCAACTTTCCGAAGTTTAAAGGTCGCTGTAACAAATAAAAAAGTATATAATATATATACTAATAGGTTAACTTTTTACTTAGTTCCTATACAAAAAAAGAAACGATATTACTGAAACTTTAAAAATTTTAAAAACTCGACTGCGTAAAAAACGAACTAAAAGATGAGAACAAGTTGACGACGGAATATAGTTTTATGCAGTCGGAGACAAACATGTTCTATACTACTGCGAGCTACATGTAAACATGATGTCTCCGACTACATAATACTATGTTCCTTCGTCAATATGTTCTCATCTTTTTAGTTCGTTTTAACACAGTCGGAATTTATTAACTTTTTTAATTATTTATTTATTTTCAACTTTTTAGTTTTAACTACTTTTTACTTTTAACAATTTTTTATCTTAAAGTATCTCTAAACAAGTCGTACAATAATAATTCATAATGATAGTTTTCGTATCGCTTTAGGTCTCCATCTGGGTACACCGCTGTGCACCGAACACATATACCCGTGTGGAAAAGAGGTTAACTGTTACGGACTCCATGGACTCTCTTCATCTTGCACAAGATTTTCAGGTAGACTTTTCCGTCATGATTCCCTAAGCGATACCATCAAAAGGGCTCTTGCCACCATTGACATTCCTGCTCTTATTGAGCCATCCAAGTCAAGATGATGATAAGAGACCTGATGGCCAGCCGCTAGTTCCTTGGGAAAGGAGAAGGGCCCTATTGAGTCCCATGTCTGGGCGACGGCGTCTAAAGCAGCCGAGCCACGGCGGAGATGACTGAACTACATAAGTTACGTAAATACGCCTCCATTAGTTAAAATTATGTTTTTGTCCATTGGCCCATGGAATCAAAGTGCTAAGCACTTCTTAATAGATATAACACCTCGATCATCGACAAAAGAATCGGCATTGCTATTCAAAGGGGAAATGCGGCTAGTACAGTAATAACTAAGTGTACATTTGTAAGCACGCTACGAGGTTTGTGTTACAATTTTCCAGATAGTTGATACACTACACAAATATAACTTATTTCGTGTTCATCACACAAATGAATTCCCCCAGCGGGACTCGAACCCGCGACCGCTGGCACAGCAAGTAGAGTCACTACAAAATGCCCCAAACGTGTTGTCCGCGTAATAACCTATAGTAGGCCAAATATATCGATTATAATCCTTTATTTCTACTGTGGAATGGATTTTTTACTTCTAATCTTAAATTAAAAATTAATTCAATTACTTAGCAAAGATTTTTATTTTATAGATATTTATATTCTATTGAATTACTTACCAGTCATATCCATACTCGACATAACCCTAATAAAGATAGGCCTGGCGTACTTAGGAAGATCTTTGGCGATATCTTTAGCTAACTTATCTAAGTCTAAGCTTCCGTTGGTATCAACAATACCACACATGCCCGCCCTTCCTTCCGTATTAGGAACCTATAAAGAAAGAGAAAGAATTTTTTTTTTGACTTTACATCGTTAGCTTATGCCGATAATTTTAACACAAGTGTAGTATTTATTTTCATTTACATAAATGGAAATATTATAATTTTTTTTTCGTAAGAAACAAATATTTGTGTTCATTACACAAATGAATGCCCCCAGCGGGATTCGAACCCGCGACCGCTGCTACAGCAAGTAGGGTCACTACAAACTGAGCCAAACGTGTCGTCAAAATAATGATTTAATAATATCGATAGTAAATAATCGATATATGTTTATGTCGATATAAATTAGTAAATTTAAATCAGTGAGATGTATGAAATAGTATGAAACGGGTTATAAGAATAAAAATATGATTTACATAATAAAAATGTAAGTATGGAGACTAGGAGGAGCATTATTGTGATTTCTCATAAAAAAAAATTTATTATATTTCTTGTAATTTTGGTTTCATATCTATTACATTTTTGAAATATATTTTCTGGATATGATCAATTTAAAAATATGATGACTTTCTTAATCAGTAGTATTAGATCATACTTACTTCTACACCGTACACAACAGCATCGCGTTGGTTAGCTACTCTAGAAATAGCTGCTTCTACTTCAGTCGTGCTGACGTTCTCACCGCGCCAGCGGAACGTGTCGCCGGTGCGGTCGCGGAAGTACAGGTAGCCGAGCTCGTCCGCTACCAAGACGTCTCCTAGAAACCGATACTTTATTGTTAGTTAAACCATTATACTTATTATACAACTAGCGGCTCACCCTCGCTTCGCTCGGATTCGCCTCAAGAAAAACACAAACAGTCCTATCCCACGGGAACCGTTCATTTAAAAGTTCATTAAAAAGTAAGCTGGTGTTTGACCGGCAATATCCTTATAATGCCGGTCAAACAACAGTTTACTTTTTGTTTATTTTTTTTCATTAATTGATAACTTTATCAGCATGCCAAATTTTACTAAAATAGGCCAAACAAACCTAGTTGGCGTGTTTATAAAACGTAGTGTGCATTAGCCCTTATTATATATAAATTAAATCTTACCTGATATAAAAGCTGAATCTCCATGACTAAGTACATCTCTAACAATTTTCTTTTCAGAAGCTTCTTTATCCACATACCCGAGGAAAGCACGTGAAGGGTTGTTCGGTTTTATTTTACCAATAAATACTCCTGGTTCGAATGGTTGTGCGAGCTGGAAAAAATAATTTAGTAAGTATATTTTATAGGTATTTTCGATATTAAAATCAAAACTTAAAAAATATTTGAATTAATGATTCACTGATTCTTTATTTAAGTTATTATGCTTTTACCTGCATTTAAAAATATACCTATATGAATGACATGATACCTGACAAAGTCCTCGTGAATCTCTAATAGGTTCTCCAGTGTCTTCATCAACTTTTATAATGGCGATGGGATATACAGCCGGTATGATTCTTGAAATGAATCCGATTGCTCCAGGTTTATTGTCGATGTTCACTGCAATAAAAAATAATAATAGATCAATCAATAACATGTCTAGATTAGAATAAATTATGTAGCAAATATTTCAATAAGAACATTTGCTAACCTATGTTAGCATTTCCTTCTGTAGCTCCATAAAATTCAGCTACTCTCTTAATTCCGAAACGTTTAACGAACTCAGTCCATATCTGAAACAAACAAGTTACCTATATTCAATATGCCGTCATATCTTCGGGAATTTCGCAAGTATTGTTCATACTTCCTAAGTTTTTGTCAGCTAATCGGCAACTCATTATTAGCTGGCAATCAAACAAAACAAAAACTTCCTCTAACTGTTTTCAATATTACTTTAAATATCTAGGTATTATCTAGTAGTCGGTATTTCATTTAAGAGAATAGTAGGTAGGTCCATTCCAAAATGTTAATTTAGTTTTTTGTTTATAACTTGTGTTAAAATGTGATATGATTTATTCGTCAATTCAAAATACAATAGGTAACTCTTCTTACGGTCGGTCTCATTCCATTTCCATACACCGTCCGGACTTTATGTTGCTTGTCGCTGGGCGAAGGCGGAGTCGCCAGCACGTAGCGACACATCTCGCCGATATAATGCGCCGCCTAGACAAGAAGCAAATGTATTGAATAAACTTATCATTTTATTGAAAAAAGTAAACTGACTTCAAAGAAAAAAATAACCTTGAGATCATTAAGATCACGTTACATGCGCGAAAAAAAACATAGATATTTCGAATTGTACCTCCTCCTTCTTTGAAGTCAGTCAAAATACTTATATTATATAAATAAAATCATATAATGAACACTCTTGAGTGAAACGTATACGTATATAATATTAATCACTGCAAGCATGATACTAAATTTATTACTTTATGATTTTTTTTAAACTTTATAAATATTTACCGTCGCGTTATATTTAATGCAGTCAGGGAAATATGCAGAGGCAGAGAACTTTAATCTCAAAACTACTGTACAGCCGAAGATGAATGCGTTCCCCATTGTTATCACTCCACCGGCCGAGTGATACAGAGGCATAGGACAGTAAATTACATCATTCGGTGATAATCCACCGAGATAATGGACCCCTGATGCCATGAAAACCATCCTATGAAAAATGAAATTATCGTTCAATTAGACATTTATTTTTATTAGTAATCAGAAGTATAGATTATAGGTTACTTCATATATACATATAGTTACTTCTATTTAAATTAAATAAAAGATATTAAATTAATAAAAGAAAAAATCAATTGTATAGACTTTATTACCTCGATGGTGATATAACGGCTGCTTTTGGCAGTCCTGTAGTCCCTGACGTATAAATATATAATAATCTGCCAGTAAAGCCTTCTCCTTCGGATAAAGACCACGAAGCCGGCGATGTAGTTTCCAATAAATGCGTAAAATCTTCATCAGAATTGATCACTTGGACACTGTCGTTGGACGTGTTTAAAGGACGACGAGTAAATTTAAGTAATTTTACTGATTCTTTTAGTTCTTTCCTAATGTCTTGAATTGCTGCAATGGTAAATAAAATAAATAAACATTTAAATTTATGATAGACTAGCAATTCACACCCGCCCCGCTCGGGTTCGTCCCTACTTATGTTTTAACGTTTAGTATAAATTTCTCAGAAATGAGATATTTTCCCTCAATAAAGAGTATCCTATATGTTCACCCTGATAAACAGCTATTATCACACCAAATTTCATCAATATCCGTCCAGTGGTTTTTCCGTGATGCAGTAACGGACAGACAGACAAAAATTCTAAAAGCTATAGATTCGGCCTCTGTATCGATAATAACGTCTATTTCAATAAGATTTTCCAAAAAATATTTCACGTACAGATTTGGCTTAGTTAGGTACATGTATAGATGGATGTTAAAATTAATTCATGTTTTACTTATTCGGTTTATACGTTACCTATAACAGCACCCGTTACAAAAACAAAAATAAAACAAGCTTATACTATTGTTTCCCTAATTTTGCCGCTGTGAGTACATTCGGTTAATTAGTTTTAGCGACAAGATGGTATTTATACAGAGTTTATGAAATTTTCTTTGGTAAAAATACCATTATTACGTGCAAAACAAAATTTTGTACGCCTTTTAGAATATATCACAGTAGCAATATGCTATAGCAGGCAGTACTCAGTAGCATATTTTAAGGTAATTTTGTCAAAACAACCTCAATAACATTCAAACCTAATAAATTATAGTCGATTTCCGACAAAGGGGTGATCACTAGTAATTATGTAATAATTTAGATAAAACGGATGTACCCTCATTGTTGTAATGATATTTATTATTATACGTAGACACATAAAAACTGTTTAAATCGTTGTTGTAGAGAATGAAATTGTACATATTAAATTTCCTACAATAGTGAAATATTTTCATACTCGTATGTTAGCTAGTACGAAAAAATTGAATGTTCAAAAATATTTTAAGAAAAAACAATTATGCATACCAGATTCAAACTCGCTACCATAAATAACAAAATCGCATTTGGCAATAGTGATAGAGTGAAGTAAGGTATTGCCAGTTTGGTTCGTATTGATGAGGGGGGCAATGCCTCCGATGCGCGTAATGCCAAGCCAGATAGATGGCATTTCTGGGTAATTGCTTGCCATCACGGCTACAGTGTTGCCGCGTTTTACTCCTTGTGACCGCAATACTGCTGATACTCTTAAACTGAAATCTTCCACCTAGAAAAAGAAACATCGTTGTCAATAAAAGCACTATCAAAAGATGAATCTGAATATAAATAAATTACAATTTTCTAACTCCTAATAATATTATCTATATGTGATAATTATAAAACATTATATAATTAAATATAACTCTAATACAATTTAGACACGCTTTTTACCAAAATATTTTTTAAAGTTTGGGAAGTAGAAGGAATTAAAAGATTTTTTTCATTTAAGCCGCAGAAACTAGATTTTAGTAGAGAGTAGAGTATGTAGTATAATGATAACTGATCCTTACATGTGCTCAAAATAAAATATTGATACCTTGTACCCACTATGTTGCTGTAGGTCTACATGAATTTCACAAAAATACTTATGGTCCGAGATCCGCAAGATTGCTACGTTCATCGAGTATTCAAATCGAAATTATTTTTTTATATACAATAATAAAAGGGATAATATGTTTTGAGCGGAGTGCCTATTAAAATGTGCCCGCTAATATGTTTAATTAAATTAATAATAATTGACTTTTTGGAACAAAATCGATGCACTTGTTAAAATAAATTATAATCCACTTCACAGAAATATACGTAAAGAATTTGAAAAGTGATAGCTGTCGCTGCGCACTTGGCCGCAACCTCTTCGCATCCAGGTATAAGCAGGTCATATTTTGTTACATTTATACGTTCGTGGCGTATATTCATCATTTATATATCAAATTAAAGCTAATTTTTTTCTGTGCATGATAACCTATGCCTATGTAAAAGTTGCCGCAAATAGGGGTACTAGCTGTTAAAGATAGATTAAAGTGAAAGAGAGTTAGCGCGCTTCATCGGCTGTCAATTTCTAACCGTGTTGTTTTGGAGCTCGTAATACACAATGTTGTTTTATTTAACGTTACATATAATTCGGATTGTTATAGTAAAGCTTGAATAATTCCAAAATGCCCATTATTAATAATTTAATTAAAGATACTTCATAATTTTAAAAAATATTTCTATTAAATACTCGATGAACGTAGCAATCTTGCAGCCGAATCTTGATCCATTATATTGTTACAAGAACACACACTAAGTTAATGTTACACAATGATATCTGCAATTTATTCTGTACCTACAGGTTACAGTGTCATTGACGAATCGAAAGAACAAGGCTAAAATGGTAAAAACGCCGGTGCAAATTATACTCTATCCACATGATCATTGTATGTGAACTGTCTAAACGACTGCATGTGACCTTTAGTTACTCTAATATTACAAAAAGGAACAATGATGAGTGTAGTTTATTTTTGGTATCATTTGAATTCAATAAGTATGTTAAATAAAGATATTATTGCCATATAAAAGTTATACCTATTTAAATTCCTATATAAATGAGTATTAGACCTTATTGAGTGACTCATCTATAAATATAATAAAATTGTAAATAAGCCGAATCTGTCTATCTGTCTGTCTGTTACCGCATCACAGAAAAACCTCTGGAGGGATTTTAATGAAATTTGGTATGGTGATAGCTGGTTGTCCGGATACTTTTTACCGCAGGAAAATGTCTTATTTTTTGAGAAAAAATACAAAAACTGCAATGTAAGAGTATACTAATATGTAAAACCTAAGAATTTGATTTTAGGTTATCTGAACGCGGGCAGAACCGCGGGCAATGCTAGTACGATATAATATATCACCTGTTGAAATGTCCATGTTTCATCTTCAAATAAAAAGCACGCTTTCTTCGGATGTTTCTTAACAGTTTCGTGAAAAATATCAGGCATAGACCAGTTCTTCTTCGTAAATTTATTTGATAATATCAAAATTTTGATGTAACAGTACAACGCTCTGAAAGTTTAAATAATGTATTAAAAAAGAGGAGTAGATGAAATTCGTGATAATTACATCAACAATTAAACGCAACAATCGTTAACAAATAAGCATTTGTAGAATTATGATATTAATATTTGAAAAAGAAAATATTATATAAAAGAAAGCGAAAAACAATATAAATAATGATAAAATGATTAATAAACTCATTCTTGCTAAAATATCATCTTTGATAAAAACAACAGAAGAAAGAAAAGAGCTTACTTGAAATCTCTAGGAGCTGTTCGTATAGCGATCCATAACCAACTTGAAAAATAGGCTATTAAATAGACCACCGTGAGGACTGCAAAGACAATTAGACTAGTCTGCCAGCTGAAGAACACCCACGCTACCGCACAGGCCGCCACCAGGACCGCCACAGCAAACACCATGACTATGATGTAACCCCAGGGGAGACCAGAACTCGCAATACACCCACTTTTTCCCTTTTCAATGTCCTGTTTCTCCTATAACAAAATATGTATATTGTGTACGGCTTGTTTAATAAATAAAAACTTCGTACGACTCACTATCAGCTGCCAAGTATGAGATTAGATAAGAAAATAACAAAATTGTTACAGCGTTTAAATATATGTATGTTTGATTTGTAATATATTTTTGTAATATGCTTAAAATCTAAATTTATATATATTTCATCATCAATATCCTTTACCATAAATGATACCTACATTTTTATATAGATAAATACTTAAACGACAATTATTGTACAAAATTATTTTTAACCTATGTAGTTCATTTTACTTCTGAATGTCGTATCAATTTGAAACTTTACGGTATGTGAAATCTGTATGTTGATATAGTAATTTTATATTGTTTGATCTGATGATGAAGGTTTAGGTAGTATAAAATACGTCAATGCCTATAGTAAAACCTTCGAGTTCGGGCTTAATTGATCTGTTTTAACGAATCCCTTATATTACAATTAGTTAAAAGTGTGTTTTTTTAGTTTTTAACTAAAACTAAGTATTAATAGCCAATAACTACTAAAAAATTCAAGCATATTAGATAAAATAACGCAATATATAGGTACATATTTAAAAAAAAACTTATTTGAATAAATTTCGGTACGTTCATTAATTTTTACGAATCGCTTAATCATTTTTAAGCGTCATAGACGAATAAAAAAACATTCAATGTAAATTTGTTTTCCCTATTCTTTATTTAATTTTCAAATGGTTATATCTATACTTAAAATAAAATTGTAACTAAGCCGAATCTGTACATTAAATATTTTTTGGAAAATCTTATTGAAATAAACATTATTATCGATACAGAGACCGAATCTATAGTTTTTAGAATTTTTGTGTCTGTCTGTCTGTCTGTCTGTTACCGCATCACAGAAAAACCACTGGAGGAATTTTGATGATATTTAGTATGGTGATACCTGTTATCCGGGTCAACATATAGGATACATTTTACCGCGGGAAAATATCTCATTTCTGACAAAACATACAAAAACTGCAATATAAGAGTATTCTAATATGTACGAGTAAAACCTAAGAATTTAGCTTATGGTCATCTGAACGCGGGCAGAGCTGCGGGCAATGCTAGTAACATATAAAAGTTTGATTTGATGGTCTTTTACATTATTTATAACTGTCAAAAACAATACAATATACATCCCAAAGGTTAGTACATTAAAAATCGTGTCGAAATAATTAATAAGTATATTTAGTATAATCTCAATGACTTTAACAATATTATTATTATTATTTCAGTTTTCCTTAAAAAAGACTGTGCATTTAAAAAGTACAATGTACCTAAAATAAAATTAATTAATTAAATTTATATATGTGCATATTATTTATAAAACAATTTAGGCCACGCTATCAAAAGGGAATAATACCAAAATCAATATTTATTAATATTATTTTGTAAGTATTGCTTACAAAATAATATTAATAAATATATATTTTCCGGGTATCTAATTAAAAAAACTTTACAAGTGGATTTAAAAAGTATTGTAGCGCTTAAAGGCAAGAATTTTGCCATTTTTTCCCGCCATATGATCACTATGATGCTTATTGTAATGATCTATAGCGTGGATGGATTTTTTTTTCATTTTAATCAAAATTTAATTAAAATGGCCAATTGTAAGTGCCAGGATGCAAAGAAAATGGATATCATTTGTTCCCGAAAGACAAAATCTGAAGAGAGATTTTGGGATAAAGCAATAAAACGACCAAAATTATTAGTAAAAAAAATATTACTTGTTTAAAGTATCTTTATTTATATTGTTCATGTATCATTTTATTTGGAAATTTATAATTATAATTGATTTTTTTTCTTTTTGATGATTTAAGTTTATAGTTTAACATGATCACCTAAAAACCTTAATTATTAATAATTATTATGCTGTAATTGTATGTATTCGTATGTGTATGTATGTATCACAATCTTTATATTTAAGGCAATGTGATAATATGACCCGAGTAATAAGGTATCACTTCACCAAATTTTGTTGAAATCAGTTCATTACTTTTTGCGTGAAACGCGCGCACACAAACACACATAAAGATAAACAGACAAAAATTTTTATAAGTATTGTTTAGGTGGAGCGTTAACCTCGCGCAGTACGCTGGCGACACGAGGAGCGGAGTCAGTATTAGCACGTTTGAAGGCATTTACGTCATAAAGTAACTCTACACTTTGGTTTGTTCAATAGAAATTCACGTTAATATTAAAATTATTTTTTATATTGAATTCTAATTGTTATATCGCGTAGCATTATATATATTAATTATAATGTAATATTAAGTATAGTTTTAATTAAATAATTTTAAGTACTTCAATTTAAGTTTTTTTGGGACTTCTGGCTGTCTTGCTCTCAACTGGTCTATATTGTGTACATAATACGTTACCTTGTTTGTAAAAAATATTTCTTGTACAGATTTCGCTGAGCTACTAGGTACTTTATTATAGAACTAGCGATTCACCCTCGCTTCGCTCGGGTTCGTCCCTAGCTTGATTCCACATACAAACTTTCATCCCCATTTTCACCCCATTAAGGGATGATTTCCGGAAAAACTATCATATGCCCTTTCCAAGGTCTCAAATTGTCTTCATACCAAAATTTCATCTAAATCTGTTCAGTAGTTAGCCCTGAGGGAATGAAAAGGGGGGTGGAAGATTGAATGAGAAATCAACCATTTCGCAAGTAAGGGAAATATATATTTTTAATTTTTATAATACTTATCTAATTTTCTATACCTATGTTACATACATAGGTACTATATACTATTACATACATAGGTATTATATACTATATACTATTACTATCTATTCTATACTTACCGTTAAAACGTTGGTACCTAGGGACGAATCGCTAGTCATAAGTAGTCTTTGCCCGTATAAATTTTATTAGGTACCCCACCTTTTACGCCTTCAAGAGATGAATTTCGAAAAAAAAACAAATAAATATATTTCTTATTTTATATCTTAAAGCTAAATAAATATAACTATATGGGTATTTCTCATTAATAATGACATAGTTTCATACAATCTTTAATTTTACCAACATAGGAGATGATTTTCGAAAAATCCTTTTTTATTGGGAGCCTACATTCTATAAGGAATACGTCCTCCAAATTTCACGTTTCTACGACCAGCGGCTTAGGCTGTGTGTTAATCCATCAGTCTGTCAGGACCACCACAGGATGCTTGTGACCTTCTCAATTCTTCCTTCAGCTAGTCTAACTTCCAGGTACAATACATTACACAGCTAAGATGCGAACACAATAGAAGCAAAAGTAACCAGGTACAAAAGAGATATCATAATAAATTGCTTAACCTCAGACTGTAGGTATGTAAAAAGATCATACGTGTAGCGCCCTCCTTTCAAGAAATCTTCCCCATTACTGAATGGGTACGATTTTTTTCAAATCAGACTTGTAGTTTAAGAGATTAGCGTGTTCAAATAAATAAAAAAATAAACAAACTTCCGCATATTAGATTATTATTAGCCATTAGGTATAGGAAGAGTTGTCTATTTAGTAATTTTTATATTACCAACAAATTAGATTACCTCTTTGTGATTCACTTCAGGTTTATTCATATTATTGTTGGCTTCAATTGACATCTTCACAATTTGTTTTTAATATTAATTTTTGTTGCCAATAATATGTTCACTTTATTAGATTTATTACTGCTCAACGAATTTACTCATTTTTTCTTCCAGGGCGTTGTCTGAAACAAAGACAAAGCTTTAATCATATTAATATCAAAAGAAATCAAAATTAAATATTAAAAATATAAACATGTATTTCTTTAGTATGGAGCACCTATACTTAAATTAATTTAATTATGTGTTAATTTATTTTTTTATAAATAATTCTTTTTTTATTTTATTTAAATTACTCAGTGTAAGGTTACTAATGAATGTATCTGCATATATATAATTATATTAAAAAATATAATTAAATCCACTTTTTTATATTTGCATTTACTTACTTAACACATTACATATAGTAGGTATGAACGTAATTAAAGATGAGAGTTAAACGTTAGTTGAGTAACGTACGTGAACTATAATTATCAAACTGATCCTCTACATGTTGATGACATTGACCTCGATGGCGAAACTTTACATCACACAAATATTATAAATTCGAAAGCGTGAATAAGTGAGTGAATGTGTGTTTGTTACATTGTAACGACTCAAGAGATTGGAATGGTTGATAGTACGCGTTATATTCTGGACAACTTGAATATTTATTATCAGTGCACCTATCACGCGAGTGTAGCCGTGGTCGAAAACTAGTCGTTTTTAATTTAATACCTAATGCTTTAGGTATTAAATTAAAAATATTATATTTTGCTAAATAAAAGAAAATGCAACCTTTTGCATCATAATGTGGTATGGACCGTTGGTTTTTTTTCTTTAAATTATAATTCTAAGTTTCATTACTGGCGAAAGAAAAGAAATTATGAGATTGCATAGTTAATACACTTCTCTTTACCATTTTTGTTAATTCAAATGGTTTTTTTATTGTTCCAACATAATTTAAGTGTAAGATTGGCAATTTTTTAATTTAACTTCACCTACGAGTAGTAGATAACTCGTAAGATAAATTTTTTTCCTTGTTCTAAAAATAAACACTTTAAATATAGGTACATACGTACATAATCTGATAAAAAGATTAATTTATTTGCTGCATTTCCTAAAAGGTATATTCTCGTTTTAATGCAGATTATAGAGAAAACGATTAAGTTATAACGATACTTTTACGTCAGTTGATTTCTAATAATTTAATATCGTTGGTCATATGGGATTTATTGATTCTTAATAAAAATCAAGTGCACTCTACGTACATACATATATCTCGTAAATTAATTTCGTTTACACTCAATCATTTTATTTAATACTAGCAAAAATCTTTTTCACTACGCATACTTTTTTTTTCAAAAGTAAGTTCATCTAAAATTTCCTGTTCTTAAAGATATAAGGAAAACAAATTTAATTTTAACGATCGTAACTCAAAATATCCAGTATCTTAAAAGATATTAAACAAAGGTTACATATTCTGTAAATAAATTTTGTTTTAGGTATTTACTAAGCTCCACTACCTGTATATGTTACAAATTTTTTTTCTCCATCTATTCAAAGTTAGAGGAAAAGAGTAGAATGATACAATCGCATACAATGTTTACAACTTTAGAATCATAACACGGCTAATATGGTTTTTTAATTAACATACTAATAATTATACATAAACACATTAATATTAACATAATAATAAATTAAAAAAAAAGAACTAAAATATATGTTTATTTAATTGTATTGAACAGCATTAATACCGAGTTTCAAGTATTAATTTGATCATAAACAATTTTTTCCTTATATAAACAGCACTCCATTTTACCCTTTTAATGAATTTCGAAATAAAATGATATTTGTATTGTTTTATTTTTCATTTCAAAGGTAAGTACCACTTTCCGTGCATCAATTACAGAATTTGATACAAACTTTCATCCCCCATTTTATTTATATTTCCTTATGGAATGAATTTCGAAAAATGCTAAAACACATATTAGGTATTTATTTAATTGTATTGAAGAGCATTAATACCAAGTTTTAAGTAATTCACATCATAAATAATTGTTTGCCCATATAAACTTTATCACCCCCTTTTACACTTTTAAGGGAGGAATTTCGAAAAAAATCTAATACATACATACATATATTTTTTTATTTTTGACCTTAAAGCTAAATACCACTTTCCGTGAATTTCGCGTTAAGAATAACAGAGTTTCATCCAACCTTAAATCCTTTGTTAGCGGATGCCTACATTGTATAAGGAATATGTTCTCCAAATTAGTGTTTTACACTCCAGTGTTTTAGGCTGTGCGCTGATCGATCAGTCAGTCAGGACAAAGCATTTTATGTATAGGTACTTATATACTAGGTAGGTACGTTTTAACGATTAGTGATGCCCATACAAAAAAACAGTTCAGAACTTTTCGATTTTCTAGCTCTCTTTTTTTGGGTTTTCCCTATTTTTTATAATTAAACCACCTCTTACATACACACAAAACAAAACAAGTATTATTCAAATTGGTCTAGCCGTTTTTGAGTTTAAGCAAGACTAACGAACGGCAATTGATTTTTATATAATATATTGCTACATATATAGATGAAAACTTAGACTTGAGAATGTCCACTTGCCAAAAGCAACAGCAAATATATAGTAGAGGTAATTAATTTCAATGTGCCTCTACCTACCCTGTAACCGACGTATAGAGCAGTAGACCTATGTTTAAAATTTAACTAGCGACTCACCCTCGCTCCGCTCGGGTTCGTCCCTAATAAGAGCCACCATTATCACTTAGGGGTATGGAAAATAGATAGTAGCCGATTCTCAGACCTATTATACCATTTAACTATTCAATCTTCTTAAAATCCATGTACCTATAACCTATTGATGGACAGCAATTTTCAAAAATTCTGTTAGTATCATTTTATTATCTGCCGAATCGTTATTTTATTTATATTATTATAGCCTTATATCCGTTATATTATTAGCCTAGTTGCCTAAAATAGTTGAGGCAACTAGGCTAAACTAAATAAGTCACAAAACATTTTGAGACGACTGGTCATAAAGAAGGCTGGTAAAAATACTCACTCACGCGACGTTTCCGATGCAATTTGAGAAAGGAAAGTGAGAGTCAACGACCTTTCTTATGATTTCATATTGTAGAGAGCGAAAGCAAAGCTGTAGAATGACTTAACCACACACATATTTACATTCGATTTTTGTACAGTAAATGAATTAATTATAATTATTTTTGAAGTCGCAGCAGAAAAGTATTACGTAATTTACTAACGATTAAATATGAATAATGAATAAGTTTAAAATATATTTATTTTATAAGAGCATAAGAAAATGGCTGAAAATAATGGAAAACTACAAAAAGCTAGGTACCCACTTAAATAATCTATGCACATACGCTATGCCTACTCAAGCAAAGCAAATAACTTTGTTTAAATATCATCAATAATGCGAGTTCAAAATGCTTAAATTTTGAAATAAGTAAATATTATGTCTTAATATTCAAACACACTATTCGTGAGAACGCTTTAAGTTTTCCTGCTTTAGAACATTTGAAATATATACCTACATATCTTTTTTCTTTTTTCACATAGTATAAAATAAAGTCGCTTTCCGCGTCTGTCTGTCTGTCTGAATGTCTGTATATCCATCCGCTAACACCTCCTAAACCCCATAACGGATATTGATGCGATTTTCACCATGATTCAGATAATCTCATTCGGATGGTTTATATGTATAATACATGCTTGTTATATTTACAGAAAATATAAAAAAAGTCAATGGTTCGTAAAAATATAGAATTTTGGTCGCTTTCATTGTTAATGCCCAAACTTTACGAGATAATTAATAGATATATCAAAATTATGTTCTACGAAATTGTGTATCTTAAAAAAATATATACAAAAGAGTCCGCGGTGGCATATGTCTATTTCTTACGAACGCACAGTAGATACCTAACCATTTTTATATGGTTGATTTTTTTTACGGGTTATACTTTCGAAGTTATTTTGGCCAATGTCATATTAATCCTTAACTAATTAAATAAATTAGTTACATTATGCATTTTATGTAGATAAAAAGCAAATCATTATCATTAATATTTTAAAGGATATCACACATTTAAAATTACGAAAAAACAATTTTCGCGCTACGGAAGTTTTATATTTTACTTTTGCGTACTGAAAAGTCCACGTTATCATGAGTGTATTTATTTCCTAAGGTACACTTCAAAAACTATTCTAATCTATTAAAACGTACCTAGGGGATGTACGCGAGTGAAGTGAGGGTTAGTCGCTAGTGTATTATATAATATTATTACACCAACTGCCTCGGTGGTGTAATGGCTAGCATGTACGGCTGCACACCCAGAGGTCCTGGGTTCGAGTCCCGGGTCGAGCCAAGTTTAGTTATTGAGTCTATCTGTATATTAAGCCTCAGTAAGAGCCCGTTTCACCCCCGTGCCTCGGAGAGCACGTAAAGCCGTCGGTCCCGAGCCTTAACTCTCACCGGTCGTGTCGAGCAGTCGTCCCACCGGAGTATGAGAGTGATAGGAATAGAGAGTGCACTTGTGCATCTCCTGCGGAGTTGGCTAATCTCAATGAGATTGGCCGCCGTGGCTGGAATCGGCTAGGAGAACATCATCATCATCATAATATAATATTATAATTAATGTACTTAATATTAAGATGCATATACTTCCAATACAATTCAATACTTACGTAACGTAAAAGTAAAGATTTCTAAATAACTACCTACTTTCTGCATCGTGTTTCAATAAACTATCGAGAAAACATTAAAATCATAAGCTTAGAAGAGAAAGCTTTTGGGATATTATGTTTCTAAGATATTACGAGTGTTAACACTATCATTACGAGAATATCTACAAGTAAGTGTAATTATACAAAGCGATTAACCCTCACATCGATCGGGTGCTTTCCTAGGTGTCTTTACACCATACATTTGATTGTTTTATTTCAAGCCTAAACGGTTACGTCCGATAAAGCAACATAAGGGCCAGTATTATGTTGAT